ACAAAAGGTACCCAAGTTGGGGGGTGTGCTGGGGGGGGCGGGTCCCCCTCATTTTTTTTTTTTTTTTTTTTTTTTTTTTTTTTTTCCCTCATCTCCCCGCCCACTACCTCCCCCGCTGCCCCCTAACCTCCAGGTTGTTGATGCCAGGAGGCTTTATGTATCCTAAACTTACTTTCAGTTTTACATTGAATCATAACATTAACAGGTGCGATGATGGAACAGCCTTGCAAGGGAAATTGGTCTGTTTTCTCGTTTTAAGTCGCTTCTTTCCAAGGTTGGGTAGCTTTAGTACTCCGTACACTGCTCGCCGTTTCAGTAGTTTTTGACCGCACACCTACACGCCCCTAGACAAAGTGGAGCTTCAAGGCAAGTTGTATCTTCGCCCAATTCTCCATCATACTCATTCATCTGATACCGCGCGCTTACACAGAACTTGGAATTCATCGGCATATTCTATCCCAAGCCAGCAAAGAGAATTTACACCATGGACCTGACTTCGCCGAGCTCGCGTCTACGATCCACCAGCTGCCCTGGTGCTTTTTATTGTGCTGATGCGCCATTCAAGCAGAAACAAAATTGCCGACAGCGAAGATACTCGGAAGCTTCTCTACGCCTCACAAAGACTGGCCAGTATGGCCTTCGCAAGGCTGTTCTGGGTATCCTGATGAACCGACTGAGTGAAGGCGGGGTGGATGTTCAACATTTGGATCCCGCATTGCTCAACCACTGCCTGCCAAAGGATTGCAATAATACCGACTGGGAGATGATGATACACACCCCACTCAAGGCCCCAGACCATGTTGTATCGAGAGCGCTTGATCTGCGACTTGCTGAAAACACAGAGCTAAAGTTGAAGGGAGAACAAAGATCCGTCCTGTATGTGCGGTCCTTTCAACTGAGCAAAAAGCAACTCTGCGATGTGATCACACAATTCAGCCAAGCTAGGCCAGAGGCAGCAACCACTGCAACATGGTCAGAATGCCTCGAACTCCTGAAACCCAATGACAGCGTCTACATCCGATATGTGGGTAGGACTGAAAGATCTGCTCTGCTACGCCACCGACATGATATTGCACTCAAATCAATTAAGAGTGGATTTCTCGCAAAGTTTCTCGAAGCCTTGAAAAGAACCCATCCATCAGTGATTGATACCGCGACGATATACGAGCTTCCGGGTATTTGCCTACGGCAATTCTGCGAGTCAAAGGAGCAAATATTGATTGCACTTCTCGGCTTACCGTCGTTGGTGAACCAAAGGTTGTGCGAGACCCGTTCATTCGTACCGACAAAGTCACACCAAAGCGCCTTCGTCAGTCTGGAAACGGATACATTCTTGGCACTAAGCTCATCAAAGCTCCAGCCTGTGAGTCAAGGGCTTATTGTAGCCTGGGCAACAAAGATCCAAGAATACACCAGAGCCCACAAGCTTTCAGTCAGTCGTTCCACAAGGCAGGCACTAGAGTTTTCAGACGCCCTACGTTTGGCCATAACTAGACAAGCCCAGGCATCCATGATCAACGGAAAGTTCGTCGTTTGTTTGACAATTGGGGCTGAGATGAGCCTTGAGGCTTGGAGAAACGCCGGCGAGTTTTTCTCTGGAACTAGTGATTCTGCTCGTCGTATGAGTGATCACCTGAGAAGGCTATGGAGCTGGGAAACCGGGAAACCGGTTAACGACGAGCATTTGAAATTGTTGATCTCTGCGGGCTTACTGCCATTCATCAATCTTTCTCCATGGTTGAAAGTAGAAGGGAAGGATCTTCAACAAGCGATCAGGTTCGCGAAAGACTATGTTGTACTCACCAAGCCTATGATAATCCTCACTCTCGGAGCCAGGGCTTCCTCAAGTGCCGCCTCCGGGTTTAATCATCCTTTCGGATACCCTGCATCCCAAAAATTGGACGACAGGGTCGGAAAACTCGACTTGGTTGATTGCGAAGGTGTTCTTTCCATCCAAATCTCAAGTTTTCATCCAGGCAAAGGACGATATTGCCGAAATCCTGCCACATTCAACGAGGTGTTCAACGTAACTCTCTGGATTTTCTTATTCACCATTAATGTATGCCTCAAGTCGAGCGAGCTGTTTCAGAACCACACGCGCAAGAACTGGTGCCGGCACATCAAGGCTACAGTCGACGATAAGCTTCACAAAAGTGGAACTTATGACTTGCTCAATTCAATGAAAGAAAAGCTTCGATCCGAAGGACCAGGTTCTCGATCTCTTCTTTCGCCCCAAAAATGCATAGAGAGTCTGACAAAAACCACAACTGTAAGTCAGCTAAAGGCCCTGGAGAGATCAAACATCTCAGGGGACTAATTGATTTCCCACCTGGGAAAAGACTAATGCTTACCTTTTCTCAGGATCGATTCCTATTCATTGGATTTGCTCTTGGCTCCCCTATGTCGCCTCAGCGCAAGCAGCAAGCTCGTGAACTATGGGATCTAAACATACCCGAATTACATGACCACATCACCCGCGAGAACAGAATTGGCTGGTGGACGTGGGCATGTGAACTCGAAGAAGGTACATCGTTTTTTGCTCATGCTTCTGTAAGCGGTATGATAAAGACTGCTGGGGCTTTGAAGAATGCATTCAGTTCTCTTAAAATTCAAAGCTCCAGATTATTGCAGGCATTCCCCCAAGGGATATCATATGCCCCTTTGTCAATGCATCAAAGCGAAAATTCCGAAGACATGTTGCTATTGAATCGTCCATCCTCCAGAATTCCGAAAGGAATGACTCTTCAAGTGGCGGTGGGCTTGATAACATCCGCCATGCTTGATAAGCTGCGGCCGTCGCAGGTGGCAGAGGCACATAGAAAGACCAAAGGGAAGATTGTTCCCCAGTTCCTTCAACATTTGAACGGAAGCGAGGTCTATGCCTGGAGCAATGGGGGAGTCGCAATTTATTGGAAGAGTGGCCGCGGTGAGAACGTTACGTTTAACCTGCATATTCCACTATCAAGCTTAGATCTTGGTCTTACAGCCCAGAGGTTCATCTTTTTGTGAGTTACCTTATTCCATTGCTTGGTGATTTGTATCTCACTCGAATTTCCAGTACGCCTCATGGCATTGACTTACAGGACGAGACCGGAACACCGTATCGAACCCAACAGGGAACTTTAGGACATCGGAACTTGGCGACAGTTCCGGTATGCAGACTAAATGACTGCCAAGATGACAGCACCATGGGACCGCGACTTGTTGAACTTTGGGAACAAGAGACCAACTTATGCTGGGAAGTGACAATTGGAAACATGGCCCTCACACAGAATAATCAAACACCAATAGCAGCAAGGTACTTTCATGGGTCGAGTTTAGGGCTGGTGCATCTGGGATGGAAGAAAGCTAGTCTGCTTCAGCCTTATGAGAACACACCCCTACCTGCAGATGCATTATGGCTTGTTTGGATGTGTCTACAGAGATATTGGCCCAATGGGGGAATATTGTTCATTGGTGACCCTCTCAAATGGCCACTTCGAACTGATAACTTCTGGGCCAAATTTCGAGAGTATGCATTCCAACAATCGACCCATACTCATACCTCTCAGTGCATTAACTTTCTCTAGGTTTCTAGCAGGCGGAAAATACCGAAATCACCCTCAGTATACGCCACTGAGTGCATGGGCGCATGATATGACGCACCCAAGAAAGACTGCCCAATTGAAACGTAATCTTGAATTCCTTTGTACCATCATTTCCCAGAAGAAGGTCCAATGCAGGGACCATGCAAGAAGACGGATCGAGAACAAGGATGTCAAGATCGCTGGAACAGAATTAAGTATCTCGACGCCGCGTTCCGATATTGCTTTTGTCTAGAGTATTCGGAGCTGTGCTCTCTTCCATGTTTTAGCGACCGAGTACTTTCAAAGCACTCAAAAACAAATGCAAAAGTGTTTTAAAGTTCCAGGTTAATCAAAATTGGCTGGAAGTCATAGCATCATGTTTCCCTACTGTTTGCAAGAAATTTTTTTAACAAAGATTTCAAATGACGGATGAAAGGTATTCTTGGGCCATCGTTCATTATGATTCTAATCTGCGTAGGGCAAGAATAGGCAAATGTAGCCCCTACGCTTCAATCTCTTCAGTGGGGACATCGTCGAGGTCTTTGCCCACAATAGCATCTGCTACTTTCCATACCTGAAGCAGATTATCCTCTGCCGCCGAGCACAAGACCCAAGGATCGCTGAGGTTCCAGCTGAAGTCTGAGATACGGTTTGTGTGTCCACCGTGCATGAACAGCCTTGGGAGGAAAGTCAGCAAATGAATAAAATCAAACTTCGAGGTAGTAACATAGGGAAGAAACCACTTACAGCTCTGGTGGCCCGTCTTGGGCATCCTCCGGGGTTTGCTCCTCGCCTGCTCGGCTGAGGTCCCAGAACATAATTTTACGATCATAGCCGGAACTGGCCAGGACCGATTCTTCGAACGGATGCCACGAGATAGACTGTACCGAGTCGGTGTGACCCTCAAGCGAATGTAGCTTCTGCTTCAGGTTACGCAAATCCCAGATGCCGATGGTCTTGTCGGCGGACCCAGTGGCCAGAATGGTCTCCGAGGCAGGATTGAAGGAGATGGAATTGATAGCATCGCGGTGCTGGCCCTCAGCGGAAGAAGCCGAGCGAGTAGAATCATCTTGGCGGGTATCCAGGATCTGAAGCGTGATATCATCGGAAACAGTTCCGATGAGAGAAGAGTGAAGAGGGTGGTGTTGAACGTCATTGACAATCGAAGAGTGGTGAGTGAAGGTACGGCTTGGTCGAACTGCCTTGTTGCCTTTGGTGTATGTAGTGATATCCCTGTAATTCGGATTGATTAGGCACGAGTCTCATCGAAACTGAATTGAACTTTTGTATACTTACCAAAGTCGGACAGTCTTGTCTTCACTACCGGTGGCGAGGTGGCCGGCCACGTGGGGGTTCCAGCTAAGACCAAAGCCTTCAGCTTCATGGCCGAGGAGCTCCATCTGGGGGTTGACAGTTCCGGTGGGCAAGCTGGGGTGTTTGGAGCGATCCCAGATCATGACACGGCCATCCGTGCACATCGTTGCGATGATATTAGGGTTCTGTGGCTGATAGCGGGCCTTGTTGACCTCCCCTTTGTGATCAATCTTCTGGAGAATGTTGAACTTGATCTCCATCTGGGGCTTCTTCGAGCCTCCGCCGTAACCACCGATCTCTCCCCTGTCTTCATCATAATCTTCAGGGTTGGGAACATTAGGGTTGGGGAGTTGGACATCGGCAATCTGAAGGTAGTTCTGCGCTTCACCAGTAGTGTGTGTGCCGATCAGAAGACGGTGAGTAGAGTAAGGCTTGTCTGGGACCCTAGAGGGAATCTGTTAGAACGAGGGCCAAAGGAGAAAGTTTTGAAGATGTACGTACTCTTGCTTATCTGGCAGCCACTGTGTTGTGAGAGTGGGCCATTCTAATGCGGTACTCAGGATCATATCATAGAGGAATGGCGCATTCTTCTTCCATGTTTTGTATTCTGCATCCGTAGAAGATTAGCGATTGCAACTGACAGACATATGAGAGTATGAGAGAGAGCTACCTTCATTGATGGCCTTTTCGTCAGTGTGTTCATGATCCTGGTCCTGTTCCTGGTCCTTCTCATGCTCATCCCCAGGGCCTGGAAGCGTGAATTAGATTGAGATTTCAGATGCGCAAGTACAGAGCACTCACCGGCCTCGTCATAATCCATTTTGCGATTGAGACGATTGAAGAAAGATCGCAGTATAAGAGCGCGGATCGGCTTTGGGTCGAGTACGTCTCAAAAGTGTGGGAGGTACCTGGTGGGCTGAATATTGGACTAAGGGAAGAGCTACGCGCACCGCGTTAATGAGTCGGGGCGGCCCTCAAAAGGGACCTAGTCCCATTTGGGAGGGCGGTGTCCTTGAGCTTGACTCTTCACTTCGTGGGGACATCTCAACTTGCATCATAGACTCCGAACCAATTTGGCGTTCTGCTTCCATTTTATTTTTTCTTTACTGTCTTTCCTTTGGAAGTTTGTATTCTTGCGTATATCAGTATATCGTCCTTCTTCGTTGGATGATATATCTTACGTCGCAAGTCTTCCACACCTCTCCAACCTTACGATAACACCACCTACCCATTCATTTACCAAACGCTCACAATGGGTGTCCCCAAATTCTTTCGCTGGCTCAGCGAAAGATATCCTGCCATCTCGACGCTGATCGCAGAGAGCCGGATACCCGAATTCGACAGCCTTTACCTTGATATGAACGGCATTATCCACAACTGTACACATAGCGACAGCGATTCTCCGACGTTTCGCATGACGGAGGACCAGATGTTTATCGCTATATTCAACTACATTGAACATTTATTTGGCAAGATCAAGCCCAAGAAGTTGTTCTATATGGCAGTGGATGGTGTTGCCCCCCGCGCCAAGATGAATCAACAACGTGCCCGTCGCTTCCGCACCGCCCTGGATGCGGAGAACGCTAAGGAAAAGGCAATCCAGCAAGGCTTGGAGATGCCAAAGGAGGATGCATTCGACAGCAATTGTATCACCCCGGGTACTGCGTTCATGCAGAAGTTGACGCAACAACTGAAGTACTTCATCAACAAGAAGATTTCCGAAGACACAGATTGGCAAGGTGTAGAAATCGTGCTGTCTGGCCACGAGGTCCCTGGTGAAGGTGAACACAAGATCATGGAATACATTCGATGCTCGAAAGCGCAACCCGGATATGAATCCAACGTTCGCCACTGTCTTTACGGATTGGATGCCGACTTGATCATGCTGGGATTGCTCAGTCACGACCCTCACTTCTGCCTTCTTCGTGAGGAAGTGACCTTTGGTCGCCAGGTTTCCAAGAAGCCCAAGGAACTCGAACATCAGAACTTCTATCTTCTGCATTTGAGTATGGTCCGAGAGTACCTGGAACTGGAGTTCCAAGAGCTTGAGCAAGATGGTGCCCTCGATTTCCCATTTGATATGGAGCGTGTCATCGATGACTTCATTCTCATGGCGTTCTTCGTTGGAAACGATTTCTTACCAAATCTGCCAAATTTGCACATTAACGAGGGTGCCCTTGCCCTTATGTTTAAGCTTTATAAAGAGGTACTTCCAAAGATGGGCGGTTACATCAATGAGCAAGGTGTGATCAATGTGCAACGCTTGGGCATGCTTGTGAGCGCACTGAGCTCCGTGGAATATAGGTTCTTTGAGGCAGAGAACTCCGATGCCCAATGGCTCAAATCGAAGAAAAACGGAGATGTTGATGCCGTGGATTCCCAACAAAAGCCCAAGAAGCTCACAATCACACCGGCCCAAAAGGAGATTCTGAAAACCATCAAGAAATACGTTCTGAACCGGACCGACAATGTCTCTTCGCCACTTGATCTACCCTCCACCCTTCCAGCTCGTGACCGGGACTTTGTTGAACAGCTTGCAGATGAGCTTCGACTGCCTTGGTCCTCAATTGATAATGACGATGGAGACCGGTTCATGCGACTCCAGTTGCCTCAGTCGCAGAAGGACGAGGAGGATGACGATGACGATGAAGAGGACGAGGAGGCATCCATGGCAGTTCAGCGTATCATCCGAAAGTACGAGAAGGCCACTGTGCAGGAAATGACCCCAGCGGAATCGCAGAAGGCGGCGCAAGAGAAATACGACGCTGAATTCTTGGCTTGGAAGAATAAATACTATCAGACCAAGTTCGGATGGGGCCTTGAAAACAAGGAAGAGATGAAAAAACTTGCCCAGAACTATGTGCAGGGACTGCAGTGGGTCTTGTTCTACTACTATCGAGGCATCGCATCTTGGCCGTGGTTCTTCCAGTACCACTATGCCCCCATGATATCTGGTTAGTGACTACCGTTTGAGATTGACCTTATTGCTGACAGTAATCAAGATGTGAACGCTGGACTTGATGCAGACATGGACTTCAAGCTGGGACAACCATTCCGGCCTTATGACCAGCTAATGGGCGTCTTGCCGGACCGCAGTAAGAAGATTGTGCCCACTGCCTATTGGGACTTAATGACGTCGCCCGATTCTCCAATCTATGACTTCTACCCCCGTGACTTCGACCTCGATATGAACGGCAAGAAGATGGAGTGGGAAGCCGTTGTCAAAATCCCCTTCATCGACGAAAAGCGGCTCTTGTCTGCTTTGAAGACAAAGGAACATTTGCTTTCTCCCGACGAGAAAGCAAGAAATGTCTTTGGAGCTTGTCTGAAGTTTACTTATTCATCAGATGTCAATTATGTTTACCCATCTTCGATGCCTGGAGTGTTCCCCGATCTTCCAAACTGTCATTGCATTGAAAATATCTTTGAACTCCCCGCGATGGATGGATTGGAGCCCTATGCCGGTTTGATGGAAGGTGTGCACCTAGGTGATGCAGCACTTGCCGGTTTCCCTAGCATCAAGACACTGCCCAAGCATGGTCAGCTTGGTTTCCATGGTGTTTGTGTCTTTCAACAGGACAGTCGCAATGAGAGCCAGGTTGTCACTCTCCTGGACCCGGGGAGCCGCTCGAGCATCGAATTGGCCAAAAAGAAGCTCGGACAGCGTGTCCACGTTGGATATCCATTCTTGCAGGAAGCTCTTGTGATCCGCGTTTCAGACGAATTATTCGACTACATTCTCCCTCCCGGAGAGACGCATCCTGTTTCCATTCCTCATACCCCTCAACAAATTGAGCAGTGGAAAAAGAAGGCGGTCAAGATTGAAAACACCTACAGCAAGCGCCTAGCAACGATTATCGGCGAAGTTGAAGCATTAGTACACATCCAACTCCTCAAGGGTATGATCAAGACCGACGACGGTGCTACAATCAAGGAATTTGCCGATATCCCAGGCCAGGAGACAGATTACGCTCTACAAGTCATTGTTGACGAAGTGAAGAACCCCGATCAGCGTTTCATCGAACGGGATGCCGTGTCCATTGAGGAGGATTTCCCAGAGGGCTCTCGTGCCTTCTTCCTGGGCGATTTCAACTATGGAAGACCCGTCCATGTTGGTGGCCACGAGGATGGAAAGGTCAATGGGTTGATCGCCGCTGTCAAGGGACGGGAGCCAGAGTTCGGTCGGGAGCGTGTAAAGGCGGCAGAACAACTTTGCCCTTACATGCCTTCTTACGCTGTTGCACGCAGCCTCCGCCTTAATGCCCTGGTACTGGCTAAAATTACATCCTCTTTCACCGTTGATATTGAAGGCACACGTGCGAACCTCGGCCTCAACTTGAAGTTCCAGGCTAAGCAGCAGAAGGTGTTGGGTTACTCTCGCCGAGGAGAATCAGGCTGGGAGTTCAGCCAAAAGGCAGTTGAATTGATCCAGCAGTACATGATCAACTTCCCTGAGTTCATTGCTGGTATCCAGCGCAATCCTCAAAGTGATCGTTATTCTCCAACTGATTTCTACCCGGAGGAGATTGCCTCTCTCAAGATGAAGGAGATCAAGGATTGGCTCAAGTCCATAGAAGCTAAGAACTTCGAAAGAGTGCCCCTGGACGCCGAACAACTTGACTCGGACATTGTGATGTTGATCGAACAGGATGCCGATCGATTCAACCTGTCCCAGCCACAGATGCAGCCAAAGAAGGTTCGGGGCGTGCCCCGAGGTGCTCTGCTTCGGCCTGCCGATGTTGAGCATCGTCTTGGTAGCCAAACTTTCAAGCTCGGTGACCGGGTCGTGTACGCCCAAGATTCCGGTAAAGTGCCAATTGCCACTCGTGGTACTGTGGTCGGTCTCACCAGAACCCCGCGTACCATGCTACTGGATGTTGTCTTCGACTCGTCATTCATGAGTGGTACTACGCTTGGTGGACGATGCTCGCCATTCCGCGGCCAGACCGTTCCATCGATTTCCGTCCTCAACATCTCTTACCGCCAACTCATCGCCAGCTCTCGCGCTGCGGCTGACCAGCAGGCTCAACAGGCCCCTCTTCCCCTAACAGTTGCTGGGTACGGTGCGCCTCTTGGCCCTGGCAGCCAGGGTCAACTTAGAAATGCCGATGCCCCTGCTCCCCTGACGGGCTCCTTCCGAGGTGCGGTCTCTGGCCAAGGCGCCGGAGGCCGTGGAGGCCGTGGAGGATTCAACAATGGTCAACAGACCACTCTGCCCTTCCGCCCCCACTCCAACGGTGGTCTCCCACGTGGCCCCCGTGCGCGTGGAGGTGGCCGCGGTGGTGCTCGTGGTGGCTATGTCTCAGTGGAGCAGGGCGATCCGAGTGAGGGTATCATTCAAAACAACCCAAACTTCCGTCCTCAAAACTATACGCAAGTTCCGCCTCCCCAGGGAATGGATCGGGGACGTGGCCGTGGCCGCGGTCGCGGAAACGGATTCCGTGGTAGAGGTGGCCGTGGCCGCGGTGCGCCTCAAGCCGATGCCCAATAATTGAACGTCGGTTTTTGAGATATGATGAGATGAGCAGTTCTGATTTTTACGATGTATATGGACAGCTGGGATACCTGTTCGTCCATTGGACAGTTATATCGATGTTCTTCATACATAGCAGTACGCCTGAGTTGAATGCATGATCGAATCAAATCAAATCTAAAGCATTGTACTTACATTCGGAGGCCCGAGGAGGTTCCGTCAATTCCGCAAAGTCAAGGGCCAGAAGCCTCATGATACAATCATATTTTCTTTCCAGGGCTCTTCCGCTAATTGCTTTTGGCTTGTGCCTGTGCCATCTTTGGGGTACTCCCAGCATCCCAACCTTCGAAGATGCCAGTTATAAGCTCTACAAGTCCAACCTTTTGTCTGCACAATAGAGAAACCAGTACAATGAAACAATGTTGATCTCAATTTTTTTTGATCAAAGGGCAGTATGTAACAAGAATCAGCCCGGAATAGTCCTGGTAATTTAAGTAGCCTGGTGAATCCTCAAAAATGTAAATGCAAGCCAATTCCCCGGCCATAACCCATGCATAAGACTGAATAGAATAGAACAGCAAAATAATTAGAACATCTAGAAAGCTTTCATCACTGTGAAGCCTGGTCACTGGCTTCTTGCTTGGTACGCTTCAAGTCCCGACCACTGGTCGGCACTGAGCTGTCGGCTTTGCGCTTATCGCGGTCCTTCTGATTTTGATACTCAACGCGCCGAGCTTCCTTGCGAAGAGCCTTGGATTCGAACTCATGCCAGTCGCCTTCAACATGCTCCAATCTGTACACAAAGTTAGAAATAATAAAAGTAAAAAGACTCGAGATACATACTCAACCGGTGGATGTGGGGATGGTTCTTCCGATGTGAAATAGTGGTGTTTGAGAACGTCCTCAGCACTCGGCCGTTGTGCGGGGTCATAGCGGAATATTGAAGATATGAGATCCATTGCACCAGGCGACAGGACATCACGATATTGGTCTTCAAACACTCGCTTCCTGCGTTCCTTGGGTCGCATCAGATGGAACCAGGGCATTTCTACAAGATCCGGCCATTCGGTCTTGGTAGGGGTACCCAAGGCATTGTAGAGCTTTTCCATCTGACTGAGCTCGCCGCCTTCTCCGGGGAAGACCGCCTTCTTCGTGAACATTTCCATACAAACGCATGCAGCACTCCAAACGTCAACGGCGGGACCGTACCGGGTTTCGCCCAAAAGTAATTCCGGGGGCCGGTACCAAATGGTAATAACTCGATTGGTGTAGTCAAGTTGGCGACTTTTGGAGAAGAACCGGGCCAGGCCAAAGTCAGCATATTTCAACAACCCTCGGTTGCTAATCAATATGTTCGCGGCCTTGATGTCTCGGTGGAGCACACCACGATGGTGAAGGTAGTTCAGACCTTCGAACATCTGCTTGGATAGGTCTTTCTTGTGTGCAAGAGAAAGAGAAAAAGTGGGGTGGTTGATCAGTCCAGTTAAATCGTGAGAAAGATATTCAAAGACCATGAAGCACTCATTCTTCTCAACCATGACCTCCAAGAGGCTGACGACATTGTGATTTCGGAGATGTTGAAGTAACTTGATCTCGCGTACAGCCGTTATAGGAAATCCATCCTTTTCACCCTCCATTCGAATTTTCTTGAGGGCGACCTTTCGTTGGGTGTAAACATGAATTCCCTTGAAGACTTTGCCGTATGTCCCAGCACCGATCACAGACTCATTTCCAGGCTTACGGTAGTAAACCGAGTCGGCGTTTGCGAACTCATGTGGAAGTGTCGGCCGGGGTTTTGGGCGAGTCAGAATCAGTTTTTTCTTCGGGGGTGCTTCGCGAGTTGGCTCTGGGAAAGGCTCACGCCAACGATCTTGCCGGTCCATCGGCCGAGTCGGAGGGCGGTCGATTTTACGTCGATCACGACGCTGGCCTTGGTCGAACCGACGATCATCTCTGCGGTCTCTTGGATCACGGAAGTCTCGTGACTCTCGGAGATCCCTGCGGTCTCGGTCCCCTCGGTCTCTTCCACGATCCCGACGATCGTTTCTTGAGTCTGGTTTAAATTTGGGCAAAGGTCCATTGGTAAGCCGGTTGCGGGGGGATGTGTGCTCCTGTGGAAGTGGACGTGGAGGCGGCTCGCGAACCTGCATGCGTTGAGCAAGATCGGGTACTGGCTTTGGGGCTGGAGAGGGCACAGCTTTTGGTTTGAAAGCGAAGCTGAACTTTGCACCCTTGGGTCCAGGGGTTGTGTCATTAGCTTCTCGGGAAGGCGGTTGCATTGGCGGGGCATTTCCACTATCAGAGGGAGGTTGTGTCATTTCTTCATCCTCGTAGAACCCTCTGCCTTCGTGGAGATCTCTGTTTAAGTGCCGAGAATGATTATCATTGTCACCCGCTCGAGGAGACTCCGGATCGTTGTGAGAATGAGGTTGATTGGGAGTCTGTGATCCATTTCTAGGATCATGGCGGGGGCTATTTTGACCGCCACGACCCCGAGAGCCCGACGCTGTCCATTGCAAATTGTTGAAATGTCCTCTTCCGCCGCGTTGTGGCGGTCCAGAGTGGTATGGATGAGGGCCCGAGCCTGAGAATCGACGATCTGGACCTTGATTGGAGAAATTGCCTCTGTGGCCGCCACCAGAATGACCACCACGGTGAGGAGGCCCACCATAAGGGGATTGAGGGTGACTCCCAGGGCCGTTATATTGGCCTTGGTTGTGGTAATAATTACCCGGGTGACCATTCTGCGACGAGTAGTTGTCTTGCTGATAGGGGGAAACATGACTGACGGCAAAGTTAGCACAGAATCAAGGGAAAGTGATTCAAAATGAAATTGGAAGAGACTCACCCAGGTCCGGAATATGAAGAAGGGCCATTCCAATCCCCTCGACCAGCAGAATAAGGCGAAGGAGGTTGCGGAGATTCATGGAATGATCCACTTGATGCACCATGCTGAGCAGGAGTTGCGTAGGGTCGGGTATCATGATGGGGTCGAGAGGACTGCCGGCGTGACTGATTTTTCACATCGTGGCGCGATCCATGCATAGGGATCGCATCGCGTGAATTAGCGAATTGGTCCCCTGAGGACCCACGATTTTCGGGATCAAAGGTTGGAATTGGCCGGGGAGGGGAGGGAGAACGGGCAGTATCATCTACCACAGACTGATTTTGTCGGAACGAGTTCATTGCAGAGTTGCGCCTTGAAGTGTGAGATGTTGCGGAGAATCGAGAGTTTGACTGAACGGAATGTCGTGAGCTTGATCGATAGTGAGATCCACGGTCGCTGTAATTGTCGCTGTAGTTGTCCCCACCAGGGGTACGAGATCTTCCATCCGGTGAAGGATGGAATCCCCGTTCATGACCTGGTGATCTAGATCTTCCCGGCCTTGGGAATTCTGGCCGACGGCGATCCTTCCCACGGCGGTCACGACCACGTCGAGGTGACCTTCGTCTGGGAGCACCGCGACCTTGATTCCGACCGCCTCGCTTTCTGTACGAGGGGCTTCGGTCTCTTCCTTCCCCGTGCTTAGGGAAATTCGATCGCTGCGGAGGCATGGGACCACGGCGCCCACCTGGCGAGGGACTTCGAGTCCGTTGTCGTTTGAATGGAGGCCCGTTTGGTGATTCGGCTCTTCGAAACGCGGGGGCCTCTCTATCGAAAGGCGCAGAAGGATGGGCGTTCCAATCACCTGCAGATGATGCAGGTCGGGCCAAATCCGTGCGACGATTATGGTGGAAATTTGGTGGTCCAGGGGAGCCTTGAGGATGAGATCGTTCGGGAGCAAAATCGCCTAGGTCGTGCGAAGAGTCAGGGCCAAAGCGGGACGCGCGCGGTGGCGACCGCCCAGGTCGATCGAAGTTGCGGTTGTTGGGCCGATGCGGACGACCTCGATCACGTCCTCTGCCTCTGCCTCGATCACGGCCTGACCCTCGGCCCCTACGCCTCTCGCTGTCGCGGGGGTCACGCTCATGGTCAGCGCTCCACTGGTCTCTTAGCACAGGACTCCTACGGGACGTAGCCATGTTCACGTCGCCAACGGCATCTGGTTCAAATGAAAATTGGAGTATGTGCCAAAGAGGGGCAGTCCTTGGGAGAAGCCTTAGCCGGAATATAACGATGAACAGGCGTAGTGCGCGATGGTCGTTTCCAAGCGTGTCTCCGATCCAGGCGGAAGTCTTTCGGGGGTCGGGTGTAGGGTTGTTCCGCTTTCCGAACTATCGCTGTGAACAACGTAAATCGTGAGCAAGGGGAGGTTGAACCGGGGCTATACGCACCTATTCAGGTTTATCAAATACACCTCTTTTTGATTAAAAGAGATAGAAAAAAGGACTACTGATGAGCGAAGGTCAGGTGGATGACCTCGGGGTTGCTGACTGGTTCCGGGGCTCTACTTGATTCGACGCTGAAAAATTGGCATGCAGCTGTCGAAGACAAGTGCAACTGGTGCTCTGCAGGTCCCCTGTCTTGGAAGTGTCGGGGTTTGTCTGCTCAGATGTTGATCCGATCAGTTGACGTGGGAGCCCGATAGTTAAAAGGTCGGGGGTCACAGTCATCCTGGAAGCCTGGAGCTGTTTCCTTTGTGCTCATTCTGCACTTTGTACAGCAACCTGCGTGCAGCAAGGCTGGACGAAGACCGCAAGAGACCGCATTGGTCAGGTCCACAGAAAGAACTATCTACATATTGAAGAAGGCCAGATGGGCCATCATCCACAAAGCATCGTGGTGAGTAGGGCCCCAATTCGGGGATGCCTGCTCACGTAAATCACTGGACGTATCTTAATCAGTTGCTCTCATGTATCACAAGGTTGCTGGGCCATTCGAGGCAATCCACTGTGTGGTTTGCTGACACGATGTTGAAACCCCGGTGTGTGATATCCAATTGTCGAATTCTCCGATGCGCCGTGGAATGGTCTGTTGGCAAAGGTCCCAGGAATCTCCGCCCGCAAGAGGAGGTCGCTGTAGTAGTGTTGGGGTTTACAACAGATAACTTGGTGACCGATTATCTGGGGACAATACCACCGCGAGGAAACTTGGAACCTCCAATACCGACTTCAACTCAAGTCAGATTTTGTCAAATCCGGGCATTAGGTCCTGTTGCTCATCTGAGTCTTCATGTTGATCGTATCTGGTCAGCTTCCAGGGTTGGCTTGAGCGGGTGGCTGATAATGACGGCGGGTGTACTGGAAGTGAGGAGATCAATGTACGAGGCACCCAAGGCCACACATAAAACGAATCCAAGTTGCCGTTCCCATCGCAGCGCTCGCAGAATAAGAGAGTCCCTAACACTGCGTCCCGTGTGTGAAGTGGGAAAGAGGCTAAGCCCCTCTGCACCCAACCTCCCGCCTCTCATATTAAATCGCTGGGATCCATGCCAGGTCCAAAAAGTCACCGTTGTTAACCTAAAGCAAGCAACGCCTCATGATGTGGGTGTGATCGCAAGGAAATCAATGCCGCGGCCTGAAACTTGACCCGAGATTCAAGGTTGAAACACAAACCCCCGATCGCTCTTCCCGGAAGCGACAGCATATCACAAAGTAAAATCATTCAGGATTATGATCCGGGAAAAGTTAACATGGATGATCGACAGGGACGCAGGCCTGCATCAGGTGGAAGAACTAGGAGAGCCGGGAGTGCTCAAGTGGGTTGATGTCATGAGCAAGCCGAAGTTGTTGGACTGGGCGAGGGGTCACATGTGGTCACGTGCTGCTTACGAAGTATACAACGAGCCTGTTTACCGCGCAATATTACTCTTTCGGGGTCACTAATGTATATATTTGTACTACGTATATCTCAGAGTACTCATGAATTGCATTCGGTCTCATTTTGCTATTGAAAGTTGTGATGTCGAGGACCAGATAACTTGAAACCCCACATTGGACAGATGAACTTGAGGAGATATGGGGAAGCACACGGTTTCTTCGTGGAAGTTAGTTTGGATCGCGACTGAAAACTGAATAATTGCTAGAGGAGCACTGAGCCTGGTTCCTCGCAGAGCTCGGCATTGATTCAGATGGCATAGTTAGGCCCGGGAAATCTTCAGGGGCAATGAATGCTAACTGATAACAGACATCCATTACCTCGGCTGGGGAGCTCGAACTGATCGAGTGCACTGTCGTAGATGGTAGACCTGGCTGATTTGTAGACGTCTCAATGGGCGAATTCAAAGTAAATGGCGAAATGTTGATATCCACAGAGCCAGCTGCGTTCTCCGCATGGGGAGAGGTAGACGAGGTGAGTTGTTGTGAATTTGGTGATGGATGCCATTGAACTTGCGAGATAGGCACCAAACTACCATCAATTTCTAAAGGTGGGTGATCTCTCATCAAAACGCCTTGTTCGGTCAGAGCTATCCATGGGGGCACTCGACGCTGCTGTTGACTAGTGGGAACCATAATCGACCGGAGCTGATCGACGGGGATGCCGACAAGAATCGTTTGTTGAAGAGGCCATATTTGAAGCAAACCCTCTCGGGGGTATGGGTTTGGCGGCGTGTGGGGAGCTGCGCAGTGATCATGGCACACTGAAGAACAATCCCCAGTGGCGGTCTTAGTGCATAGCCTGGGGGCCAGATACAGAGGGTTATGAGCCACATCGTGTGGAGTAACAGAGCCGTGGTGCCTCAAAGGATTATGCTCAGGGCACTGGGTTGTTGGTTTAGTTCGCGTCGAGGAGGGAGATTCTGTATCAACCGCATCGAGTTCAAAGCTATCCGGACGCGGTAGTGCAGAGGTCATTTCCACAGCCATGGGGCTTGAGCACACTTGAACAGGAGTCATATTGTGCATCATAGGGACCCCAAATGAGCCTGGGTCCGATTGTTTCGACATGTTCTCGTAAGTCATATCTCTAGGAGTAGCTGGAAGGGGATCAAATTGCATAATGGGCAGCTGAAAAGGATCCGGTGACGAGGAAGTGCTTCTGGGTGCTTCTGAGTGAATACTTTGTGGCTTCTGTTTAGAGTTTGGAGATTGGTAAAGTGCATGTGGCAGCAACTGATCTTCGTCGGGAGATGGTAAGGCCGGAAGAGACGAATCTGATGACAGAGAGAGTGATGCAGGTCGATCTCGTGGCTCTGAGCCCCCAGGAGATGCAGGTCGATCGAACACGTCGTTGGCATTGATGCGCTCGACTTCGATATCTCGCATGTGGGAGTCGATGTTTGATTGGAGGACTTCAAGAGTATCAGAGACTCGACGGAAATACTCTCGCTCGGTAGCTTCGATAGAAAGTTGGGGTTCAATGGGAGGAGTGACGGCGATGGCTTCACCCTGGGAGAAGCTACTCAACGAGGGATTAATTTCTGATTGCACTGCGTGGTCATCCATCATGCCTGATTCAACGCAACAACTTCACGAGGACAAAAAGGTATTGAAAGGAAAAGAGAAACGAAGGCGGAAGAGATATATCTGTGAGAGGGGATCACGACCTGAGAGCCCAGAAGGCGTGTTTGATTGGAGTATCTCCACAAGATCTACGGAGTACAGGTGACTGGAACCCCGGATATACCAGAGCTATCCACGGACTTCAGGATGAGTGGCCTCCCATCCTCTAAGGGGTTCAATGATCAGTAGGTACCTATTCTCGCGACTCCCATGTTATATCCTGACCGGCATCAACCTTTCAACTTGTGACGCCTGGAACGGACTTTTAAGCGGGCCATTGCTAGTGCAATTTGAGAGGTACATTAGCACCAGTAAATACACCAAGCCACTTCTGAGTTAAGAAATTGCAAGTATTTCTTCAACCTGGAATTGGCTCCACGTACGAGATCAAGAGGTGTTATTGTTGTCCGGGCGAGGAATGATATAAAGATCTAGATCCACAAACCGCAGGGCTATGTATGGTAATCGCTACACGGAGGATGTCAGCTACACCCTGCCTCCGTTCCGAGGGACAAACAGACGTAGTATAAAGGTGAGACGCGGAGACGGGACGAAGGGAAGAAGCTGCGAAGACACATGTAGCAACAACAGAGCTTAGCTCACCAGACCTGGAATATCCATGGATGGAGAGTCCCTCGTGGACGTGCTTGAGGTTCTACTAGACTAGACACAAAAGGTTAGCCGATGTCATACGCAAACATAACCCTGCATATACAAAAGGCTCAGACTTTGCCTGTTTACCGCATGCTCAACCAGCTCGCGAGCCCGAGGGCCAAAGTAGTACGGCGGTTAAGTCCTCGGATTACCAGAGAGCTCAAAAGAGTTTCTTCATTGCAAGTGTATATGGTGCAGGTATTCATATTCAATTTGACGTACTTAACGAGAAATTAAGAGAAAGAAAAAAGGACAAGTTCTAGGGATGTGCCGTGCATTCAGGTCATCACCGCATCATGGGTTGCTGTAAAGCCCTCGTGATGATGGTTTTAGATGCGATTCAATCAATCTCGACACACACATCGGAAACGCCAAGACTGTAATAAGAAAAGAGTCGTCGACGTTGATTTGAGTTGGTGGTCTTGAATGAAGAAGAAAAAAGGAAGAAGAGAAGAAAACGGCGACGAAAGAAAAAGGGAAAACGGGAAAAAAGACGGTGCGGGCTGCAGGCGAACGGCACTCTGATTGGCTGGAGCTGCTCTCTACTCAAGTCTCCGATCCTCTCTCTTTTCCTTCAATCTCCAATCTTTTGCTTCGAGTCTTTGTTTCAACGATTTTATTCTCGCCCTCTTCTTCTTTAGCTGATATTTTAACGACCCTTCCGACCCTCAATTACTGCTGCCACCAATTCCTCGGATTTCCAATCCTCCACTTCCCTCGGTCATCCGCCCAAGTTTCCACTTCCACTACCTCTCTGTTCGCACCTACACTACGTCACCGAGAAAAACAGCGCGGGCGTCTCATTTCTCTGTGTAACACTCATTTCGGATTCCTTTCTTCCCCCCTGATGACCGCTCGTGTCTCGGGCAGTCTTCTCACCCGCCGCGATGGATAATGCAAACCTGTGGACCCGCCGGACAAAGTAAGTCGTGTGCCCCTCACCAAAGTGACACCACGTCGAAGACTGACTTTTATTCCCCTTTTTTCCTGTATTAGCTCTTCCAAGCTGTCCCTATCAACACCTGGGGCAGACGTTAAAGATGGTGCCCGTGTCGAACTGCCCCGCCCATCTAAGCGGTTCGGCCCCGACAGCTCCCATGGCCGCTCAAATCCCTTTAATGCAATGTCCCCATTATCCGGCGCCGTTTCTTCGCCATCCACCAACGCTTCTTCTGCCTTTGGCCTGGGATCTGGCGCTTTCGCCTCTTTCGGTGCGCCCAAGACTCCCGGTGGCTCCGAGTTGAAAACACCCGGCGAACGGCGGGACGTACTGATGGAACACGACGAGGCCCAAACCGCCTTTGATCATGTCCTGTCTGCTCCTGGTGAGCATGGCCTCAAGTCGACATGGATTGTCTGGTACCGCCCTCCCACACCTAAATATTCCGACTATGAAAAGTCTACCGTGCCGTTGGCTTCGATAAACTCGGTAGAGAGCTTCTGGGCTGTCTACTCCCATCTCAAACGCCCTTCTCTCCTTCCGACTGTTTCCGATTACCACATTTTTAAGAAAGGTATCCGCCCCGTCTGGGAAGACGAGGCGAACAAGCGAGGAGGCAAGTGGATCGTGCGCTTCAAGAAGGGTGTATCCGATCGTTACTGGGAGGATCTCCTCCTGGCTATGGTTGGAGACCAGTTTGCGGAGGCCGGGGATGAAGTTTGTGGTGCCGTTCTCAGCGTCCGTGGCGGCGAGGATGTATTGAGTGTCTGGACCAGAATTGATGGGGGGCGCAACATTAAGATCAGGTTCGCATCGCCTGCTTTTCCCCACTGCCTCTGATATCTAACCTTCATCTAGAGAAACGATCAAGCGCCTGTTAGCATTCCCGACAGACACCAATATCATCTGGAAAAGCCACGATGACAGCATTGCACAGCGGTCTGCTATTGACCAGGCTCGTCATGAGAAGGCTGTCACTGGCACAGGTCACCAAGAACGGCGACGCCCAGGCCAGGATGACCCAGAAAAGGGTAAACCGGCTGTGGCCCTATGAATGGGACATTAGCAACCCGGCCATGGGCCCCTGTACAGTAAACCCGAAAAGGAAAAAAAAAAGAAACCTTCATTCACGAATCATTGGGACGCGTTTGGGTCTTATGGGGCGGCGGGGCATCGAGGCGAACTCAGCGGTTTGATTTGGTTTATGTCTTGAGTGAACTCATCTGTGATATGTGTCTTTTGTTATCTGAGCTCATGCGTGATGTTCTCCTTCTGTATGCAACATGAATGCAGCAGCAGTCTGCTAATGTTTTTTTTTTTTTTTTATAACACTATTCTTTATGCCCCCTGTTCAAGTATCAATTACCAATGAATGGTATTTCAAGTAAATATTCTGCTCACATACAATAGATATACTACAATGGGCATACAATAGGCATGTTCATTGAGCATCATCTTATACCCACCAATTGAATAGTGACACCTGAATTATAAGGTGCCAAAAAGTTTTGACCGCCTACGCTGAATATGACGATAGGTACTTTGAACCTCAGAATGAGGAAGAGCTCGTCAAAAAACACATGGAACCCATATAATGCCCGGGAGTGGCTGCTTTAATGTCTGTTTATGAAAGTTTTGCAAAGTTTCTTGCAAATCTCTCACCACGAAGCCAACGGGGCCAAGGCCATCGATCTGCTGTTCAGCCTGGACAACCCCAGACTCATCCTCGCTATCAGACTGCTTATAGTCCCTTCGCTCCCAAAAACGACTATCTGCCCGAAGCCACTTCCGCTGAAAGTGCTGGTGTGACTGGTCACCCGGAGGTGTGTACGATATCTGCGCGTTCCCGCCCATTTTTGTCTTTTTGCCAATCTTGCTGTACGAACCTCCTCAGCTGTCCTGGGCTTGTTTGTCGAGCTATCAGTTTCACCTAGTCTTGTTCCGGTCGCTTGGGCTACACCAAGGTAACTTTATTAATATCAGGCTGATGGTCATTTCTAGGCTGTTCATAGTTATGTCGATACACTTTCCCCACCACCTGGAACTCCGACTACAAGCCAGCGCGCGCCTCCTCAATTTTCAGAACCTGTCATAGACCCAGGCAATCGGTTAGAGATGAATCCTTCCTACCAGCCCATCAGCATGCATCTGACAACATCAACCTCGCACAGAACTCGCCCGTCGACACAGATGGTGAACAAGAACTCCCAGGACCGACAAGATGAGGCTCGTCTGTTGGGAGGCTCATACTAGTGCGTTTTATGACCGAATGAATGGGATGCAACAAGAGTGCTGACATGCGTTTCGTTGTTAAGCAAGGACCCTCAAGCCGTCAAGATAAAGGCCGGCGCAACAATGCCACCCAAGACAAAGCCAGGGAAGCCAGGGGTGAGCATCAGCTTCATATATATGGGGAAACACTCTCTAACTGCCGGCTATAGGCCAGTTATTCTTTCTCGCCATCAGACAAGATCACCAGTAAATTTCGCACAAGTCCACCAGCTCGTGCTCGAACGAAGCCAAAAGATCAAGCTTCAGGCATGCGGCGAAACCCAACGCTCCCCGAAGATCCATTTGAAGAATTGAGCCGGCCAAATAAGAAGCAGCGCCAAGGTGACAGCTCTGGATTTCGCTCAACCGCCACAGCAGATGCCACAGTGGATCATTCTCGCCAGGGGGCCATGAGTCGCAGTGTTCAAAACCCCAAGGCGAAACAAAGGTTAAACACTGGACCCCTCCATTGTGCCGATGAACAAAAAGAAGCGGAGAATGATATTTCAACCTCACCGAGCCGTCGTCGGACTCATGTCAACCAGTCCACGGTTGTCAAAGACCCCGATGAGGAATTCACTGGCAAAGCTGCGCAACAACGACGAGATTTACTCAAAAAAGTGGACTCCCAAGCGCCTAAGACCAATGGCAAACGCAAAAGCACTGATCACCCAATTACCATGGACAGGGTTGAGATCCCAACAAAGAAGTCCAAGAGGGACACGACTGCTACTTCTTATTTGAGTCGTTATAGTTTCAACGGCAGGGAGAGTCCTGACGAGTTACAAGGCGACATCACCACACATCCCAGGAAATCCACGACAGGGAAGTCCGCCAAAACCACACGTTCTCGTCCTTTGAAGAGCGAACCGCAACTCGAACTCGTTACCCAGAAGCGATCTTCATCCGACATTCAACCTACGGTCTTCACTTCGCCACCACAGGGCAATAAGAAGAACAAGCGCTCATATGCAAAACTCCCCAAAAAACCATTGAAAGCATCTTATTATCTAATCGAATCATTCACCAAACAATGCAGTGATGGGAATTCCATTCCAATCTATGTCACAGATGATGGGTTTGAACTTCGCGCAGACTCTCTCGGCTTGGATCAAACTCTCAAGATCCCATCGGATCGGATCACCCACCTTTACTACAGTCATGGGATGACGCAGACGAAAGTTACATTGATGGTGTCGCAATATAAAAATGATAGTGATCAAATATTTGACCTTGAGTTTTGCAAAAAGGAAGCGTCGGGCAGCATGGCCTTGTTCCACCAATTACTCGATCCACACAATGTTCCATTCGATAAAAAAGATGAGTATGGCATCAAACGACCTTGCTCGTGTTGATCCATCCAGCTAACGTTTAATAGAGTTGAGATGAATGCCGAATTTGCATCTCATGCAAAGAAATCTGAACATGTGGCTAGCCAGACCCTGATGTCTCTGCACGGCGATAACTCTGATGTTGTTCCCGCCAAACAGAGGCAACGTTGCAAAATCTCTGGTCAGCTAAGATTGGCTGATGGGGAACTTTCCGTTGCAAAAGGGACCAGGAGTGAGCGCATCAAGATTCCCGGAAATGGCACTGGCAAGCCCCGAAACGCCTCTCCAGATCTTGGTAAAAGCCTGAAGTCAATATTGGATGACCAAAAACTTCAATCTACCGCCAAAGATGCCGCAACTGAATTCGAGATACCCGTGGAGCCATTGGAACCCACTGGCCGTGGGACCCGATCTCGGACATGTCGCGAAGTGCCCAGGGCGTACCACCGCGCAACGAACGGGTGTGGACCAGCCAATAAGGATCAAATTTCTGGTCTTCTCGAAAATGACAGTTTCCGTGAACATTGGAAGCAGCCTTTGGTCTACCCGCCAAATGGAAAAAAGAAGGCAGAGGTCAATATCGAAGACCGTGACCGGCTCCGCGAGGACACATACCTTAACGATAACCTCATTGCTTTCTACATGCGTTTTCTCCAAGACAATCTCGAGCGAACGAACCCAGACGCAGCAAAGCGTGTATACTTCTTCAATTCTTATTTCTTCGCAACTCTCAGACCCCAAGGCACTTCTGAATTCAATTACAAAGGAGTGGAAAAGTGGACCCGGAACGTGGACCTCTTCGCCTATGACTACATTCTAGTGCCTATCAATGAACATCAGCATTGGTACGTTGCCATCATCTGCAACTTGCCTGGCCTGTCATTGGAAGATGCGGAGCCGGTAGACTCAGAAGAGTCAGCTCAGACATCGTCTGAAACCAAGGAAACAGAGACACCACACTCAGTGGATGTGCAGAAAATCGACGAAACCCCGGAGCCGGAGTCAGAATCAGAGTCGGAGAATTCTGCTAAACCAGCTGTCGAGAGGTATGCCAAGACATCTTCCGAACCTTCAAGAGAAAATCATGTTCGAAGACACCGTGCTTCTTCATCGGCAGAGGAGCAAGCGCCTGCAGCCGATGACACAAAACGACCAGAAAGAAAAGCACACCTTCCCTCTTCCGATGGAGACTCAGATGCCGATGAGAATCCAACTTTGGGGGCAAACTTGTCAAAGGTAGCGGCTCAACAGCTTGCCCAAGACGAGACTGCGGCTTCTCAGTCAACAAAAAGTTCCGGGAAGAAGAAACGGGCAGGGCCAAAGCTTAGCCCGAACCAGCCAACGATTATCACTTTTGACTCCCTTGATGTCTCCCGTTCCCCGACTATTAAAGTACTTCGCGACTACATTTCGGCAGAGGCGAAGGGCAAGCGTGGGATGCAAATCAAACCCAACGATATCAAGGGGATGCGGGGCCGGGAAATTCCCTTGCAACCAAACTTCTCAGACTGCGGACTTTATCTATTGGCATACTTGGAAAAGTTCACACAAAGCCCCGATTGGTTCATTGCCAAGGTCCTTCAGCGAGGCATGGATTCTGACATTGATTGGCCTCCTCTGGGATCTGGTCTTCTTCGGTACCGCCTGCGAACTTTTCTTGACGATCTCTACAAAGAGCAAATCCTCACGACCCAGGGGCGCAATGAACCGATTATGGCAGACCGATTACCAATCACTTTCTTGCTTGGTCCACCCATGCCCCGCCAGAGGAATATCCCTACGGATGAAGCAGTACCGCAGTCGCGACAAGAGGCCCAGCAGGAAGTCGATCCGTCACGCACTACCCCAAGGGCGGAATCCACACCCGTGGAATCTGGGACACCGAAGACCACTGAAGACCACGACCATGATTCGGTTGGCGATCAGCTGCACATGGCATCGATGGGAACCCCCCGAGCTCTAAACTCCAAGAACCCCTCAGCTAGGAAGTCTGAAAGCCACCGGACTTCCACGAAAAAGCGGCCAATCATCCAAGTACCCGGTAGCCAAGAGGAGCTGGATGATCATACACCTTCGCCCGCAGAAGCTCGCCGAAAGCGACAGAATATGAGGGGCCTATAAAACATCATGAATACGCCCATCGGGACATCCTGAGTCGTTGTCCCCCAAATCCTTCTGTTTGCGAGTGCCTCAACAACTCACCGCAGCCTTATCCTTTTACGGACCATTCATCTTGTTTTTAGCGTTTCGTGCCACGTTTCATGAGGCATCATCGTTCCCCCCTCTGGCTGTAACTCTGCGGCCGAGGGGGTTTGAAAACCAGCGAGCTGAATATTGAAACGCCACAGTAGTGTGATAGCATAAGATACCATTGTCTGCATTGTAATGCAATTGCGTTATTCGATCCATCCTGAGGTCCTTGACTTGTCTATTGTTTAATCTACCGGTAAAGCAATTTTCAATGCATCGTTGTCCCCGAGTCTGTTTCACCACTCACTCTCCGTTGCCCTAGCCCACCATGCTATTTTATCCTTTTTGAAAGTCTCAAAGTCCCACTCCGCCTCTTCTAGCAATTCCCGGTCAAGGATCCACACGTAAGTCACTGCCAATACCTCTTCACCTTCCTCTGAAGCATCGACGCGAGCCGTATCGGGCATATGAGGTAGCCCTTTGCTTGAATCACTGTAGTTTCCATCCGAATACTTAAACTTCTGCACGACCACTTCCGTTTTTGCATACTCCGAGCCCTCGAACATGTCAAGCCGATAGATATCCCCGTCCGTTAACCCCGAGACAAGGGTCCCAAGAACCGAGGTTCTGGAATTGGAAGTAGTCTCTGAGATAGTGCCATTCTCATCAAATTTCTCCACAGGCACGATAGCGGGATAGTCGGCATTTCGTACACAGTGGCGGCGATACCCGCGTAGAATGGCTGGCTGAATGTTGATCATAGCTTTTTGCCAGGGCTCAGGGTTGGCGCTGCCGTGAATGACATTATGAAGCACCTGAGGGGCCATGAGTGTTCCTCAGAGATGTCAGCTTGGATACATTCCTGCGAAAGAGCAATTTACCATAGAAGAAGAGGACGTGGTCACCCATCGTGTCTGCCGGTGTGGGGTCCAAAAGCTAAAGTGATAACACTCACTGCTCAAGTAGAAGTGGATTTGGAAAAATATGTTGAGATGAGGTAAAGTAATTCTGAGATGATAGTTCCAGATATAACTTTAAAAAGACCTTTTATGTTCCAGCAAAACGGAGAAGTAAACCTTGGAAGACGACACCAGAGATAGCGGGCTATAGATGCCGCTTATCGATAAGCGCCAAAACACAACCGGCCCAGCTGGCTTCATCTCTTCCTCTCCTAGCAACCACCCACGATGCACTCCTCACTAACCCGCATTCAGTCAGTATTTGGCTTCTTCACCACGGTCGCGCTAGTTGTCAGTACATTCGCCGCAGTTTCAGTCCTGCTCTTTCCCACAGAGGACACCAATGCCTCTGTACAGCTGAAGAACGTCCAGGTGTAGGTGAATCGCAACCTTCAGTTACATGCCACAGGCATACACCCTCGCAAGTACTGATTCAAACTCAAATACAGCGTCAAAGGCCGGCCGCACTATCACTCGACCAAACGCGAGGAATACGCGCAGTTCCGCTTCGACCTCGACGCTGATCTTAGCCCGCTTTTCAACTGGAATACCAAACAGCTCTTCGTCTACGTTTATGCCACCTACTCCTCATCCGATAAGCCTGATTCGCAAGTCCGCGATTCTGAAGTCATCATTTGGGATGTCATCATCCCCGCAACACCATCCCCATATTCCTTTGATGTCCTCAAGGACAAAGTAACCGCCCTCCTCCCCGAGTCGCTTTCGTCATCATCTGCGTCCGCCGCTCGACGAAACAAGAAGCGCAATGCGAAGCCTACCAAGGCCGCGAAGAAGAAGCAGGAGGAGGCCTTGGCGCCTGGCGTGCTAAGGCTGCGTGGCCAAAAGGGCAAGTACCAGATCAGCGATATCACCGGACGTCTTGCTGAGCGCCAGAACGTGACTCTCCACGTTGGTTGGAATGTTCAGCCGTGGGTTGGTGCTTTATTCTGGGCCCCCAGGACCGGTGCTTTGCCCCGGACTGCGGGAACGATTGTCACCAGTGAGGCTTTTGATTTCCCTGAATTGAAGGGAAACAAGAAGGCCGCTGCTGAAGAGAAGGCGAAGACAGAGCAGGCGCGTGCATAGTTTTGACCAGACAGGGTTAGGATTTTTACCGGGTCGTCTCTCCTCGGGTACATTTCATGTCTTCTAAGTCATATGTGAAAAGCAATATAAACGGGAATAATCCCTTCGATTTTTGAAGGGGCTTACTGCATTCTCGCATTGAATAAGCAGCTTGATAGAGGTTGCTGGCAAACAATCTAGACCCTCAAGAGTTGCAGTGTTCCAAAGTTGTGGTCCAGTAGTTAAGTCATTATTTTATTTTGGTACTCCAGGTGGGAATTACCGAGGTAATTTCACCCAAGTGGAAGGCTTCATTAAGGGTATGAATATTAAAACAGCAAGAATCGCTTAGGCCAAGGTCATATGAGCATCGATCCAGACAGGGTCATCGAAGAAGAGTCGATAGAAGAACTCGGAGTGAAATAAAGAAGATCACACCGTGCCGTAATTCCTGTCTGCATGTGTGTGGTGATGACCTCCATTCTGGATGCGATCAGAATAGACACCGGGTGCGGGCCGTTGAGATGCTCGGGTTAGGGGATCGCGGTTGCGGCGATCATAGTAAACGTATTCCAAGTAGAAGGCATGAATGTGACCGGGGAAGTAGCTAGAGGTACCAGTTAGCTGCTGAGAAGGATTGGGTTCGTGGGAGACCTACCCGAGAACAGTGAGGAGGACGTTGATCCAGAAGTCGACTCCACAGCCTGAGATAAGGAAGACACCAAGAGGGGGAACTGAGTTTCGTTAGAAAATGAACAGCAGACAATGTATGAAAATAAAACCTACTGAAGATAGTGATGATGATCATGCACAGCATTGAACAAGTGCCTGCCATGATTGCGGATTTGGTTTAGTCAAGGTTGGAGTGGTTGAAGTCGGTGGTAGTGAGGAGGCTAAGGAGCAGGATTGTGAAGAGGGAGGATGAAGATATAAATAGGCTCGTTATCGTCGGTGGGAGAGTTAATGCGTTTCATCTTGGCCCACGACGTCAGAAGATCGACTGAGAGGAACCGGTAGGGCTGAGGCAGCCGTGATGCTGATTGGTGGCAGCGATGGGTGACGTCACATCACACCAGATAGGTGAATCGACGCCACACGCCACAGATGTGGCGGTGCACACCCGTGTTGTGTTTGGGGGATCTTTGTTTGATCCAAAAGTACGGCAAGATGACATACAAGAGCTTGTTTCCGGTTTTTGCTGTCTCTACACAGCATCGATCGCCGCTCGAGTAGTGACTTGCTCATTTTTGTTGCCAAGCTTCGAGATCTGCAGGAATGCGTCCACGCCGTACCCTTCCAGACTGTGTAGTTCGAGACTGCCAGCCCAGTATTCAGCGTACACTCGGCTCATGGGCAAACCCATTCCCAACCGCAGATCCGGTGGGCGTGATGTCAGTGTGTCCAAAGATCCTTCGTGGTATGATAAGAATGATGAGTTCTGTCCGGCATACTTGCGCTCGTGTGACACTTGCAGCTCTTGCATGGTAGCTGCCATGGCGGGGACCCGCCCAAGGTTTTCCAACCGGGTCTGCGTCCGAGGGCCCTTGCTAAATGACCAGAGATAAGGAAGAATCTCTCGTGGGATTCCTCCACCCTGGTCGGAGATTCGCATTATCACGTGCTGTGGGGTTTCACACACGAGCACCTGAATCGGTGGTGGAGGCTGGGTAGAACCTTGATAGTTCTCCATCACCGCCTGCACCGAGTTGCGAAGAAGCTCTCCGATGATGTATTCCAGATGGCTCAGTATATACGGGAAAGTGGCGTCGGTGTGGCCCTGAACCGTGATGGCAGGGATCTGAGTAGACTCCGAGGTCTTCCGCATCAGATCTTGTGCAACCTTGCCACATCTCTCGACCACCTCTTTCGCCTTGCATTTGAGAAACACCTCCCCCACAAAGTCTGCATTCATGTCGGTTCGGTCGTGGGAATCGGGAAAATGCCATGGTGAGTTGAAGGTTTCGGTTAGAGCGAGGTGCTGCTCGGCGATGACTCGACGAGATATTCTCTGCAAATCAAGAACGACGGTTAGCCGGATGTTACTTTCAATAACAATGATTCGACCTACCGCTCGCAAAAGTGTGTTCATCAAACGATCCATCTCATCTGCCGGTGCGAGGTTTCGGCATTCTAATACCCCCATCGCTAGATTGGGAATCACCACCAGATGCTCTCTCAACATCTCCTTCAGGATCTCACAGAACCGGTCATTGTCCTCGAGGCTCTTGATCTCGGGCACCACACGAGCCTTCTCGAACGCTTTGTAGTAGAGTTCGTACACGAGGGTGAGATGCGGGTTGGCCACCACGACATAGGGTAGCTGTTGGATATCTCGCAGTCGATGCGCTAATCTGTTCCATCTTTCCGTCAGACATGCTGGCTCCTTCCATCCTGGATTCGGGTCACGTACCGGGTTGGAAGCTCGGTTCGCACGTAGTTTGCAGAGCTAATCAGGCGCGGTTCGGTCAAGGTACGCCCGAAAAATGTCAGCTGTCGAAGACTGATAGGTCGGATCGCCCTTTCCACCCATCTGGTACGGCACCGAGGTTAGTGCCGGAATTTCATAGCTTGGGCTTGAGTCATACTCATCGACCGCAGACACTGGCCGCCAGGGCGGACTGTGGGATCTGGAATAGAGACGTGCGGGGAGGTACTGGATGGATTTCCAGCTCCGAGGTGAAGAATTCAACCTCATTATGCCTCACTCTCTGTGGAATTAACAAGGTGCAAGATTGCCGTATCTGGAGAGTTTGGGGGGGTTTCGCCGGGCGGTGAGCCAAGCATGTGATGCCCTGTTTCTTCTCTATACCTCGTCTAGTGTTGGTGAAATTATTTGGATACTTTGCGAATGCAATCCCTAGGTAAGATTGAGGCATCAATCTGATCGAATTACCCCTCCGGTATGAATATTGAGCTGACGGGTGAGCTCTATTTATTCGTCCAACGGTGCCTCGGAAGTATCTGCACGGACTCTGGGCCGATCACCTCGTGGAGAGATCATATGAGGGGTTGATTGATATAGACAAGCTCGGCGAGTCGAATGGATGTGGGAAATGGATTCTACATTCAGAGCTTCACAGACCTCGAGCGACCCAGTACAGGGCTGGTAGAAAAACTCTGGTAGAATGCGTGGGCCAGAATGCAGCCGTTTCATTACAGAGGGAGAAGTAGTAAGGCTTCACCGTCTCCTGGGATATACATATACATAATCATACACCTTGGAGATCAACTTTAGAAGAGCAAATGCAGACCCCTAACAGCCAGGAATCAAATCAAAAAGACCCAGGTTAAGCGGACTTCATCTTGAGTAGTAAACCTGATTTCTTCAACGGGCAGATCTAATTGATCCAGAGGCTCCGCCACCGCTAGCTCCGGGCCCTTATTATTCTGCGGGTTCAGAAAGAATCCTCCATCCACTCCCCCGGCGAAACCCTCCCTTGCATTCTTCACTCATTTTAAACCCACCACCCTCCTCCTTCCCCAAATTTACACTGTCGCCTTCCGGCTGGACGGGAAGGCGCTTTCCGCGATGGAAAACGTGAGACCCGACCGTGCCCCTCTGTGTCGTCATTGGCCTAACCCTGCAAACAGCTCGCGGAGAACGACATGCTTGTCGACGACTATGATTATCCGACCGAAAAGACCGACGTCGTCGTCGTGTCTCCCTCGGGCTCCGAGCCCGAGTCGGCAACTGCAGATGACCGTACGTTATGACCTATTGCCTGAAGCACAAAGAGCGATCTTGCGGAGCGAGGCACCCGGATCGGACTACCAACATACGCCCTTGATAATGCGCCGCTGGGTCCGTATGAACATGCTAACTATGACGGTGATATAGACTCCGCAATGATGGCCAAAATCCTCCCAAAAAACCCAGACCTCGAAATCGCAGACGAGGTTGTCAGTACATGGCGTTTGTCGGATTGGCGGAAAATGGAGCGCAAGTCACACGGCCCGGTTTTCCAGTGTGGTGGTTTCCCTTGGTCAGTACAGGAAGTCAAAAGGTCCCCCGGAGATGAGCTGACGTGGGAACAGGCGCATCCTCTTTTTCCCTTATGGTAACCACGCCGAACATGCGTCCTTCTACCTAGAGCATGCATGGGAGGGCGAACCTCCGGCAAACTGGTACGCTTGTGTGCAGTTCGCCCTGGTGTTGTCGAACGTCAATGACCCTTCGATCTATGTCCCGCATGGTAAGAAGTCCGAGTTTGCGGGGTGATGGGGTAACTGGAGCGCTAATTCAAAACTAGTCGCAACCCACCGTTTCACCGCCGATGAAGGTGACTGGGGTTTCACCCGGTTTTATGATCTGAAAGGTCTTTTCACAGATCCATGGGAGGGCAAGAATGTTCCGCTGGTGCAGAATGACGAGGCGATTGTCACTGCCTACGTGCGTGTGGTGAAAGATCCGACAGGTGTTCTATGGCACAGCTTCCAAAACTACGACTCTAAGAAGGAGACTGGTATGGTGGGATTGAGAAACCAAGGAGCCACTTGCTACCTCAATTCCCTTCTGCAGTCCCTTTACTTCACAAATGCCTTCCGTAAGGCAGTCTATCAAATACCGACTGACCAGGAAGCTTCGCGAGAGAACAGCGCGTGGGCTCTTCAAAGACTCTTTTACAATCTGCAGACTAACGAAAGCGCCGTTTCAACGACCGAGCTTACCGCATCCTTCGGCTGGCAATCTAGCCAAATTTTTGAACAACAAGATGTACAGGAGCTTTCACGAAAGCTCATGGAGCGATTGGAGCACAAAATGAAGGGCACTGTTGCCGAGAAGGTTCTGCCAGACCTGTTTGTCGGAAAGACCAAAACATACATTTCGTGCATTAATGTCGACTACGAATCTTCCCGCGTGGAAGATTTCTGGGATATTCAACTCAACGTCCGAGGCAACAAGACTTTGGACGACAGCTTCAAAGACTATATTCAGGTGGAGACGTTGGAAGGAGAGAACAAGTACGAAGCTGGGGCGCCATACGGTCTCCAAGACGCCAAGAAGGGTGTCATCTTTGAGAGCTTCCCGCCAGTCCTACACCTGCATCTCAAACGATTCGAATATGACCTCAACCTCGATATGATGGCGAAGGTCAATGACCTGCACACTTTCCCAATGGAGTTCGATGCTGCTCCTTACCTTTCAAGTGGCGCGGATAAGTCAGAGTCTTGGATCTACCAGTTACATGGTGTTCTTGTCCACAGCGGTAACCTTGATGCTGGTCATTATTATGCTTTCCTGAAACCCACCAAGGATGGACACTGGTACCGCTTCGACGACGATAGAGTCAACCGCGCAACTGACAAGGAAGTTTTGGATGATAACTTTGGAGACGCCCAGCAACGCACCAACGGATCTGGGGGTCGTTCCGCTATTCGCACAAACAACGCTTATATGCTGGTCTACGTTCGGAAGACAAGGCAAGACGACGTACTGTTCCCTGTCACAAAGGAAGACGTGCCCTCTCACATTGAGAAGCGCCTGTCTGAGGATCGGGCTGAGATGTTGCGCAAGAAAAAGGAGAGGGAAGAGGCTCATCTCTACATGAATGTTGGCGTCTTGGACGATGAAAATTTCAAAAACCACCACGGATTCGATCTGACTAGCGTAGATCTGCCTGCGGATGACCCAGCGCTTCCCAAACAATACAAGGCCCTTCGCTCGAAGAAGGTTAGCGAGTTTGCGCAGGAAATTGCCGAGGAACGGGGTCTCAAGGCCGAAGCCATCCGATTTTGGGTCATGGTCAACCGCCAAAACAAGACAACCAGACCCGATCAAGTCATCCGTGACCAAGAGATGACTCTTGATGAAGCATACAGCAAGTTCGGCACCAAGGGCCACGTTTTCCGCGTCTGGGTCGAAGTGGCACCTGCTGGTCCGGACGGACAACCTGCCTCGTGGCCTGACAGCGATTCGATTCTCATTTTCCTGAAAAATTTCGATGTTGCATCTCAGAACTTGGCTGGCGTTGGCTCCGTTTATGTCCGCAAGAGCCAAAAGGTGAGCGAGCTGGCCCCGACAATCCTTTCTCGGATGGGATGGCCTGCCGGAACAGATTTCCTGCTCTTCGAAGAAATCAAACACAACATGATCGATGCCATGAAGCCAAAGCAGACTTTCCAGCAATCTGAGATCCAGGATGGCGACATCATCACCTTCCAAAGATCGCTCAAGGACTCCGAGGTCCCCGCTTCGGCACTTTACACCGACGCGCGGCAATTCTACGACTATCTCCTGAACCGCATGGAAGTTACTTTTGCACCGATCAAGACCAATGAGGGTGATGAATTCACATTGGCTCTCAGCCGCAAGATGACATATGACCAGTTTGCCAAGAAGGTTGGTGAGCATCTTCAAGTGGATGCTACTCATCTTCGATTTGCACCCGTCATGGCCAGCACCGGCAAGGCCAAGCCGTTCCTCAAGCGGACTGTCGGTCAGAATCTCTCTCAAATCCTGACTGGTCAGTATGGGGCCTACGGGTACACCATGCATCGACAGGATGCTTTATACTATGAGATTTTAGACATGAGCCTGAGTGACTATGAGAGCAAGAAGTGCTTCAAAGTGACCTGGTTACCAGAGGGTGTCAGCAAGGAGGTTAGTTCAACTGGTTTCATTGCCCCCGCGCTTTGCCAACTAACGTGCATTTAGGAGAACATTGAAGTTCTGGTTTCTCGCAGTGGCTCGGTCGTGGACCTGCTTTCTGCGCTTCGACAAAAGTTGGATCTCGGCGAAGAGCCGATTCGGGTTGCCGAAACTCACAGTGGGAAGGTTTACAAGGAACTTCGGGAAGATCAGAACGTGCTGTCCATTAACGAATACGCCACGCTCTATGCCGAGAAGATTCCCGCCGAGGAGCTGAACTTGGAAGCTGAGGATCGTGTGATAAGCACCTTCAGCTTTGATCGCGAGCCCAACCGGACTCACGGCATCCCTTTCAAGTTCGTTGTGAAGGCTGGAGAGCTCTTCTCTGAGACCAAGAAGCGACTCTCGGCACGCACACAGATCAAGGGCAAGAACTTCGAAAAGATCAAGTTTGCTGTGGTTCCCCGCGCGGCGCTCTCTAATCCCAAGTATCTTGAAGATGGTTAGTGCCTCATTTCCTTTCCCCTCCCTATTCTAGACGTCTCGCTCACCGACTCCTCCTAGGTGACATTTTGTCCGATGTAGCAGGTGGCTCTGATGACTTCCTGGGTCTTGATCACGCCAACAAGAACCGAAGCTTCTGGGGCAAGAGCGATGGATTTTCCATTCGTTAAACAAGTGTTATAGTTTACCATGGCGCTGAGGGGTTTACGAGTTGAAGGAGGGCTGTATGCTGTGATCCGGTACATGAGCAGTGACGGCCTGATGCGATGATCATGCCTTTTCATTTTTCCAATTGTTTTGTCCAGTCAACTTTTAGTAGAAGGCAATTAAGTCCATATGATGAAAGTACAATTTGAATCATGTCAAGCAAGTCCAGATGTCAATGTGGAGTATAGAGCCCGAGTGTATGGAGTAGTTTGTTTTGTTGCAAACACTGCAAACAGCGGAAGGCAAAGCTGGCCAGAACCACACCTCCTGACGCGAGTATCGACCTAAGTACCCCCAATCACTTTCGGTATATTCTCACAATGCGGTTCGCACTTTTCGCCGGCCTGGCCTCTTTGGTATCCTCAGTCACAGCAACCGCTCTGACCTACAGACTCGAGGCGAACGAGAAAGCATGCTTCTACACAAACGTTGAGCAGAGCAACGCCAAGTTGGCCTTCTACTTCGCGGTAGGTGCAATTGAGTTTTCAGCTGGGCTACGTCTGTTCCGAAGTTATGAAGAATAGCTGGGGGCACATGGAGTCTTCTAATGAGCACCACTGACCGTATGCGCTGCAGGTCCAATCCGGCGGATCTTTCGATGTCGACTACACCGTGACCGCACCGGGCGGCAAGATCGTCCTCGATGGAGCAAAGGAACGCCAGGGTGATTTCGTTTTCACCGCGCAGAGCCTCGGTGAATACACATTCTGCTTCAACAATGAAATGTCCACATTCGCCGAGAAGATGGTTGACTTCGAGATTGCGGTACATAACCTGGGACCTTAGCTTCGGATGATCATTCACTGACTTCACTCAGGTCGAGAACGAGCAACGAGCCGAATTGCCCTCCCGTCAAGGCGCAAGCCCCGAACAAACTTCCAGCTTGGAGGAGTCCATCTACAAGCTCTCTGCTCAACTTTCGACCGTCTCCCGCAACCAGAAGTACTTCCGCACCCGCGAGAACCGTAACTTCAGCACTGTGCGGAGTACCGAGCGTCGTATCTTCAACTTCAGTGTTATCGAGTCCCTGATGATGGTCTCGATGGCTGCATTGCAAGTATTTGTTGTGCGGTTCTTCTTCCAGGGTGCCCGTAAAGGTGCGTACGATTGGTTCTTGAATTCCGTAGTACGGTCGTACAAACGGGCACATGCACACCATACATGTGGTAACATGGTGCCCATGCGTGGCGAATCCGAATACAATCATTCATGTCTTTTTTTGAGATGTACTAACATGAGACAGGTTACGTGTGATATGACTATGAGCATGAAGATGAGAAATAATATGATGCATTTTACCACGTTTTTGGCCTGGCATGTTGACCTAGGTTATCTGGGTCTTTACAAAATCAATTAGCATTCTGTCGTTTGTCCGAAAACAGGAAATATAATCGATATGACATCAACGCACACATCTGTCCGACAGCCAGTGCCCTGTCTATTTCTGTGTCATTGGCAGGAGACCGCGACCGAGACACGCATAGAAGGAGTGTGTACGAGGCGACGTAGTGGGGTTCTGCACATTTCGCGTGGTTTTTCGTGGTAGCTATGACTCCCTATGATAATTCCTTGCAAATTCAGTCACTAATCCGAGTAGAGTCCAGCATGAGCATCAAACCCGGGTACCAGTATTACAGCTATTCCCTGCTCTGTTCCAGGGATGGAACCGGTTTATGCGCGAAAGGGTTCTCTTTGGGGATTAGACCTGGTCTGCTACCAGGTCGAGACCATCGAGCCAAAGACGCGGATGGTTTCATTCTTCCCCGGCGACAGCACCGTTCTTCTGCACATCATACGCCTGTTTACTCACATACCAAGAACCGGTTTTTGTTCAATCAAAATCCCAAGCAGGGGTCTCAAATTGGCAATCCCTGGATTGAGATCCGGGAGCAGAGGCGAAGACTGATCGGTGGAGGACTCGAATGAAGTTGTGCCTCAGCCTGACGCTTTGCGTCGAGCAATGATGCGAGAATTGTGGAAACACATCTTTATGGAATTGGCCACAGCTAGCGCAATGTCGTCGGTCAAAGGGTCGAACACAGTCTGTTAAGACTCGGATTTGGCTCAGATCAGGTTTCCATGCTGATTTTTGCGAAGAAGGCCCGATGGGGGACGGCTAGTGCTTATCCCTGGGTCCAGACCAGAAGCGGAGGCGCAACTTCACATTGATGAATTCATATTGATGAATTCATATCGACTTTTGATGGTGGTTGACCGTCAATCCGAGATTGTCACCTTGGTATATGATGACAGAAATTAAAATCAACGCTAGTTGTGATAGATCGGTGGAAACTAGCGTGTTTGCTGTCGAGCCATGGGGCAATCAGAGTCTATTCACGCTTCCATCTGCTTCAAAACAGGTTTTTTGGCTATTCGGGTCGCGAGTGCCGACAGATGGACATACGGGTACGATGGGCGCACGGTGGGATCCCGAGACATTGCTAGTCTTTATGAGGAGATATGTTTTGTACGAATACTGTTCAGTGCTTTGTGCATGGGAAGTCCTCTACCAACGATCTTGGAGATTCGTGATCTGTCAGAAAGAACGTGAGTTATTGTCGAAGCCTCCATAGCTCTCACCGTTTGCTCCAGTTGAGAAAGAAAGTATCGTAGTACACTTTCAGAAACTGACGGTGACCTCATATGTCTCCAATGTCTTCTCTCTTGGCTGGTGGGTCAACAGATGGCTGGGAATGATATCATTTGCTCTGTATCTCCATTCTCGGGTATCTAAGTGTTTCAATTACTCGAAAGGGACATGCAAGATTCTCCTCTCGGTTGGGGTTGAAGGCTTGTCGCAACCTTATGCGCTCATCTTGTTAGAGCTGACCATCGCAAAAAACGCAGAAAGAAAAGTGGATGGTGATTGCCACAGGTTCAGCCCCGCATGCACTCAGCGCAGGGTCTACTCGTATCGCATGAACGCTAGCACTTCGGTAGTGACATTATCGTATGCTGTCATATTGAGGCGATCAGACCCTCGGGGGTAGATGAAGGTATGGTTCGAGGCCCCCATTGGTAAGGGGGAGAGCTCCACAAAACCAATTCTTTCTACGACATCGTGCAGTATCTCCGCTGTCTCTGATATCACCTGAGCATCATGGCTGCAGAATATTTTGCTGTGAAATCTTTCCAACATACCTGACCGTTGGGATATGACGGCAGCATGCAGATTGTCGCCGGTCCAGACACGACTAATCGCCTTATTTTGTTTTCTTTTTCTTTTTTCCCGTCCTCAATTACGGTCTATCTCAAATTTGGATGGTCGATCATAAATGTAATTGTACAGCGAATGAATGTACTCGTACTCGAACAATGTTAACATTTGGGGAAATTTCTGACGTTGTGTTGCCCCCATCTGAAACATTGTTCGCAAATGATGCCACCAGAACGCAGCATTCGTACAGTACGAGTAGTGCCCCAAGCTAAGATCAGAAGAGGAAGATGGCCTCATCGAGTCATGTCGATCATAGACCAATGTTTCTCCCCCGCTGGCATCACTCAGAGGTTCACGTGAAAACGCAGATGGCAAAAATAAAAATCAAAAATTCATAAAGCGATCTACATAGAATGGATACTCCTCGTATGCGAACACCCCTGTCACTGGCTTTCTCGACCTATGTACGAGTACGAGAATGTATGTACAGTTAGGTTCTGATCAATTATACTCGTGGGTCACCATTACTTAAGTAAATCTGGGAGTTTATACAATGCTGCGCTTCTAAAGTTCGTACGTAGTACAACATATACATATGTTATGCAGGGAAGAGGCCATAAACAACCACATTGGAAGTGTATATACCTAGACATGTGCCAATACCTCTATAGCCTGATCCTAACTATGTGGCTCGATAGATTAACGCATGTAGATGCAAGTATACTTTAGAATCTACTCCGTATACAATGTACCAACGAGGGTTCTTGACGTCAGGTGCCTCTGTCTGCCTCAGGCATCAAACATAGACGGGACTGTATCTCCGTGACAAATGAGAGGCCATCCTTTCTTCTGTTCTCCATCTTTTCCACACACGAAGACCGAAAGCATCCGTTTATCTTTAATGTGTCCTATGGTTCCTGCATGTGGAGATATTGCCGATGGCTGAAGCTCAAACCACATCGATGCTCGGATCGCCCCGATGCCTCGAGGTATGACGTCGAGGCTGAGCCTCACAGGCTGTTTTTTTATTTTTTCTTATTCTTCTGCTTCTTCCTCGCTTCTCGGCGTTGGCTCCCCCCCCTACACAGAGAATTCGTCCTGTGCCGTAGAGATCTGTTTGGCAAGCACCTTGAGAGAAAACTGTATCCCAGCCTCGAACTATGAGGACTTGCAGCATGCTCGAGATAGCGACGGGGTACGTTGTCCCATCTCCGTGGGAGCACTCCACCGGGGATGTCCACAAGGGTTTCCGCCTGACCCAAGGACAACCTATCCCATAACGATTTAGAATGCACAATGGGCCTCGCCGTTCAAATGGGCCATGACCATGCCGATTATGATTCGTCCTGTCAACGTCAGGCGAAGATCTGCAGGGGACCGGACTATGGTGGCGCCGATCTCAGAGTAGCCAGTGGCTTTTCGGCACCTATCAGTGGTCCATCAGTGATCCATCGGCATTCCCCAGTGACCTCATCGGATGACTCTAGCCAATCCACCCGGTGGACCGACTGATGTTGTTGCTCCCAAAGCGAACCACTCTCCATCCAGCGGTGGAGTATACGTATTTCATAACGTCTCCCGATGATGTTACGACCCCACCGCTCTAGGACAATGCTTTCCTACATCGTACATTACACTGCTGGGGGAGGGCTGATACTTCTTATGATGTCGCCGAGGAAGTCTCCCCCCTCTCGCTTTTCAGCCAGTGATGTCACCGTACTCCGCTTAGTGTAATCAGTGGAGTATCGCGAGGCCTCGAGTCTAAAGATTCCCATGGCGCTCTCAGGAGAAATTAGGCCCTGTTTCGGCCTATCAGAGAGGGCGAAATCGGGACCTTTTGCCTTCTTCGATCACCCTCCGAAGTGATTTCATCCTCCCTTGTGGAACCAAAGGTGTCTTATATATTATACTGTACCCTTGCTCGCAAAAAAAGATCCAATCGCTCGCATATGCCCTAACCTACACACGGATCCGCCCCATAGCACTTTCCCCTACCAGTCCCAGTATCCTTGGCCTGTATCGTTGGTCCCTCCACACAGCTTAGTTCAACCACTACCTTCTCAATTTGTGTGTGCTCCCCAGTATCATCACCATCCACCACCATCCATCACTCGTGGTTCTATTCTCTATCAAATCGACTAAGTGATATCGATTTGATACACCAAAGGTAAGCCCTTGAAGTACCAGAAACAGTTGCCCCTCCGGCGCATGAACGAGTTGCGATAGAAAAACACCGCCTCCCTCACGAAATGACCAATTATCAACCCACATGTCTGCCGACAGACAAGAAAAGCTTGCCGATGAATGATACCAAGCACTATTCTCACTGCCGCCGAAGACATACCTAGAAAATTTACTCAGGCTGACTCCAAACCCCCACCAGACTCTATCCACCATGACTCAAGCCGCGCAGTACCCTACTGAGAGTGTCAAGTCTATGTTCCCCACGGATTCCGGTGGTGTGAACAACCCAGCTAGCGAGACCCTCGTGGACTCCTACCAGTCGCTCGACCCTGCCCGTGCTTCGCTGGAGGACTATAATCGCTCCATGCTGCAGTACACTCAACGTCAAATGTCTACCTTCGTTGACGTCGATGACTCTCATCGCGGGAGTGGCACCAGCAGCCGTAGCAGTCAGAGCAGCGGTCAGAGCGGCCGCAGCAATGATGCCACTGGCATGGCGCGCAATGCCAACGGCCCCCCTACGTCCGTTAACACCGCTGCTCACTTAGCTACTTCTAAGGTCAGCGGTCGTGACATGGCTGATAACGAATCTGCTGCATACTAGGCTGCTTACATGGTATGCGATTTCGATTGACGATCAAGTGCAAAATGCTAACATTTTGCTCAACCAGTCTCATGTACGCCATGGCACAGTCTCATGACACGTCCTTCGATGTTTCATGATGCGGCATTGGCGAGGATGGTCCCATGGGTCCATCCATAGCCGGCTATGTTTCCGTCAATGCCCAATGCAGAGGCTTCTGCGGAGTTCACATTGGCGCGGGAGAGCGTGCCTGCTTTAAGCGATATAGCGAGTTTGATTTCCTTTGCCCTCGATTCACGTCAGGCCACTGTGAAATGGTCCTTCCCTTACCCCCATGCCCCCATTCGCATTTGCATTTCCAGGATATCGATTGATCCTCAGCGTCCTTTCTCTGGTGTTCCACTCTGTTGGATCTCGGAGCCGGATCACGCATCACTGCGTGTATTGCGCCATCTCAGGACCCTTGGTCGTGAATCATCGGTTCCATTTCCCCCTTTCACACACTCATTTCAAAATTTCCCAAGTAGAGCAAGGCATTGATGCTTTGACTCCCTGCCCCCGTTTTCCCTTCATGTCATTCATTTGACCCGTGTCGTTTGTGACTGTTTCGGCGTTCATCTGACTCGATATCAGCCTACAACGATGTTTCATTCTCCACGAACTGTCTACCATTGAGGTGGGATTCCAAACCCCCTCTCATCTCTGCTGAACCCCTTCTGAGAAGGAAAATCAGCTTGTACACTATATGTTTCTCTATTTTGACCAGCGAGCGAGCGAGCGATGTCGATTTTTGATTGAACTTTTTGATTGATCTTCCATTGAAGAATCACCTGGGCAACAACTCCCGAGTCGAGGATACCGGCTGTCCCTCGGGGGAAAGACCCTGTCACGATATGATGACCGCTCATATTGGATTAAGCCATGTTGGCCAATGATGATGTATACTATTAAGCGTTTGCAAAAGAGCACCTGTTTCCTATCTATTTTGTGTGTACATGCTCGCCCGCTCTGTTCGGTCAAATTAGACGGTAAGGTCGTAGCACCGTACTTAAGTAGCAACCTGTAGTCAACCCTAGGCAAACGCCCGGCGAGAGTGTGTAATCACACTTATACCTGCGTAGATGTAAGCCTAATTCCAGGTTTTACTATCTACTTAGGTGCCTAAACCGTAGTGTAGCAGAATTCACATACATAACTTTAAAAGAAGAGGCTATGGTCTCTGGCTGCCCAAAATATACTACGAGTCTGGTGGCTCGAGCCATGATGTCAACTTCAAGGGCTGAAACTCATTTTCAATTGTGTTTGGGTTCCCTTGCGTACTTAAGTAGTTCCGGAAAGATTCAATCCTGAAACAACTTTAGAAATTGAGCAGTGAGGGGAAAAAATAGATCGATGAATACATTGATTTAGGTACGTTCCCACTTAAGGAGTTCTGTTTTTGCCTGCTTGAGCTACTACCCACTGTGTACTTGATAACCTGAATAGCTAGCCATCCATGGATATACTTATGTTCTAAAATTCATGCGGGTCTATAGATGTCACAATTGAATTAGATGACTGATCATCGACCAGGTGCCCAAGGGAGAATTATGCCTACTTCTAAAGTTAAGTATACATATCTAAGTACGAGACTTCAGTATTCGTGGTTATTTCCACTCGACTCTCCAGGGTTGAATTTGTAACGTTAGAAATTGTGAAACGAAGTCTTGGGTTTGATGGCTACGAGTACATAGCAACCAATGCCCGAATCCCACATACCGGGAATTAATTATGTAGAGGAGCCAGTGAGAATCGGGACATAGAGCAGTTCACATTCCCAGTAAGAAACGTAAATCAGGCCGACAGCGAATCAAAGCCCATTCGTACCTTTCCACACGAGGGATGAACCCCCTGGCATCCCAGGACCCCCCAATCAGCCAACCACGAGAGTCCAGGGAAGGGGGAGCGCAAGGAAATTTGATAATGCTGTTGTTTTGCCAAGGGTCTGGAAAGATTAAACCACAACCGAGAGTCAATATCATCCCTCTCTCTCCCTCATCGTCGGACAACCATCCGACAACGACAACAACAACCCCGGCCAGCTCAACACACTCATTTCCCCCAAGGTCCTGGCGACCAAGACACTCATTTCATCTCGTATATTGACGTTTAATCTGCATCCTAAGTCCATAACCAAGCGCGGTGTGGCAGGTTTTTAAACCTCAAGTCATTCTCTACATCATATACCGGAAGCAAAAGCAGCGATGCATCCAACCACTCTATTCATGGGCCTGACAGCCCTCTTCTCTGTCACTTCAGCTATTCCAGTTGCCCACGAAAAGCCCACACCTACACCTTCCATGTCCAAGGTGCTGGTATCCCCATCTTCCTCCGCGTCCGCCTCTGCGTCGCCAACTCCTTCGACAAACCCCTACGAGGCGTACACATGTCCCGCAAAGAAGCAAAAAGCCTGCTGTATGGGCGTGGAACAAGCCAGCAAGGACATTATCTCGCCACTGGGCGAGCTTGTTCCTATTGTAGGAGGCCTGCAAGTTAGCTCGGCCATTACCTTCCAGTGTAAGTCAGAAGCTGAGAAATAATAAGCTCTTTAAAATATGACTGACGACCGCGCAGGTAAGAAAATGGACGAAAAAGCACCCCCTTCCTCCTGCAATGAGAAGGGATATGCCCCCATGTGCTGCCATGACATTAACTCCGTATGTGCTCTTGACCCAAACAAATTATACCATCTAACTCCTCCCAGGTTGGATTCAGTTCCTGCAAGGGCTTCGAGCAAACCAAGAAGAACTTCTACGCCCAGCATGGCCATCCCGAAGAGACACAGGCTGATATGATCATGGATGCTGTCACCTAAGCTCCCTCTTCAGGGCTTTTCAACATTCGATCCCAAGATTAGGACCACGGAATTGGGGTATTTTGTTTGTTACTTTCTCAACTTGATATTACTGAGAACTTGACCTGTCATTTTCGTTTACCAAGGGCTTCGATCATCTTTGGTGCTTCTTAATATGTAAATGTACACTATGCACACTGCAATCTGGGTTTTATTCAATTCATGCATTGGAAGGACATACGTAGTAGTTACCTCTAAAGTTTCTGAAAAGAAACCACACTGCTCAATTCAAGCTGAACCATCAAACAAGGGTCGTTTCACCGATTTGATTGGGATTAATCTGACATCCGAACATGTTGCATGAGCCCTAACCTCGGAGGGGAATGGCAGTGTTCAGACCTAGGCTGTTGAGGGTGCACGTTTCTCAACGACATAGCTTCAAGTTTACATGTTTGTGGGAATGAGCCTGCATTTCAATCTGTATCCTACATACTTGACTTCACATTCATCGCCATGGTCGCCCACCTGGCCCAGTTGGGGGACCCCATCCACTATTCTGACCCCCGGAGTAGGGAGGAGGGAAGTGGTACTGACCAGGGGGCATGGGGTGTCCTTGAACCTGCGGCAATGGCATTGGCGGATGTTGGAATTGAGGTGGGAACGCCGATTGATGAACTCCTGGTCCAGGTTGAGAGAAAGGCGCGCCCGGCATTTGTGGGGGTGGGGGAGGCCAAGAGCCATAGTTTTGAGGCGGGGGAGCATACCCAGACTGAGGCATGGGCCGACCATAATGTCCTTGACCATTTGGGTTATGGGGAGGGGGGAACTGCTTGGGTGCGGGGGGATATTGTGGGGCTTGATGTTGGTGGGGAGGAGGGAAATGGGAAGATTGTGGCTCCCGAGGGGTGTACGAGCTTTCGCGCGAGCGAACTGGCGATCGGCTCCTGGATCGCGAATCATAGCGACGACGCACATCGCGCGCGCGTGATCGTGACCGGTGTGGGGATCTTGAGTCGGGACTATAGCTCTCGCTATGGCGGCGCTTGAAGTTAGCTGGGCTTCTACTACGACTCCGACTTGGACTGCGAGAGCGCTCTGGGATTTTCATCTGTTGGCAGAAAGCACGGGTCCAGCCATAGTAGGTTTCACCGTCGAGGATGTCCTTGGAGATCTCGTCCCGAATGATTGAGTGGCCCAATCCGCCAACGTCCACATCAGGATCCTTGGGCTCGGGCATGCTACTGATTTGTTTCACTTGGCCGAAGAAGTCCTGGAGGACATGCACTAGTTTGCCATCCGCAGGACCTCCCAAGAGCTGAATCGGTTTGACAGAGCCGGGTTGGAGGGACAGCGTCAACTTGGGCAGGATGTGGGGGACAAAGTTTCCCGTTGGATTATCGTAGTAAGGGGCCGATGGGTCTCCATGAGCCGATGGCACGACAAAAGGTGCGTTCTTTCCGGGCTTCTTGGCGTTTGCGCTGGGGACATCGTCGGATAGTGGGGCGGCCCCTGTGGAGGCCGAGTTGACCACCACTTCCCGGAGCTTGTCGACAAATTCGGAATTAAAGTATCCATGCTCGGACCATATGCTAAGCAGATCATCTAGCCGCCGATGGTGCCGTGGATTCTTCTGACGATCACAAGCTGCCGCATGACCAACCAATCCCACAATGTGCAGCTGCAGGGACCCGCTCACTGTGGAAAAGGTTGTGCTGGTGCCTAAGTGGTATTTGCTATGGTGCAGCAGATCATTAAGCAAGTAGAGTATGTGGAGACGTCGACGCTTGGGTGAGGGGTTGGTCCCATTGGGCTGTGACGGTTCGGAAGCAGCCAGAGCCACCAGATATTTGGCCAACCCCCCGACCCTATTAGCGGAGAAAGCCACATATTCCAGGAGCCATTTTTTGCATTCCTGTATGGTAGTGTGTTTAGTGGGGATGTAAGAGGGAATAGAAAGCAACAACTCAGACCTGGATGTTTGCGTGAGAGCAATGTGAAAGGGCACTCTCGAGGGAGCTATGACCGGCGGTTATCTCATCTCGAGGCACTGAAGAGGGATCAGGCCGTAACAGCGCAGCTGTAAATGAAGCCTTTGCGATCGCGACTTGATGGCCCATTATGAGACCTTCGTGAACAGGAGATCTGGAACGAGAAGGGCGAGGGCGCGAGGGCGAGCGCGAAGCCAGCAATTTGATTATCTGCTATCGCCACGTGATGCCCTATTCTTACCGCCCTGGACATGTCCCTGTCCCCTCACCCCTCACCACTCAAAAGATGTAAAAGTACAGAGTAACTACGATATGGAGTACTCCTTATACACGCATTGAATCTGTAGTTGATGGATACCATGCTTACCCAGATTACCAGGGATACTTAAGAGTATACGAGTAGGTATACAGCAGCGTTCCATACTTCATCTTGAGAGGTAGTACGTCAGGCCTAATGTGAGCCCATACAAATGTGATCTTCCACTCCGGACTTGGTAGAATAGACGAGCACTCTAAAGGTGTTGCCACCCGCTAATAACATTTCCCCTGCGGTTAGGGCGTCGGGAATCGCTCAGCCGTCCTCATCCAATCTGACCTGCTCCTCTCAGGAGCTCCGCCGGAACTTCATTCCCGCATTTATTCCCGCAGTTAACGCGGTGACGCCCAAACCCATACTGGAACCCCCGCGATGGCGTGAGCTCGGCCAGATGATTTACACCCAAAGTTAAGGCCCTATTTCTCCATAAGCTTAGAGATCAGGCCATATGCCCCGCTATATGCATCCCCCCCACACGGATCACTTGCGTCTTTGCATGGCCTGACTATGCTGCTCTTGGGAGTTAAATATGATCCTTCCCCCCTGTATTTAGTTGTCTTATAGCTCTCAGATCTCCACATCACAAATCAAATAACCACACATACCACATATCTCCTACATCTCATCCACCAAAGTCTCACATTATGGCTGCCATTCTTTCCTCAGTGACGCGCCCCTCAATCCGCCACTTCTCGGCCCATCGCCCTCGGCCTGATTCTCGCGCGGCTCGCGCTATCACCATGGGATTCCTTGTATCCGGCGTTGTTCTTCCATTCGTGCCCCCCGCCATGGAAAGTTCCCGCCAACGCAACTTGAGTATGCCTACTAGCGCCAAGTGAGTATGATATGCAACCAGTGCACATGGTGGAGAAACTAACCGCGTGCGCAGAAACCCCCCACTATGCTTTCACGCACGCTAGCGGGCCACTTATATCACCCCAAGGGTGGTGTTGGCGCTGGCGCTGGCGCTGATACAACGCCCAACAATATTTTTGTATGCATTATGACCGGGAGGGTTGGTTTGGCGTTAGGATTTGATTTTACATGATTACCCAGTTAATTTTGCGGGGACTGAATTTGAATGATCTGATTAGATCGCCAAAGATTGAAACAGCCCAATCTCATCCGAATCTATTCACTGAAACGTTCCAATTCAAGTAATGTACATGCTCATGTTGAGCAACCAAAAGATAGTCCAGGTGGTTGAGATCCAAAGACAGATATAAATCAAGGCCTGTGCTTCTGTTTCATGGCAGTTTTAAGATGTACAATGGGGCTAGCCGCTCAACTGAACCGGTTCCCAGAGGGAGGGCGGTATGGCTGCGCTGCCTCATATTTACCCTTCTCCAACACACGGTCGGCCTCGGTCAAAGGCTCGTGACGGGTAGCTGCTGGGTCGTGGGAGGCCTCGACGCTCGGCGAGGCAACGTCGTCGGCACTGTTTTGGAACTTGGCCATCTTCGCTAGATTCGAGCTAGGATCGCCGTTGGTGTGCGCGGGCACGGCCAGCGCTTGCCGCTTGTGTTCTTCCTCCATCAATTTCATCTGGGTCTTGTGCTTGATCTCGGCTTCAAATCGGGATTGTCGGTCGGCGTTGATGGATTGCTTTGCGAAGTAGTAGGCCCCGCCGCCGGCTGGGAGGTATTAGCCATAAACTGTCTTGCAGAAACCTAAAAAGACATTGATCTTGCATTGTAACGTGACCAGAGCTCACTTACCAACACAGAGGGCACCCCAGCCCATCCTGTCAGAGTGAAAGCCACATCAGCATTTGGATCATACGATTTGTTATCTTTCTCAAAATTGGGCGATCTCGGCTCACCAGGTAGATCTGATCTGTGGATAAAATCAAATTAGCATCAAGAGTAATCCATATTATACCATAGTTCGGGGATTTACCGTGTTCATTGTGAATGATGTGGTGTAGGTACAGTGTAAAAGCAATCGAAGAAGCTCTCTACGTCAGTTGAACGGCCCCGGGCTCCAAAAAACGACAACCAATCACAGCTGTTTCTGCCTCAGGCGCAAGGCTTATCGATAGGATCACCTACATCATCTTCGTTGATTCTTTGCATTCTCATCAACCTCAACTCCATTCAACCCAAACCTTCCTATTACCCCCATCACTTCCTTTCATCTGCGCCGACCGCAAGAACGCGCCCGTCGCAGACCACAAGCTATCACACGTGTATGCGGTCAACGGCTTTGGATTCCATGCCCGTCTGAGATCTCTTCTTCGGAGTGTCGCTCCGTTTCACGGACCGCATACGCGCTGCGATCACGATCAGTCTCTCTCTAAATCTCTTCATATAGCTAAGGATATTCCAATATGCCCCCCAAACGCAAGGCGGCCGACAGTAAGTTCAAACTACACTTCCCCCGAAGACACAGGGCTCACCATATTAGCTGGTCGATCTAACAGCGCCTCGAAGCGAGCCACACCTGTCCCCGACGTCACCGAGATCTCAAGCAGCGATGAATATTCAGACCAGGAGGAGTTGCCGGAGGAGTCGAACTTGAAAGGTACAGTGTGGCAATCTGCTCGCATGGGAGTGACTCGGATGCTAAGTCTGCTGTGAAGAGGTCGTCAACAAGTTTTCCCTCGAGTCCTTTTCCAAGAAGAACCAAGCAGACAAGACGGACCCCAGATTTGGATACAAGGATCTTTCCTCGCTCCCGCTGAAGCGCGATCATTACAACAGACCGTTATGGATCGAACCTTTGAAGGGAACAATCACACTTGAGAGTTTTTCTCCGCTGGCACCCCAAGCCCAGGACTTCTTGACCACCATCGCAGAACCGCTTTCGCGCCCGACCCACCTCCATGAATATCGGTTGACCGGACACAGTCTATACGCCGCGGTGTCGGTTGGCCTCAAACCGCAGGACATCGTGGAGTTCCTGGACCGGTTATCGAAGACCCCACTGCCCGAAAGTATTCGGACATTCATCATCGAGTTCACTAAATCTTACGGCAAGATCAAGATGGTGCTGAGACATAATCGGTATTTCGTGGAAACAACAGACCCGGAGATGCTGCAGCGACTGCTGAAAGATGAAGTTATTGGACCACAGAGAATGGACAACACCGAAGGCATCATCGAACGGGCCGCCCCGAAAATGGGTGGGTTGGTTATTCCTGGAACAAAGGACGCAGCAGGTGTACGAGAGACTACACAGCAGGAGGCCGCTGCTGCCAGGAACGAGAAGGATTCCGAAGAAGGTGTCGTCGTGGATTACGGTATCGACGATGTCGGTGAGGATGAGAATGAAGAAGCAACCACATTCAGTTTCGAGATTCCTGCCGCCGGAGTTGAAGTCGTAAAAGCCCGCTGCCAGTCGATCGGATGTCCCGCCTTGGAAGAGTACGATTTCCAAGGAGATACTGTCAACCCAAACTTGGACATGGATTTGAAGCCCGCGGCACGAATTCGATCTTACCAAGAGAAGAGTCTGAGTAAGATGTTCGGTAACGGACGAGCCAAGAGTGGTATCATTGTGCTTCCTTGTGGTGCGGGTAAGACTCTCGTGGGAATCACAGCCGCGGCCACAGTCAAGAAAGGAACCATTGTCCTGTGCACTAGTTCAATGTCTGTGGTGCAATGGCGAAACGAGTTCTTGCGGTGGACAACCATCGACCCCGGAGATATCGCTATCTTCACTTCTGACCACAAGGAAAAATTCAAGCGGTCAACTGGTATCATTGTATCCACATACTCAATGGTGTCACAGACGCGGGCCCGGTCTTACGATGCCCAGAAGATGATGGACTGGCTCCAATCGAGAGAATGGGGTATGATGATTCTCGACGAGGTGCACGTTGTACCGGCCTCGATGTTCCGAAAGGTCACTTCTGCTATCGCCGCGCAGAGCAAGCTTGGTCTGACGGCAACTCTACTTCGTGAAGATGATAAGATCAAAGATCTTAACTTCTTGATCGGCCCCAAGCTATACGAAGCAAACTGGATGGAACTTGCAGCCCAGGGTCACATTGCCAAGGTTCAATGTGCCGAAGTGTGGTGCCCAATGACGACCGAGTTTTATTCTGAATACCTGCGTGAAAGCTCCAGGAAACAGGCTCTGCTCTACATCATGAACCCCCGCAAGTTCCAAGCCTGTCAGTTCCTAATCGACTTCCACGAGAAGCGAGGCGATAAGATCATTGTGTTCTCAGATAACGTCTACGCTCTCGAAAAGTACGCGCTGAAGCTGAACAAGGCGTACATTTACGGCGGCACTCCGCAGAACGAGCGTATGCGCATTCTGGAGAACTTCCAACACAACGAACAGGTCAACACAGTTTTCTTGTCCAAAATCGGCGACACATCGCTTGATCTTCCCGAGGCCACTTGTCTGATCCAAATTTCATCACACTACGGCTCACGTCGTCAAGAAGCCCAGCGACTGGGACGAATCTTGCGAGCCAAGCGCAGAAATGACGAGGGCTTCAATGCTTTCTTCTACTCGCTTGTGTCGAAGGACACCAACGAGATGGTCTACTCGGCCAAACGACAGGCCTTCCTCATTGACCAAGGCTACGCCTTCAAGGTCATTACCCACCTTCAGGGTATTGACAACTACGAGGGACTTTCGTATGCGACGCCAGCCGAGCGCCGTGAGCTTCTCCAAGAAGTGATGTTGCAGAATGAGTCGTCTGCAGACGTCGAACAGGTGAATGACGACCTGTTCTCCATGCGCTCTGGCAAGAAGGCCGCAGGGAAGAAACCGAATGCCAAGCGCAGTGCTGCTACACTGAGTGGCCTGGCCGGTGGTGATGATATGGCGTACATCGAGTACAACAAGAGCAAAAACAAGCAGCTCAAGGACAAGGGACACCATCCTCTGTTTAAGAAAATGGAGCGCGAGCGTCTACGTCGCAAGAAGGAGAAGGAGAAGCAGGACGCAGAGTAAGCAGTCTTTGGATTTTCGCATCTAGAATGAGCAATACCCCCCCCCTTAGAAGGCAGTACACATACAAAATGAGATGCATTACATACCAACATGGCCCAGGTCATCATAGACGTCTGAATAGTACAAATATAGATCAGTCAGCAGACCGGTCTGGAAACGCTGACGGATATGACGTTCGCATCGGACATCTGGAGCGCCCGAATGGCCGAAGGCTCCGCTTTTATCGTCGAGAGCTCTGTGATCCCCGTCAGCTTGAATAATTACACCACTCTGATAGGCTATTTTGTTTCCCTGCAGAACAGGTCAGTGATAGGTTGTACAGCTCCATATCCCTAGTACGGGGTATTTATAAAGACTTCCCCGCAGCAATCTGGTATTCCCTGGATCAGGACCTTTTGTTCTTGATGAACAAACACTGCTACAATTTGTTCTCCTCATTGAGATCAACCATCCGACCTTCATTGACTGCAACTCGATCACCAACACAGTACTCGTGTACCCTAGATCCCGGCAAGAGGTTCCGCAGATTGTCTGCCATGGCGACCGCTACGCGTATCCAACTGTCTCCGACAACTGATTCGGGCATATACAGCTCGAATGTGCGTGAAGATGCAGCCAAGACAGCAAGCGAGATATTACAGGAAGACATGGCAAAGCATCATGTATTTTTCAACGACCAAGGCTTCCACAGTATGTTATGAACATCTCGCCCCAAGACCATCCCCCTGTGTCTACCGTGTCTCACATCAGACAGATCATATTCCTCACCAAATCCTCAGCATATATGCCCTCGGAGCAACACCCGAGCAGATCAAGGCTGGATACCAGCGTAACAAAGGATACCAGAGACCCGCACGGCCTACTGATCTAGATGTGGTATTGTCTATGCGCGACAGTGTCAAATTCCAGGAATATCTCGGAAGGGAAAAGCATTATCCGAACTACCTTGCATTCTTCCAGCAAGAAATTGATGCCAAGGGCGTTGGTGAAGTCCTGAAGGAATATGTGTTTGCCGGAGATGAGCGGGCTGAGAGTATGCTGTGTCGACTGTTTGGTGGTGAGTGCTACCCTATCCAATCCTGGAACTCCTATGCTATATGTTCTAGAGATTTAATCGAATATCTAGGCCTGATCCACCCACTTATTCACCTTGGCTTCGGGCTTGAGTTTAACCAACCTGCCATTGTAGCCCAAGGCCTTGCCCAGGCAGCCGTACACGCCGACTGGATCGGCCGTGAATTTTTCTTGCCCGCAGAGAAGATGGCCGACGGGATTGGAAAGCAGGGCCAGAAGTCACTTCTACAACTTCTGAATGAGATCCGCGCAGATAAAGCTCTCATCGAGAGTGTTCAGTGGGCTGACGAAAACAAGATAAGAGATGGCGTTTTGACCAGAGCGCCTGCGGTAATGTTGAAATATGCTGCCCAGTTCACCGTTTCCGAGAACCAGGTTGATGAGCGATTGGCGGATATGATCAATACAGTTGGTAAGCCATGCGTGTGATATCATGAGCCTCGGCCTGGAGGCGCTAACTGGATATTAGTCTACTACACTAGCACTGCACAACGCCCATCGCGAGAGATGAAGCTGGACTTTTTCTTCATCCACTGTCTCAACTCATCTATATTCTTCTCCAAGATAGTCAAACTCCCATTCCTGGACCAGCGATCTAAGCTTCGTCTGCTGGAATGGAAAGGACGAATGGATCTCTTGATGTACACCTCGCGTGGTACACCAGATCTCCTACCGGAGGAAGTAGCCAGCTATCCCGCGAAAGAAAACTGGTCACAGATCTTTGCTCGCAGCCTTGCCCACCCCGGCGATGACGGGCATTTGGCTAAGTTGGCGCGAGCATTGGCCCATGGTCAGAAGGTCTGTGAGCCGTATGAAAGCACTAACCCCGAGATGCCGATTCGGGGAGATGTGTGGCTCAGGATCGGGAACATAGGTACAAGTCCCTCCTAGGATCGTTGACAAGGTTGCTAACTGATCATTTGTAGCTGTGGACTCCACCGTTGAGGAGGGAAAGCCGATGTGGGTCCGTTCTACCGGATTTGATGAAGCGTGGGAGCCTGAAGGATCGCGTCTTTGATCTCAAATTCAGATATTCAAACATCTAGGCACAACTATGTTATATTTGGAATGTCAGAATGTCCCCCTTTTGTAATTCTCAGCTGTGTAATGATGCATTCACTTCTCCCATGATCTTTAGTGATAATGTTCTGAAGTACTTAATTGCATCTTCAACATTAGACATTTTGTTAGGTGTGCTCTTTCACTTAAGTGATTTTAATCCTTTGTTCTAAGTATAGTCTACGTCTAGAACATCTGCAGTGTCCGAGTACGATGTATAGATCGGATGTTGAACTATAGACCCGCTAGAGTGGATCTTCAATGACGACAGTGGCTGAGCTGCGTTGGACTCTGTTTTGAATGGCAATCGATAATACTTGGCATTGCTACAAGTTATCAAACATGCTAGTAGCCTGAATATGAGGATATCAACAACATTTAAAAGAATAAAGCAGTGGAGAGAGGCCTTCAAACAATGGTGCGCAAAATTGATACTCATTGGGGATCACGTGGGGCCATTGGTGTGGGGCTATCCCCAACACGAGTATCGACTCTCTCACTTTTTCTTCTTCAATCATCACATCGCACATCAACCCATGAGCCTTCAACAATCTCAAAGTCATGGCAGACGATAAAGACAACAATCGCAACGACTGGTTCGATGAGACCAACCCGTTCGCTGCCTTCCGCCGCTATGCCGACGAACAGGTATCCACTTTGCTCCAGTCTATCACAGGTCTACCTTCAACAGTGACGCCACCTCACCACGACCGATGGGAGATTTTTACCGAAGACCACGGGTACGAAAGTCGAGGCGCTCTACAGAGAACCAGCGATAGCTCGGACAGAGATCATCAAAATGAAAAGCGTGGCGGAAACGATCGCAATGACGAAGATCGCCCCAAGCGATGGTTCAACGGACCCCACGACTTCTTTGGATTTGATTCTTTCTTGGTTCCACTTGCTACCCACCTGATCAACTCTCACATCTCTCTCCCGGGCATGTTCGAAGACACCGAATCGCCAACTTGGCCGATCGCCTACTTAATGCTTAGTCCCTACTCCCCCCTTCACCTAGAGCGCCAAGCAAAATATCGCGCGCATCGCGAGAATGGTGTCTTTGGATACATCATGGCATCCTTGTATCTTGACTGCGAGCGTGATCCATCCGAGCCACAATGGCGGGAGGCGTTTGAGGATCTTCTCCGACTTGAAAATGGCAAGCCGATGCTCAACCGTGATGCTACCGCTAAACCAGAGTCGGGTAAAGATTGGCTTCAAGGCCTCGTGAAACGGGGAAGCTTGGGCGAGCGATGGAAGTTTGTGCCCACCACAGACGGCCGGCCTTGGTCCGGTATTACGTTCTCTGGTCACTCAGAGCAAGACCAAGACCAAAGCAGTTCTCGAACTCCCCCCGACCAAGAGACAAAGACCGAAAGGATAAGCGCCGAAACCGAGTTGGAACTATATGAGCGCTTCTTGTCTGATATCGAAAGCCGAGAGCGTGAATCCCTCCGCAGTGTCCCCGAAAGTCCACTCGTACGTCTTCTGCTAGCAGAGCACAAAGATCAACAAGAGGAATTGGAGAACCACAAGCGAGGTGCACATATGACCGATGAGCGCATCGACACCAACGAAAACCGGATCGACCTTTGGTCCGGCGAAAACAAGCAGTCCGCAACTGAGACATCACGCGACTTGACCGAGAAACAATCAGAATCTGTCCCTGAGCCTTCATCTCGAGTGATTTCCACCATGACACGAACAGAGCGTGTGCAACTTCCCGACGGTTCTGTGAAAAGTACCATTGTCAAGACCAAGCGCTTTGCAGATGGACGAGAGGAACAGGACTCTTCTGTTGAGCACTCTCACTCTCAGCAAGGTGCTTCCGAGTCCGACAAGTCTCAAAACGGCTGGTTCTGGAAGGACTGAGGTCATATTTGTTATGACTGTTTAATAACAAATACTTTTTTTTTGCTTGGCTCTCAAGCCTACAATTCGCAAGGTGGTGTTTGGCTCAGCGCAGTTTTTGTTTCTGGGATTCATTTCAAAAATTCAACTTGCATGGACTTCTCAAGGTTCCATTTGGCGTTTATCTGGTGGCATACATTCGAGGTCAGGAGGTCAGGAGGGGGTGTCATTCCATAAGCTTAGCTTTACTTTTACTTCAGAGGCACCAAATTGATCGTCATGTTTTACCGATCTCCCCAAACGCCAGAACAACTAAACAAAATCTACACACTCAAGCTTCATGTCTAATCAGCCTTGACACTTTTCTTCTGGCCCTTTGCAGTAGTCCATCCCTTGGACTCCCAGTACTTGACATTATCCTCCATCTTCTTATAAGCCCAGGTAAAGGGGGGATCTGGAATTTGTTAGCCAAAACCATGTCGCAGTTCGTTTGGCACATAACACTTACACAAGAATTGTCTCAGGTCGTGCCTGTTATCTTCAGGAGAGTACTGCTCAGCGTGGTAGCTGGGAGTGATAACAGTCATCTTGTGCCTGTTGATCGAGTAATAGTAGAAGAAATGCCTTGTCTTCTCGTAAATTTCACGGGGGCTGTACTCGTTGCCCCACAGGTGAAGCAGCTTCTCATACATAGAGTATGGGCCCAGCTTGGAAACCTTTCTTAAGTATCCGAAGACGCCCAATTGTGCGTATGTGACGCCCATGTCGGCCTCGTCTGACTGGACATAGTCATGAGTGATAGGTTCCAGCTCAGCTGTAGGCGTGGCGTTGATGAATTCCTCGAGGATTGGAAGCTGGAAGCTTTCTCCAGACCACGAGATGAACTTCTTGAGGTCAACCTTGCTGATAGATCCGATCGGATTGAGATCTGCAGAGCTGGCGTCATACTTGGTGAGGTAGCCTCGCAGACATTCATCGACGTTCGAGGAGGCAAGAACCAACAGACCACCGCCCCCGGGGCGCTGACGCACCGTCGGTAGCAGTGAGGCAAATAAATAGGATAGCACCATACGCAGACGGGCTTGGACGTTTTGGAGTGCGGCGTTCTCGGCAGGAGAACCACCGTGCATTTTGAATCGGGGCTGGAAGGTGGTGATGACAGTGAAGAGGTTCATGATGGAGGTGATGACAGTGTCGAAGTTGAAGTCAATATGGTAGGATCCGATGTCTCCGGCCAGTCGAGTCGCTCTGTCTCGGGTTTCAAAGCCCGAGTTCTGGGTGCCCATGTAACTGGTGTGGAAGATAGACCTATATGATTTGTCAATATCGGACAAATAAAGCCCCAAACAAACAACAGCGTAGAAAACTTACTTGCAAATCTCCTGGGTGGTGGTAGGAAGCCAGTCTGAATCTGCTGGCTTCGCACATAGACGGCGGACATCCCTAATGACCTGCTCGTTTCCTTCCCGAACCGCCTTGAGGACCTCGCGACACATGGAGTGTACGATGATCGCAGTAGCACAGCTGTCAATACCGCCACTCAAAGGGAGGAAGAAGCCAGCGGCACCACATCTCCGGAGATAATCCCACAGCCAGCAAGCCGGGCCCAAGGCGATTTCCTCCTCAGGTGCATGGAAGCGGGGCTTAATAGGCTGGGAAGTGGCTAGGCTAGGCTCGGCGTCTTCATCCCGACGGGAAAGCCTGATGTCAAGGTCCAGGCGAACATATGGAGATTGCTTGCTTGCCTGCATGCCACGGCTTGCACTGCAGCGGTAGGTTCGAACTTCCTCAATATCAACAGTAGCAGTGACGACCTCTACGTCATTCAATGAGAATTGAGATCCTTGAGCAACAATGTCGCCATTGACGACAATCATTGCACAACCGTCATAGTAGAGACGATCGCCATCGCAACCCTGTTGATTGGCGTAGAGGTAGATACCACCGCTCAGCTTTGTAGCCTGGGTGATCAGGTTCACACGGGTGTCAAGCTTCCTCAGTTCGTGGTGACTACCAGAAGAGTTGGAAATGATCTCGACTCCAGCTAAACCGTATGGCACGTGAGGACCATTGGGGGTGAACAGCTCTTCACACGTCTCAAGTCCAAGACAGGTATCTCTGGTGCTGATGACCGCATCACCGAAAGGAACTTTGTATTGTCCAGTGACCTTTCCAACAATTGATTCCAGATAATAGTCCTCAACCTCTTGTGGACGCTGCCAGGGTGTAAAGTGTCGGTGCTCGCGGTAGTTACCGTCATTAGCAAGCCACATCTTAGGTCTGATCAAGATGATCTTTCGGTTGTAGAAAATCACTCGACAGTTATAGCGCACATTGCGGTGGCGGACTGGCAATCCCACATCGACCACAATGTCCTGACAATCGGGATGGTCGATGATGTTGGCGAGCATCTCCCAAGAGTGCAAGAAGGTGTCGCCCTCAAGGAAGCCATCTAGAACGCCATAACCAGTAATCTCGAGCTCTGGACCAACACGGAGGGTAGCACCCGCAGCTTTAGCCTGTCGGATACTTTCAATGATGCGCTCTGCGTTACCCTCAAAGTCGAGAGCCCACTGGTTGAGGGAGCTAGAAAAGAAATCGTTAGGATACTCCGTATATGAAAGCAGGTCACTCACCATGTTGCTAGAGTCACCAAGTGGCCCATGGTGTCTTATCGTGTCTCACAGTGTCTGAGAGGGTCTATTGCTTCCTCGCAGTCTCAAGAGTTGTCGCTTCAGTCAAAAGAAAGATCTCAGTCACGTGTGTGGGGACCTGCATTCCCCCGCTTCTGTGGTCACAGCCTTACTGTAAATTACGACAATACTGCAGTTTTAGTGCAAATCTCGGCGGAACTCCGCATGGTATCTGGTACCAGGAGCGTATAAACATCCCGAGGTCGGCCGTTGCCGCTGATTAATGCGACGGCCAAATCGCTTCAAATGTTCGGCCAGTTTCTATGTTGCTTTAACTATCTGATCTGACTCTTGAACATAGACTGTTGGCCTTATTGATACTATTTTCTTGTTCACATTCATATTCAGAAAAATCCTTACAAAATGACTCCAATTCCGCAGATTCCCAAGCCTGCGCATACCCTCGTCGATTCCATGCTGTCGAGACAGTTCGGCAGAGAGACCGTGAATTACTTTTCAAGTAGGGCTTCCAATCATCCCAGATACAAGAAGGGGGAACTGACCATGTTACAGGCTCTCCAATCAACCGTCTGTCGTTTTTGCGCTCAGATCACCCATTCTTGTCTACAGCCCTAAAACATCCCTCCGCTCGATTTGTGCTCTTGAACAACCTTGCACCGTTGACCTCGACGTCAGCACAGCTCCACTTTGCCAAGCATGAAGAAGTGCAGCGTCTTGTGCCCCAGGATACCTTCGACACATCCGAGGAGGACATGCTTAAGAACTATGATTCACGCAAGACACAAGCAACCTTGATCTTCCTGGGTCTGGATGAAAGTCGCAAGGAAGGAGGCTTGGCGTTCAAAATTTACCAGGGAACACCTTTCTTTGCAGTTGATGTCACTCCCAAGGGATCTGAAGACCAGCAGGTTGCAGCCAAAGATGTTATCAGCACTGCGGAGGCAAAGGGACTGTCCTTCTTCCAAACACGAGTTCACATGACATTCTCCGCAGACGAAGGTATATGCAACCTCCCAAACAGATCCTAGGAAGATACTAACACCGGCATAGCCGCAATCTATGCGCAAGCCCGTGCTCTTATGGACTGGAACACCCGCAACACATTCTGTGGGACATGCGGGCATCGCACCCTAGCCATCAATGCAGGAACGAAGCGAGCCTGCCCTCCCACAGACGCTGCGAGAATTGCCGAGGGTAGCAATGTCGAACGGCCTGAATGCAACACCCGCACTACACTCTCGAACCTTTCATTCCCCCGTACCGACCCGACGATCATCGTGGCGGTTGTATCGGCAGACGGCAAGCGCGTGCTGCTGGGCCGTTCTAAGCGGTTCCCACCGAACTTTTACTCAACACTTGCTGGCTTCATTGAACCCGCAGAGTCGGTGGAAGATGCCGTGCGCAGAGAAGTGTGGGAGGAATCGGGTGTCACTTTGTCCCGTGTTGTCATTCACTCATCTCAGCCGTGGCCGTACCCTGCCAATTTGATGATTGGTGCTCTTGCGCAGGTCAGCGATCCCGCGCACGAGACGATCTCCCTACAGCATGATCCTGAGTTGGAGGATGCCCGGTGGGTTGAGATCGAGGAGGTTGAAGAGGCATTGCGCATTGGCGCCAGCAATCTGGGTGCCGAGGCAAGTCCGGAGTACAAGGGTGGTTTGCGATTGCCTCCACCTACAGCAATCGCTAACCAGCTGATCAAGGCTGCTATTAGCGCTGAATATTTCGCAACTGACAAGCAGTCGAAAATGTAAATAGAAGTTGTGACTCAACACATGTTGATATTGTTTACGATCTTGATAGAGAATAGAAGATTACACATGGACGAAGACACGATAAAATGCAGTGTATGAGGATGCTCGTTTTGTTCATTTGAATTTTTTGTAAGCTTAGAGGAAATGTGGCACAAGCTCAAATGTTGGCATACAAAGTCCCATCCCTTAGTTCGTGAACACTGCTATTCCGACTGTTGGGAGATCCTACCTCCGTATAACGAGTGCCATCCCGTAGCTCATGAATGGTGACTTGACGGTTGCTCTGCCGCCTGCGTCGTGAGCTACGTCTAGAACTCGGACTTCCAAGCTCGCTCGGTACTTCACTGTTGGGTGGAGAGAATTCACGATCGATGCTGTCTCTCTCTATCGACGCCTGGAGCATATGGTCCGCAACACTAGCGGAACCAACCTCAGTGTACCACCGACGTAGACCCGATGCATAGGCACGTTCCTCCGAGCCATATTCCACTGGAAGTCCGTTCACTTCAGCGTCCGGACCTGAGCCATCGAATACCGCCCAAGCACTGGTTGCGGCACTGACAAGTGTAATTTTATGCTCGAGGCTTTGGACTTCGATTTCACGGAGCAGAATTGCAGAGCCTTCAGTCAAGGCTGGTATCGCTGATTTGTAACGGCGTGAGATCCGGGCATTTAGAGTCATGCCCGCCATGGACGGGTCGGTAAGGTCAATACTGATGAACCAATCCCTGGTGCCTGTTTTGAGTCGACTGACCGGCGAGATAGCCTGGACAATGGAAATGGTATCCACCAGGGCATTGTGGTAATCAACAAGGGTAGCGAGTGGAGGAAAATATGAGATCTTACTGCGCAGACCGTGGGCATCACGACCAGGAGTCGGAGGCTGCACAAGCGCTGATGGACTTCCAGTAGAACCAGTGCTAATCACAACCTTGGGGACAGCAAAGCGAGGCTCTGGAGTTTCTATAGTCTGAACAAATTCCACAGCAGACTCGGCATCGTCACCGCCATCATCTTCGGTTTCGCTGACTTTTTTTGCATGATCATCTGAGCCAGGTGCGCCATCCTCGCCCGGCTTTGGTGAGCCGGAAAGGGGAAACGGCTGTGGTGATCGGTTCAAGTCCGGAGAGATTTGCGGTTTATTAATCGTGGTTGAGAGTTCAAACTCGGAGTCAACAGTCCGTTCAAACGTGATAGTTTCTTGAGTAGAGTCTGCGGCCATTTCGAAGTGGGGTTCAGTAAACGAGCTGGTGCCGAGGGACCCCGGCACTTGGGGTGTCGACGCATGGCCCAGAAGCAAATCAGCTGCGTCAACTTCGGCAACATCAGCAGCAGGAGCAACAAACGACTCAGCCGCTCCATCCACGTTGTAGTATTTGGGGGAATGCTCTTTGGTGCCGGGCTGCGAATTCAGCTCAGGTCGATCTTCGTGATACACCACTGTATCGGTCAAGTGTTGGTCGCGATCATCGGCTGTGTCTTCCAGAATATAATCATTATCGTTTGCATTGTTTGCGCCAAAGCTTTGGTATTCATCTGGTGACTCAAATTTGTCGAAGGAATGCCCTCGCTCATCATTTGGGCGTTGCATAGGCGCTTTATTTTCAGTGGGCTCATCCCTGCCTTTCTCAAAGACAGCTGGCGGCGATCTTTCATCCTTGTCACTATCGTGGACTCGATCGTCTGGCTCATCATCACCCTGCTCAGAGACCGCTCGAGATGATTCGTCGCCCTTGTCACTGTCGTGGACTCGATCGTCTTCTTCATCATCACCCTGCTCAGAGACCGCTCGAGATGATTCGGCGCCCTTGTCACTGTCGTAGACTCGATCGTCTGGTTCACGGTACAAGAGACCCTTGCCATTGACATCTTCGCTTCCATTATCTTCGCTTCCATCCTCGCTGGCTGAACCATCGAGCTTCTCTGAGCCGTCACTTTGTGACTCTGCCAAATCGGCATCGATGGCCAAGTCAGCATCATCCGAAGCAACAGCGGACCCGGGTGACCCGGATCGGGATGATGAGTGATCATCTTGCTCTAAAGAGTGTGCATTAGGCTTTTCCGGGGTCTCGGAATCGGCTTCCTCTTCACTGTCACTGTCTAACACGATGACTTCTTGTGATTGAGGGGGCTGAGGCCGGGAAGAGGAGTCGTTCTCCTGCTCAGACTCATCACCGTCAGATTCATCCAGACCGTACTCGTCTTGGCCGTACTGAGATGCCTCCTCGTCGTACTCGTCTTCGGAGTCGTAATAATCCTCTGATCGGGCGTTGTGCCTATCCTCCTCATCGACCATTTGGTCATCCCCTGGATAGGGGCTTCCGTCGCGTGAACGGTCTAGCACTCCTGTGGCCAGTGAGGAATCTTCATCTTCATCTCCGCCGTCGGATTCCTCTTGCGAAGATCTCTGTCTTTTTGAGCTCTCTTTTTCGCGTAGATTCCTCATGCTTTGAAGAGCATGAAGTGCATCCATATCGAGATCTGTGGCAGAGGGTGCATCCTTCGCCGATTGTAGATCTGACCCGGAATCTTCTTCGAGGTTGTGTTCGCCATCAGGCCCAACGGATTTTACGTTACGTCCGAGATCTTGTCCGTACACATCAGTGACATCTTGTTCCAGCGATTGGGGATCTGCGAGTCCTAATTCGCCTGTGGCTTGACCCACTGGTACAATATCGAGATCAGTCGGCATGGGAACAAAGTCATCCATGGCTTCCATAGTATCCTCCTCCTCTTTGTCTTCTTCGTGGAGCGCTTGACTGACGCTTGGGTCGTCTTCGCGAAAATCATCGATTTGATCGTTCACTTTGGTGCACCCTTGTTCAATGATCGATGTGGAGAAAGTATTGATCGGTCCACTATCCTGCTCCTCTAGTAAACTATGAGGAGCCGAGTATGGTTCTGTTTCGTTTGTCGGTGGGAAAACAGTATCAAAGACGTTCTGATCGACTGAACCAACATCTGGCCCAGCAAATCCTGCTTGGCTATAGTCAATAGATCCGGCCTCGATTTCACTTGTCTCAACGAATGAGGCAGGAGGTGTTGCAATCTCAGTCGCAACTGATCTAATCTCCTGGGCTTCTGAGGATGTCCATGATGGAAAATAATCGGTCAAACCGGCGTTATCAGACACGAGCGGCGAAGGAATCGGCAGTCCGGGGGAAGGGATAGGACGAATTTTTGGTGTATCTGTCGGAAGCTGAACCTGTGCTTGACGAACTTCCTGAATCATAGCATTGTTCGACTCTTCCGCGCGCCTCTCCAGGATGCTCCCGGTAAGTTCAAGAGAAGGTTTTGCAAATACCGGCTGTGACACCTGTTCTTCCATATCAATCTCGGGGTTTGATACTTCAGTAGGATCCCTCCCGGGCTCATCATCGGTAGGGTTTAAGCCCGCGTCCGCGTCCTCCCGGTCGAGCTCTTGTTCCAAAGCTTGCTCCCAATCTATAGCTCCTTCTTGCTCGATTGGGCTATTCGGTTCATCCAAAACCCGCCAATCATTTCTCTGTAGACTGTATCTGGGTCTTTTTCTTCCTTTTCCTGGCACAAATCCATCATCTTCGGCGAAAGGGTCGAATGCGGGGCGAGTGGTGCCTCCAAAGGAAGGCCGAGATGGCTTCAGAAATGCAGGAGATCCCCATGATCCCATGCTGGAGACGAAACCATGTTCAGCGCTAGTAGATTTCCTAATCGGCGTTGCGGGTGGTGCAGGTTCGGCTTCCTGCGCGGCTGTCGCCGCACATGTCGCGTGCTCAACATTTACCGTGAACGGGTTTTGGGATGACTGGCGAACCTGGAAGATGTGCGATTAGTTACTGATAAACGAAAGTACTAAAATCCGGTTAAGAGAAATAAGATACCTCGAGGCACACGCCGGTTTTGAAGTGTGCATCCCATGCGATAGATTTGCCTGGGGTGTGCTGAGTGGCTTCATTGCGAACAAACTCGGAGCCATTCAGACCAAGACAAATGGTATCACCGATTCCAACATGCGACTCTGCGACCTTTTCTGCAACGCGTCCATGGAATGTGACCTTGACTTGCCCTTGGGAGCGTCGGAGGCGGAAATCCGGCTCTGCTAACAGAAGACTCAGGGATTTGTGCGAAGACGAGTACGGCCACACCAGGGTCACTGCTGCAAGGATTGATTTGTTGACCGGTTGGTCGAGGTCGGGGCACAGCTCAGCTATGGGGACTCTGACCAAAGAGCTCGGCGCATGCGGCGCGGGAGATTGTTCGATCGCAGTCATTGCGCGGGTTTTCGAACCACGCCCGATTTGGGTCTCGTCAAACTGACAGCATATCAAAACAGGAGAAAATCTCGAGGCGAAAAGAATGAGGCGACGGAATAAACCAATGGAGGTCGTCGGGGGCTGAAAGGACTCGAAGAATATTTAGTGCAATAAAGAAGTCACAGGCTGCATCTTTGTCCGGTAACAGTGGGGTTATATGACGGTAAAATAACGACAAAATGGCCAAAATGAGGGTATCACAAGTATCAGTAAAACGGAAAATCCTCCAACTAGTACCCCGTACTACCACGTACAATGCTTGACCCTAATTCCAGAGTGTTTGATAAATTTCTCAATCGTTTCGAGGCATCTCTATGTATAATATTCCACTTGTTTTGTCCTTGAGAGATCCAAACAATACTTAGCGCATTCGATCTATCAACTCCTACGTACTCCGTACATAAAGCTCCACTATGGTGAGAGCGCTTGGCGTCGGGGGATGCCACTTATAAGATCTATTGTCTGATCTCCCCAGGGCCACATTAGAGCCCAGCTTAGAAAGAGAACGACCATGCACCTTGTGAAACGAGTAGCTGTTATCGGCGCAGGACCTTCGGGCCTTAGTGCAGTCAAGTAAGCGGGGTTGAATTTCTCAAAACGTGGCATGCTGACCGACTCAGATATCTGCTGGCCGAGCAACATTTTGACCAAATCGATGTCTTTGAGCAAAGAAGTTCCGTGGGAGGGGCTTGGAATTACAGCCCAAGCACTTCCAAAATAGGGCTGTCGACGCCTGTCCCTCAAGTGAACCCCCACGAGCCCCCTGAGAAGCCAACATGGATCGGCTCAGCTGAGGGTAAACGGGAAGCGAGCTTCGTGTCTCCGCTTTATGATAGATTGGAGACCAATATTCCCAAGGAATTGATGCGTTACTCGGACCATGACTGGCCAGCAGATGCACAGCTCTTCCCCAGGCATCCGACAGTGAAGCAATACCTTGAAGAGTATGCCGTGGATATCAAAAAACACATCCAGTTCGAGACTCAGGTCATTGATGTGAGTCTTCAAGCTACAGCTCTGCATAATTGGAGCATCACAACGAGGGATCTTCGCAATGGAAATGAAACTACCGACACGTATGATGCCGTGGTGGTTGCGAGTGGCCATTTCACTGTCCCTTACGTCCCAGACATCACGGGAATACAGCATTGGGATGCATCCTATCCGGAGGTAATCTCCCATTCGAAGTTTTATGACTCCCCCGAATGCTTCTCGGGGAAGAAGGTGATTGTGGTAGGAAGCTCGGCTTCTGCCCTCGATATTGGCGCCCAGATCAACGAGTTCAGCAAAGGTCAACTCTTGGTCTCCCAGAGAACAGAATCATGGATGGCTTCGGCTTCAACCGATGATAGAGTCATCTGCCCAGAGATCGTTGAGTTTCTTCCTCCGACGACCCACGAAAGAGGCATACGATTTTCGGACGGCCGCATCGAGGAGCACATTGACTCAATTGTGTTCTGCACTGGATATTTCTACTCGTATCCTTTTCTTTCATCCCTAAAGCCACAGGCTGTGACACATGGGTGGCGCACAATGAATGTTTACCAGCAATTGTTCTATATCGAAAATCCAACGCTTGTGTTTCCCGTGCTCTCCCAGCGGGTGATCCCATTCCCAATGGCCGAAAATCATGCCGCTCTCTTTTCTCGTGTCTGGTCGGGCCGACTGGCACTTCCATCAACAGAAGAGATGAGGGCATGGGAGCGTGACGAGATCGAAGCCAAAGGGGATGGGAAAAAGTTCCACTTGCTTCCATATCCGATGGATGCCGATTATCTTAACTTTCTATACGAATGGGCCGAGAAGGCCACACCGCGACCTGGACTGTCCAACAACGGACAGGGTAAACTCGGTACTCGGTGGGGTGAGCGGGAAAGGTGGATGCGGGCCCTTTTCCCGGAGATTCGGCGCGCCTTTGTCCAGCGAGGCCATGAGCGGGGCGAAATCAAGACTCTGGCCGAGCTTGGGTTTATTTTTGAAGAGTGGAAAGAGAAAGAAAAGCTGTGAGGTCATAGAAATTCTTACATTCTGATTAAATGAGATATGGCCCCTATTGGGTTCCAACCAAGAGAATAGGAGTTATTGAATGCTGAATTAGGCACAAAGGGGGCTAGCATTCGACTGGTGCAGGCCGATAGTCATACAGGTGCCTTGACTAGAAAGAAATTTTCCATCTCATCCATGAGTGATCTGATCTATAGTCAAATGATTGATCTAAATCTTGCATTTCTTTGTATCTTTGTTTTAAAAAGACCACATTTGAAGGACCTTGGACCTCGGGGGTATAGAACTATGGCAGCGCGATAGATCTACTGATAAGCGTCACGTGAAGCGGATGCGCCGTCCGTCCGTCGCGCGCCGTTCATTTACTCTCTTTCATATACCTCCACTTGGGTTGGAGTCTTGGTTGTCTCGCAGATTTGGAACCTGAAGTGCCTATGGTCAATGCAGCTCGTACGTTTTCATATAAAGGTTTGAACATTCACTCTGATTCCATCCCCATGCCATGCAAACACCCCCATTTGCCCGCCCATGATGTTACTAAACCAGAGATTCCAACCTTGGAAAAGCCGACATAATTATCAGCATACTGACCAAGCTGCAGCTCCGAGTGTCATCTTAAGTGATAGCGACATCAGCGATATTAGCAATCTCCAGGAGTGGCCTATCAAGTATATCCTCCGCGAAACAGCCACAGAGTACCTTATAGACTGGGAGGGTCCTTACGATCCGACTTGGGTAAGTCGCAGGTTTCTTTTGAGCTCTTGTACCGCTCAAATTTTATCATTGTTGCATGTAGAGCTTTGGCTGACATTGTTGCGCCTTCCGCGCATTTAGGAACCTAAAGAGAACGCAAGTGAGCTTGCGATACAAGCTTGGAACAAGCGCAAGGCACGTAACTCACGAGCGCTTGATTCGGAAGCCACACGTGTGCAGAGCTCGTGCTTGTCCTATCCTCCAACGGGCTCTTCGTCCTCCGCCAGAACAAAGGGAGATTCACAGGATCCTTCTTTTGTTCCATCTGAATACAACCAGGGCGAGACCAGCTTGGACCCCTCCGTGTCATCATTTGTACATCGAGATAGTACCCTGGAAATCCCAGAGAGTCCTCAATTCCGACATCTCGAGCTCTCAGGCTACCTTGCCGAGACTACCTCCCCTTTTCAAACTTCTACCGACTGTTCCCCGTTTCCAGCATCTGGGTCCACCGGTTCTGACTGGCAGACGGGCTCTTCCGCACTTGAATACGTCCCCGAATCATCGATAGCATCCATATTTCTGTTACGAGGTGAGCGACGCGGAGGCGCCAGGCCTGAGACGCTCCAGCCTGATCGGCTCCAGTACCACGCAACTTCCGATACAGGTGACGTTGGTCTTTCCGAGGCTCTCCTTAGGTCCTCAAATCAGCGACAGTGTTCTGGAGACATTTCCAACGTTCGAGACCCCGTGCAACCGGCAACACCTGTCATCGAATCAAGCTGCGAGGTCTACGAGATATCAGAGACACCAGACCAGCCACAGTTTTCGGGATCTAGGGTTTCTGATTGTGGATCTAATCTCATCCAAGATCTTCCTTCGCAGATTTCAATTAGCGTTCCTTCGCAACCTCTTGTTTCATCCGGACTCGTCTTTGAAGGTACGACCAAATACCACAGATCATCATCCTATCATGCTCACATTTTCATAGCATCAGGTCAAGCGCATAGATCTTACCACAGCTCGATCCCGGAGACAGTCTTGGACAAATTATCACAGCATTCAGAGAGTCAGACAGCGGAAGCTTCCACCCGACCAATGCTTCCATTATCTAGTCTAATGGAGCCGAACCCATCCGGCGATATGGGCAACAAAGAAGCAAAGCCATTGAAGCACTTTACCTCCAGCGCCCAGTCAGACCGATATGGCGATCTTCCTGGCTCAGCTTTGAAGGAAAAGACCCGCAGCGACTGGGCCCAGCTTGGCTCTGAACCTCAACCAGGAACACCGCAAGCTGGAACTGCCATTGATACCCCCTCTTCGGTGGGCGATATTGAAGCCACCATGTCTGCACCTATTCCTGAGACCACCGTCCCTCTCAGTATCAGATTCGATACAGGATCCTTTTCCCATTCACACACTGCAGTCCACCACGGTCACTCCGAGCCCTTGTTAACAGCGTCAGAATTGGCGCACGGGGGTAATATCACCCAGTCTTCAATGCAGACGATTCAGCCAAGTGCATTAACGGTCACTGGCATGGATGAGATTACTCCAGGGTCGGTTCAGCTTGGCCTATCCGAATACGCAGTGACTCTCCCGATGGATTCTCGAGTCAAAGACGACTATGAACGGGTTATAACAGATGCAGCTACCAACTTCCGTCAGTTCTTCGAGAGTTTCCAGTCAAATTCCCAGCACTCTGCTTCGGATGTAAGTAAACCCTCATACCTCGGTCGGAGATGTGTGTCTAACATTATTACCTCAGAGAGAGGAGTTGTATTCAGGCATGCGTGGCGTTGTTTCACGACTGAACAATATCGCGATGCACCCAGACTTGAACATTTCGGAGCACCTCAAGGGGGTAGAACCAGATTTTGCAAAGGAGGCATCTTGGGCGGAATACTCCAGTGCCAAATTCTTATTTCTGGGCCATTTTATGGAACTTGCTGGTATGAATGAGCTTCACGTGATTATTGCCGTCGGAGATGAGAAGAAACAGAAGATCCTCGAGCGTTATCTACAGGGCAAGGGTTTCGCCTACACAAGACCCCGAGAGGAAATGGGCAGTGCAGTTGAAGTATCTCTGGCGAAGGGCCCACTCAGCTTTGGCATTCACTCTAGTGAAAGCGCCCGGGAGCTTTTCAAGACACCATCTGCTATCTTTGCGTTGGACTCATCTTTCAGTTCCAAAAGCCCTTCTATGCAACACATTCGCACCACCTATTCCCGAAACGGTAATTTGCTTCCTGTCATCTGGTTCCTTGTTGCCAACACAAGTGAACACATTGAGCGTTGCCTGCCCGAAATGCCGGCTACCGAGCGGCTACACCTGCTTGTACATTACATTGCCCGTCTTCATGATGAGGTCGGTGATCTGCAGGACAATGCCCTTGGTGTGCAAGAGGATGCTGAGGAAATCCTTGGCTATCTCCTGGATAGCGCGTCTGGGTGGCCACTGCCTACCATCGAGCCCCTGAACTTTGTCTCCTTGGAAGAACTTGAGGTATCAAACGACTCGTCGTCTGACGAAGCGCCACCACAGCCACCCAAGCGAGCATTAGAAGAAGGCTCTGAAATTCATTCATCAAAGCGTCCTCGTGTCGGTACTCAGGAAGACAGTCAGTTGACCGAATCAACTAAGCCTCCAAGTCAAACCCTTGATCGCGATCTGCAATCGCTGGAGAAAAACCTCATTCAAATGAAAGCCACACATTCCACTGAAAAGGACGAATTACAGGCTGAGCTCAATCAGGCCAAAACTCGTTGGCACGAATTGGAGAAGACACTGGGAACCCTGCAGCATCGCTACGAGACCAGGACCAATGAATTTCACAAAACCCGCCAAGAGCGCGATCATCTGACTGCAAGCAAATCAACCAACGAGGAGCGTGTCGAGAAGCAAAGGGATATCATTTCCAAATTGAAAGAGGAGCGACTGGAGCTGAACAGTCAGCTCGACGAATCTAGGAAAGCTCTCAAAGATGGCGGAGGTACCACTGCTGAAATGGAGATGCTACGTGATGAGATTCGTCGCCTTAAGAGTGAGAACGAAAGTCTTGTACACAAAGCAGACTTTGAGAAACGTCAATCTGAGTACACCAGAGAGCAGTACCAGACCGCGTCTACAGCTGCCGCACAGTCTGGCACCGAAAACCGTCTGTTGGTCGCCGAAAACGAGGCATTGAAGCGCAGAGTGGATGGCAATATGGTCAGACTCCACGAGATTAACACTCAAAATGCATCCGCTCGCCATACCGCCCGAATTGAAGAGCTTGAAATCACACTTGCTGCACGCGATGAGTTCCTACGCAAAAAGGAGGAAGAACTCCGCGAAATCCGCAAGAACAGACCATCTACTCGCTCTACTAGCACCCAACCACGAAGCCCCAAATGGGCCAACAGCCGCCCCACCAGCCCTGGCGTCGGCCACAATGGCAACGGCAATGGAAATGGAGGCGTTTCTGGTCGAGGCAGTGGTCTTCGATACAGCTCTGGAATGCAAGTCTAATGACCGAACTTCACCCGTTGGCATGACTACCTCCGACCGACCCCCGGGGCCATTCATCTACTCAAGTTTCGCACCCTAACAAGTCTATGACGTTTAGACACAAAACATCGCGCCATCTGCAACAGTTCCTTCAGCTGCTGAAGCTAAACATCTGCTCCATTTATCCGCTCGCTACAACATCGCATATTCCTGGCGTTTCATTCACCATTCCATTCACGATGAGCGATTTTCGATTCGCGAAGTAACACGGGCTGTCAATGCAACATAGCGTTGCTTCAGTCATTTCTTTTTTCCATTCCCAATTATGGGTCTTGAACCACACTGTTATGTAGTTACCTTTTCAGTACAGCTTCAATCAAAAATACGTCCCACTCACGACCATGCCCATAAGCCGGTGTAGTATTGAGGTCATTCGTGAAAATCGGGTAAATGTACTAGATTGATAGCACTCTTCGATCTCCTCGCCTAAGGTTTTCAATGATAGGTCGTAATATGTGAACGAATCTCAGTCTTGTATTATATTATTAGAGTAAAGGAACCAATAGACGCCATAAACCTGTATGTATACACTGGCGTAGCCGGACACGGACACGGGGGCTTTTTTGTGCTGAGCAAAAGTGAGAACATATGAGAAGAAATGAGAAAAATAGCAAACCGACCAAGCAAAAGTGTTCCCTAACTCCTGGAAAGAACCCATCAATTCATAACAAATGCAGTGTGTTTAGACCGAGGCCATAGACTTGGCGATGAATGTAGCCAATTCTTTAGCCTTCTCGCCCCGTGTCATGGTGAAGTGGTTGGCACCCTCCATAACAGTGATGCCACCGACGTGCTTGGGGCCAACAAGCGTATCCCAGCCATTTGGTCCAAGATCAGTACGGTTGTTCAACAGCCACAGCATCTCTCGGGGATCTGGGCTCCCATCAGAAGCAGGTGCAGGTCGGGCATCGCCGGGCTTAGAACAGACACCATCCTTAGCCCAGACCAAGAAGGTCTTCGGAAGCTTGTCGGCCAAGTTGGGGTCTGAGTAAGGGAATGGCACTGCCTTGTAAGCATCCAAGGAGTCAATGAAGGCCAAGAAGTGAGGCAGAAGCCACTTGGGAGGAGGCGCTTTGCCCTCGCCAAACAGACCGATTGTGTCGAAGAAGCTGTAAAGACGAGGGGGAAGCTTTTCCAGGCCAATGGGGAACGGTGAGTCTAGGAGGAGCAGGCGCTCGACTCGCTCGCCCTCTTCGAAGATCAGTTGACGCGCGGCGTCGTAGGCGCAGATACCACCAGCAGACCAGCCACCAAAGTTGTACGGCCCTGTTGGCTGACGACGACGGATCTCAGCAACGTAGGGGGCTGTCAGCTCGTCAAGGCTAAACTTGAGGTTCTCCGGGGTACGCATGTACGGGCAGTTAAGTCCGTAGACACAAACATCGGGAGATACGCCAGGGATGGTGGCATAAGAAGTAGCCGAGCCAGATCCATCAGGGAACAAGAAGAGCTTCTGTGTTGCCGTCTTTGGGTTTCCTTGTAAGAGGATGGAAGTCGCCGGTGGGTGCTGAACAGAGGTGCTTGAAGGGGCCTTTGGGGCTTGCACGGTGATTTGCTCCGGGAATCTGATTGGCTCCACGGGGGCAGGCTTGGACTTGGGCTTCAAATCAAGGGTAGTCTCGATTTCATCGAGGGTTTGGTTCTCAATGAAGAACTCTCCAGGGAGGTCCATGTCCAACTCCTCACGAATCTTACCAAGGACCGTAAGGGACATCAGTGAGTCCAGACCCATCTCACCAAGATTAGCGTCGCCATCTAGCTCTTCAGGTGCAACACCGATCTCCTCGGCCAGGATCGAGGTAATGTGCTTCATGGTTTCGTTCTCTTCCTGGGCTCCATGGGTCATTGACTTTTCGTGGGTAGGAGTTGGGAGACCACTAGAGTTTGGAGAGGAGATGTCTGTCGAAGATGCGGCAGAGGACATATCACCCTCGCTACTAGATCCATCAGTACTATCGGCAGGACTCATTTGAGCCAGAAGCCGCTTGAAGTCTGTGACAGTTGGTTGATCAACGAAGACAGAGGAGTCAAGATCGAGCTCCATTTCCTCGCGGTATCGACCAGTGACAGTCAGCGAGAGGAGGGAATCCACTCCGTAGTCAGCAAAGTTCAGATCATCGGTCATCTCAGACGCTGAAAGCCCAACCTCCTCGGCAAGGATTGCAAGAGCACGCGAAGCGAGACTCGGTGCTGAGGATTTTGGTGTAGAAGACTTCTTTGGGGTTTTCTTTTGCGCCTTCTGAACGTTGATAGGAGCAGGGGCGGCACGCTTAGCAGCCGGCTTCGAGGCAGGAGCTCCAGCAGGAGGAAGAGCCATATCAAGGATCTTTCGGGCCAATGCTTGGAACTGCATTGTATCGCATTAGTAAATATGTTGGACCTCAGGAGGATTTTGTTTACATACCTTGACACCACCATAGACGGCGACAATATCGTCACCATCAAACATGTAGACATCACCTGCCCAGATAGAATCCTTCCAGGGCTGCATCCTCACATATGTCCGGTAAGTGACAGAGGGGTCAAACTTCTTCAGACAACGCATCGAGTCCCAGCCATGGTTGACGAAGACTTGGTTCTTGGAGTCAGTGTTATCACTAGCATTCATAATGAACCCTGACAAGTGACCAATACTGTCGATCCAGAAAGGATTGCGGTGGAAGTTGCCACGAGGAGCCTCAAACTTGACGAGAGCAGTAGCTTCATGCTGCTCACTGTCTAGGATGACTTCGCGAATGGACTTGTAGTTCTCGTCGTAATCCACCAGGGATGCAAAGAGCTTGTAGACCATTCCTCGCTTCATGCGGTGAGCTTGGCCGGAGATCGTGCTCTCTTGGAGGTGCTCGATGCTTCTCTTGATGAGGTACGAGCTACGCTTCCACTCAAGCTCATAGCTGGCAGGCTCAAAGAACTTGATAGTGCAGCTAGCGTGGTCGAGAATCTTCTTGCCCTCGGGGGTGACGGACCAGACCTGTACCTTAGCAGTTTCATCTGCCCAGTTCGCGTTGGCTGAAACGCGGAAGAGTTGTTTGCCACCCTTCGCGATCAAAGGCTTGGGGACAATGACATTGCAAACGTCAAACCCGCGGTCCTTCCACTCGGGTTTGTAGTTTTGAACAAGATATTCACCCAGTGTCTGGGCAATGTCGGCATACAAGGACTATATTATGATTAGAATGTAATAACAGATAAGAGACTTGAGATAATACGTACCGACGGGGTGAGGCAAGCCCCGTTGACCTTGTGGCCTGCAATGACGCGGTTCAATTCAGGGTCAGCAATGTCGTTCTCAATGACGATCATTGCCGACGAACTGTCACCGGTGGTCTCCAAAACCTTCTGGGCCGCCGTCGACAGGAAAGTCGAAACAGGAGCATCTTGAGTGACAGGTGCCGCTGGGGCACCCTTGAGAAGACAGAAGTTATTGGTGTAGGGAATCCAATAGTTCTTGAGGTCCCACTTGTAAGAAGGCAATGGGAGAACGCTGTGAGCAGCCGAGAAATCCTGGTGATATTCCCTCCAGCAGATTTCAATACCCGAAAGGTACAAGGATGAAAGACTGCTCGACAGAACTTTCCATGTATCCTCCTGGCGACGGAGAGATGCAAGTGTGGTTGCCTGAGGACCGAAAGTTGCCTTTACCATTCCAGAGCAGACGGTATGCGAGCCAATCTCAACCCAAAGAGTTTTGTCGTTCATCAGGTTGGAATGGCGGGTGGCCTCAAGGGCTCCCAAAAAGTTGACGGTCTCTCGACAGTGTCGCGTGAGATATTCAGGGCCAAGCACGTCGCTGTTCTTATCCTTGATGACGTCGCCGAGAAGGGCTGACACGAAAGGAATCGAAGGCTCATTGAAAGTAAGTCCCTTGGCAATCTCAGCAAGATTCTCGAGGATAGGTTCAACCTGAGCGGAGTGGAAAGCAAAGGGAACCTTCAACTTTGTAGCCTTGAACCCTTCGTTCGAAAGGGTTTGTGCAAGCTGGTCAATCTTCTCACTCGCACCGCTAATGACAGTTTCGCTGGGAGCATTGATACAAGCGACTTCACTAGCATCATCAAGGAATTGTTTGACCTGTGCCACTGAAGACTTGACTGCAAGCATAGCGTGGGTTCCAACTTGGCATTGCTCGGTGAGGAGCTGAGCACGACGTCCAGTCAAGTAGATTGTGTCACTAGTTGTGAGAATACCGGCGGCGTTCATGGCAGCATATTCGCCGAGACTGTGTCCAAGGACAAAGCTGGGGGTAACACCCAAAGAAGTCCAGTACTTGGTCAAAGCCATCTGAACGCAGGTAGTACCAAGCTGAGTCACAACTGGGCTATGTTCCTCGATGGGGACACTTCCATCAATCAAAGAAATGATGGAGGGGAATCCCTGGCTCTGTCCAATGCGGTCCAGGTGCTCAATATGAGCGCGGAATTGTGAACAACTCTCGAACAATTGGCGGCCCATTCCTGCATACTGAGCACCCTGTCCAGTAAAGACGAATCCAATACCAGGGGCAATAGCTGGGGATGGAGCGATGCTGTCACGATTGACGATAGGTGCCAGTGCACTCCTGACCTCATCCAAAGTCGAGCCAGTGACAGCCACTCTGAAGGGATGGTGGATACGTCTGGCCGTGGTGGTGTATGACAGATCGGCCAAGAGGCTGGGTTCCCGAACGTTAAACAAATTTTTGTTTGTGTCAATATACTGAACAAGAGCAGAAATGTTGTTCTTCAAGGCAGACTGTGATCTGGCGGAGACAAGCACGGGGTGAACAGACCGAGAGTCTTGCACAACCCTCTCGTCAACAAGACCATCCTCGACTAGCAAAGCAGTATTACCGCCAGCAGCTGAGAAGTTGTTGACGAAAGTTTTTCTCTTACCACCTTCGGGTCTGTTCCAGGGGGTAGGCTGCATGGCGATATGAACGTTGCGTTGGGGGAAGTCTGTCGGGAAGCCTTGATTGATCTTGGTCTTGATACCACAGTGAGGAGGAATCATGTTCTTTCGCATCATCATCAAGACCTTGATCAGTGCTGTGACACCTGATGCGGACTCTCCGTGGCCAACATTTGCCTTGGCTGAACCGAGGTGAAGGGATTGGGTTGGTCCACGACGATAGTCAGGAGCGAACACATCGAGAACAGACTGCATTTCCACCGCATCACCCGCTTGGGTACCAGTGCCGTGCATCTCAATATAGCTGATCTCTTTGGGATCAGTGTTGGACTCATTGAGAAGTTTGTCAAAGATAAACGACTGGGCACCGACGTGAGGCCGAGTGATCGAAACAGCCTCAGCCGAGTGGTTGGTGTAGGCCCCGCCAATGATACCATAGATGGGATCATTGTCGGCTTGAGCATCTTCAAGTCTCTTCAACACGATAGATCCAATTCCATCTGCTCTGCAGTATCCATCGGCACCATCATCGAAGGTGGTACAGTTTCCAGTCCTGGAAAGGAAATGACCACGGTCGAGACCAGCGTGGTTGTCAGGGTTGGTCAGGATGTTGACACCACCAGCCACAGCTGAGTCACAGTCGTTCTTCCACAGTGAGTTACAGGCAACATGAATTGCTGCAAGACTGGAAGAGCAAGCTGTGTCTACACTGACACTAGGACCACTAAACTTGAAGTAGTAGTTGATGCGGCCAGGTGTGAATGCTCGGTTGCCACCAGGAATGAAATAAGTATCAATGTCCTGACCACTGTTGATCTCACGATAGTCATCACTGGTCATGCCATAGAAGACACCAACCCGATTCTTCTGTGTAGAGGGAGTGCTGTTGGGGATGAAACCTGACATCTCCAAAGCCTCATATGCAGTGAGAAGGGCTAGACGTTGAGCCGGGTCCGCTTGAAGTGCTTCGCGGGGCGACATATTGAAGAACCGTGGGTCGAACATCCCAGCGTCATTGTACCAACACCCGTACTGGACCTGACTGGTGTTTCTCGTCTTTCCGTCCATATCAACATGAGCCTTAACATCCCAACGCTCAGGGGGGACTTCACGATGAACATCAAGACCCTTCTTCAGAAGATCCCAAAATGCCTCGGTATCAGGGGCCTCGGGGAATCGCCCAGAGAGACCAATGATTGCAATCTTGGATTGCTCAGAGCGACCAGTGCGGTTGTCGCTTTCGGTCTCCAGTTGTACATCACCGATCGAGCTGTCCACTTCAAGGGTAAAGGTGTTTGTTTTCTTCAGTGCGCTGAAAAGGCTCTGGGTTGCTGTACTCGAGATCGGGGAGATAGTACATTGTGTCGCAGTTTCCAAAGTCGAGTGGCATGATTCAATGACCTTGTCCCAACAAAGCTGTCGTTGAAGGATCTCCCTCAGGACAACCTGCAGCAATTGCTCAAGACTCTCTGCTTGAAGCTCTTTGCCGGTTTCGCTCGAGAGTACTGGGATTTGAGGCACATAGCTTCTGAACTGCGCACTAGGCCAGGTCTCCATGATTCGGCTAACATCCTTGTCGTCATACAGATGTGAGGCGTGGTAAGGGCCATGGATGGGTACTCTGATAGGCTTGTTATCCTTTGAGAGTGAGGCTTCAATGAAGCGACCAAGCAAGGCTGGAGGGCCACTGATAGTCAGTCCGTTGGGGCTAACTGCGCTAACATAAGGCTGCGAAACACGAGGCAAAACCTAGCAGAAGTTAGCTTTCGAATACATCAGTCTTCACTCAGTACTCCTCACATTCTTCTTCGCGAATTGCTGAATTAGGTCTTGGGCTTCATTCTCGCGCATGCCAGAAACCAATACGGACCAGCTTGAGGCAGACTTGCTCGGTTCCACGAGCTCCTGCACCTTCAGAACACATGTCCCAAGTCTCAAGGCAAGAACCACCGTCTCAACACCAACGGGAATCAGTTCTCCGACAGTTCTCGAGGAGCTGACCGCGGCAGCTGCAAGCTGCCCCGTGCAAAGACCAACAATGAAGTTCTCATTACCACGCGGATAGGCGTGACCTAAGTCTCCATAGTGGCTATTAAGTAATGTTAGAATGTTTGTTGCATGGCAAAACATGTTATCAATAAGATAGATCTTACTGGATGAAGCTTCCGAGCTGGTAAATTGTTGTCAAAGCACTTTCTAGCGCCGGGTTGGGTCCTGATTCGCGATATCTTGCGAGAAGATCGACGATGCTAGTAAAGCGAGGGAAAGCTGCTCGCTCAGAGGGAGGCAGTGAGGTTATCTCTTTGCGCAATGCATAATAGGATTTTTGAAAAAAAGCTACCAGCAACGAGTCATTTTTGGCATGCAGCAGGCGGCGAAGGCCGGAGTCGAAATCCGCAGTCTGGTCTCCAAAGAGATACACACGACTGGCGGCTTCCATAGACATCCCTGTTGCCGGATGACTGTTTCAAGAGTTGACAAAGAAGGAGGAAGACAATTCCGTCGCGGAACGATGGGCATTATACTTTATACATAGGCACATGGCTACAGTCGCTATTTAGTGGGTCGCAGTCAAATGACGATAGACAGTGAGTTACGGAAAAGATTCTGCTAGAAAGACCTGAACGGAAACGAAAATGAAAATTTGTGTTCCCTGTTTTTTTGTTCCTCTACACAATCACGAATCCGTGCCCGGCGACAGGGATGAAACGCTTTGAAACTGTGTAAAATTACCGTTAGAGCCCGAGTGCTGTACGTAATTTTCATTTCTATAGTAGCATTTAGCTCTAAGAGTCTTATTCATGTTTGGTATCAACCAATGGTACCGTTACTGCAATGATTCTTCAGAAGCTTCAGGGCTGTAGTATGCTTACGTGGGTAGAGTGTGTTAGCAAGGTGGGTCGAAATAATACCCGGCTCCTATAGAGAAGCCGATTGGATCGCTGGGATAGCAAATCCAGTTACTCAGGGTACGGCAAACCGATGAAAATCTACGGTTGCCCGAGTGCTGTTTGCGGACAAGACTTATGTTGACTCCAGAAATCAAGGTTTTATGTCTCTCTGATGGGGCATCCATGACATATGTCTCAAGTAAAATTGTTATTCTGGCCGGAAATGGAGCCTCTAGAAAGAAAAGTGACCAATAAGTTGCAATTCATGTTTCGATGTTGACGCTTTCAGAAGGTTACAGCCGCTATTTCTGAGGTCACGTGAGACGATTGCCCTAACAACTATTCTAACTTCTCTATGCCTTTGGCAGTTAGGTACCTCAATCCCCTTCAAAGAAGTTAAAAGGGCTTTCAATGGGACCTAATTTGCCTTGCTTTGTCTTTGGGTTCAGTACCTAAGCCCATAGATAGTACTATGAACTTGACACATACATACTTGCGTAGTCTCACAAGCCGTCACAAAATCCCGATTGTGAGGAATGTTAGATCGGAATGTCGCAGTGTGCTAATCCACTCCAGCACATGTACATCAACATTCAAATTTAGTAATTAAATGTAGATCCTTTGAATACATCATCATAGTTCTCCCCAGACGTCATGACTAGGACTTGATATCACATTTGAGAGCTAAAATAAATTTCACCATGGGAAGCAATTGCAACCAAAGAGACCTTGGAACCTGTTTTGAAAGTAGCATTCTAAAGTTGAACTCCTCAAAGCTGCGACCGGGGCTATCGATATAGGTAGTGCTGATAAATACCATTGTTTGAAAACAAATCATGGGATATATAAACCACCGGAAATTTGGAAGGATTTCAGGAGTCATGAAAGGATGAGTGAATATAATGTTATAGCCTGGGGATCTTCTCCCGGGACTCCCGGGAAGGATTTCCAAGCACATGCCCTGGTGTATGGTCCCTTTGCCGATCTACCGGCACCAACCGAGATTTGACCTGGAGATGAACGGGTTGGTCATGCAGCGGCCCGACAGATCGTCGTCCCGCGACGAATGCAGCAACATGCCAACAGATCGGCTCATGGAAGCTACAAATAGTTGGCTTCCAAGGTTGTCAAAAACTCATACGGAGAAAAACCAGACAAAATAGCTGCTTTTAGATATATAATGATACCAGCTCACAATATCAGCAGTGGTTTTTCTGACCAGGACGGCTACAGATTTCTCCTGATTCTTTTCTTTCCCGGGCCACTGTGCCGTAAGAACACCTGAGCAGTACTCTAACTTCATCACCTATATCTGGAGCTAGGATGATTTTTGGTTTTGTTTGGAACTGGCATATTGAAGAAACAGTTGAATTACCAGGACAATTGATGCTGGCTGGCCATCAGCTTCGCCATATCTATCCTGAGCTTCGGTCATACTTATATCTCTCTCCGACTTCAGGTCATGACCTGTAGATTCTTTATCTGATTTACACCCCCTCGTTTTCTCTCTTCCTTCCTTTCTGTTTCATATTCTTTGACTAATTGCAATAGTATCAACCGAAATTTTTGCCTAATATATTTTAAACACTTCCAGTATGTCAAAAATACAGATGACCTTGGAACACACCCGGAATAAAGCCTTGGCTACTGCCTATGCCAGGCATAGCTTGAATTGGGAGAAATCGCCACTTGGGCCGGAGCTTGTGCATGCTTAAGTGTTGAACTGGCATCTCATCTTGATACTACACTTGCGCGAAAGCAGTATCTCTATTGCTGTTGGACTCTCTCAAATCCATGGTTTTTCGATAGTTCATTCCTAATTACACGGACATCTGATTGATCCCACTTGAGCAATGTGTTGCAGTGCTTCTTCTAAAGTTTTCAAATGAGCTGGACGATATCTATACTTATCTGGACACATACTTAGGTAACAGGGCTTGCTCCTATCCCGTTCTAATCTACAGTATGATCATTCCATGCAAATCAGAAAGCATGAGAAAATCGATTAAACAAGTGTCTTTATGTTCTCTGATGTGGAGATGCGCTGTAGTGCTGACATACAAGCTGCCATGTGTAGCAGGCTATTAGCGACCAAGCAATGGTTCACAATATTCTCGCAAGATCATTCCACAATATGTAAGACGCTTGTTTTGACATTCGTCACCTTGTCGACAGCGTGGCCGAGGGGCAAGAAAGTACGGAATAGTACTCATGAAAACTAGTCCTTTCGAATTTCCCAACACACTACACACTGCTCTGGCAAGGTAAGCCTGGATTGAAGTAGCTTCTAAAGTTGTTTTGCCCAAACTATGATCCTCGTCACTATGATTGCATTCTCGAGCAAACAAGGAAGCTTGGCTCTTGGCAAGTCTCCGTATTCTATTAAAAAAATATTGTACGAGTTCATAGGTCAACTGATCAACAAAGAATACTGAAAGGACTGGGGGTGTAGCTTTTGGTCTCCGAAAAGGGATGGTTCGGGCTGCAGGGGCGCTCGGAAATTGAACCGAGCCACGCAAAAGACCTATGTATGTGTACTCGCATGGTCGAGGAGTCTGCTTACTGGTGTTCATGACCAGAATCAAAATGCAGACAATATGTAAGGGGAAATTATTGCGTAGATCCAATCCATTGTGGCAACATGTGGCGCTTGTTTGTTGGTGGGAATTTCGCCCCTCACGACAAGAATGTGACTATTACCATATCCGGCATTGTGGTGCATCGTGGCATTGGCCATGGGTGTCCCTAATTTCCTTCCAGGCTGGATATGTACGCCTGCGGTATCCTACAAAAGTGTGATTGAAATTGATCAACATGTCAATAAGCTTAATATCAGGAATATTCTCTGTATCTTGCATGAGATCATTACGGAGTACGGAGTAGTAAGAGGTTCATGTAGCCATGCCTTCAATACTTTGCAATGTCAAGATCGATTGCACAAAATTGACCAAAAGTCTCGCTGAAAAGCACACAAGCTCAAACACAGGTCAATTAAACGGATGGTGTTATCTAAATCAAGTTATCTCAAGATGTGAAACGTCTCTCCTCTGGGAACCATGGATCGGGTGCGGCTCTCGGGACAAGCATATTCCCATCCATGGATTGGAGTCTCTTAAGTGCCACATCTTGATGCTCACAATTTCGACGCGTATCAATCACAATAGTCTTTTTTTTGATCCAATTGAGCAAAGTCTCCAGCGTCAGAATTCTACATGATGCCAGATCATATTACATAATCATACATTAAGCTTATCGATAAGAGATCATCCCTCGCTAGTCCCGATTGGGCCAGCTGTAAACACTGTAAACACCGGGGCAACATTGCAACCCGAGCGGCCCCAGTCCTCAGGCCTCACCGCGGTCTCTCTACTCTCCCACTCTCCCTCCACGCCTCCGCGGTTGGTCTGTTGATCGCATTCGATTGATTCTACTTGACCAATTCTCTTTGCACATTTTCGTATTTGCATGCTCTTCTCCTAACAATGCCGATTCATTGATCTTCCTTATCCCTGCGTCCGTACCCTGTCATCTCAGCTGTCTCCAGTCCGAACCAACCACACCACATTGCCCATTGGTACACGATCTACCGGGTTGGCTCGAAATTAGTTCCTAATTTCAAGTCGCGCCAAGGACTAAGGCATAATATTGAATTCACTTTGGATCTTGCGCTCAAATCACTCCAGCATCAGAGACCACCATGGCACAACTGCCTACGCGGTTCCCATGCTGGTGCCGGGCAATATATTCTTGGGGTGGAGAATCAACGAAAGATCTGGGATTTGTTGAGGGTGATTTGATCGAATGCTTGAACGCGGGTGACGGACAATGGTGGATGGGTCGATTGCGCCGGGACAGGCGCGCGGTGGGACTGTTTCCATCCAACTTTGTCGAGCTTTTGAGTGAGGATTTTGTGCCCGTGAGTCGCGACACCAGTCCCATGGTGTTGGCCGGCTCTTCGCCCATCAACAACCCCACCTTCGCCCCAAAAAAGCAAAAGACCGTATGGCGAAAACCGTTCCAGGCGCACAAGGAAGCCTCATCGCCAGCTGCAGTAGCCCGACGCGCAACTGAGTCCAGTCCAGCTGCGCCCGCAATTCCACAAACACCACCTCGAGATGGGGCGCCTCCGAGAAGCACGAAACCATTGCGCACACACGCTTCAGCAGTAAAGAATCAAGGCTCAGTTTCCAGGCCCTCGTCGGTGTCATCCAGACCTTCCTCGCGTGGGATTTCTCCCCGTGTCTCTGCAGAGCCTGAGAGATCGCCTTCTTCAATTTTACCGAGAGGAAGCATTTCATCTTCGCGACATTCATCCCGCGAGCCATCTCCATATCAAGCGCAGGAGCGTCCGCCCACCATGATACCAAGAGGTAGTGTTTCATCTTATCGAACACTATCGCGCGAACCGTCTCCTATGGTCGCGCAGGATCACTCATCTGCTGTTGTTCCGCATGGCAGTGTATCATCTTACCGGGCATCATCCCGCGAGCCATCGCCTTTGCAAATGCAGGAGTACCCACCCCCAACTATTCCACACGGAAGTGTTTCCTATCGTGGTTCATCGCGTGAACCCTCTCCATTACACATGCAGGAGTATGCTCCTGCGACTGTTCCCTACGGTGGGACACAATCATATCAGCTTCCGTCCCGAGAGCCATCGCCTTTGATGAGACAAGAATATGCGCCGGCGCCTGTCAGTCATGGGAGTATCTCAGGATACCGTGGTCCATCGCGAGCGCCATCTCCATTACCTATGCAAGATCAACCTCCTGCCCCCATGCAACATGGAGGCTACTCACCGTACCGCCCTTCGTCTCGTGATCCTTCTCCATTACAGATGCAGGAAGAGCGCGAAGATTCTCCACCTCCGCCGCCGCCCCCACACCGAGTAGCTATAAGCCGCGGCGATTCCCACTCGCCTGCGCCCTCAATGCATTCGTATACACGGAGTCCCTCGCCTCAGCCTCAAATGTATCATTCACGCAATCGTTCGCCACAGCCACCCGTACACTCCTCCCAGCGTCGGGCGGTCTCTCCGCAGCCTCCAATGCATCAATCGCGGAGTCATTCCCCGCAGCCTCCCATGCATGACCGTCACCGACGTACTCCCTCCCCCCAGCCACCTACCCGCTCGCGACAATCGCGATCGCCCGCTCCCCTGCCAATGAATGACCGCTACGTGATATTTGATCGAACTCCATCTCCATCCGCAGCATCGACGCGCTCTGCAATTTCGGCGACTTCGGGGCAATCTGAAATGCACGGAAACACCCCGTCCCCTCTACGTGATGCGATGGAAGACGTGATGACTTCATTAGAGGACATGGGTCTCCCGCGCGATGCTCAGTCTCCTTCTCCTGCGCCCCAATTCAATGATCCCTGGGCGCCAGAGGAATTTGACACATCGCAAGAACGAACTCCTCAGCCCAGTAGACGCCGGCCGCTAACATCAATGGGCTTTGATGGGTATAAAGCACAGCCACAGAGTGCAATTGGCCACAGAAACAGCGTGTATGATCATTATGCGGACGGTCCGCCCCAGCTTAACAACTACGTGCAAAGGATGGAGAGCCGTTTACGCCAATTAGAAGACCAGAACCGGTCGTCTGAAGACCCTAAACCTGTCCCAGAAGACGACGACGGGCCTCCTCCGCCTCCTCCAAAACATGCTACTTATCACCCGCGAAACAACTCACTGCCTGGTGGAAATTATCCTCACTTGCATGCCCGGCGTTCTGGCCACAATCTTCGAGGAGACATTCTCAACCGCTCGTTTACTAACAAGTCCAGTGCAACCAATTCATCCGCTGGGGTTCAGAGCAATGGCACATCGATGACTGCTAGCACAGACAAGACCGGCCAGAGCGTCATGAGTGGGTTCTCCGCAGGAGGATTCAGCGCAACGAGCGCTGGTAGCTTTGCTCGACGCGGGGGGCATGGGAGGCCGAGCACAGCCATGGATACTGTACGGTCTCGGGGCTTCAGCGATGCACGCCCAGAAACGCCCTTTACTGGTGTTTCCTACCACTCCAGTCACAATTCATCCCGCCAAGGCGCGTCGTCAGCCATTCCATGGTCGTCCACTGTGGATCAGACCGACCATAGCGCAATCTTTGGTGGTCTATCTACCCCGAAAACCAAAAAACAAGGGTTTTTCAAGAAGATATTCGAAACAGCCAAGACCGGTGCAGCGAGTGCGAGGAGTAGCATCTCAGCTCATGGAGATCGGTCTGGATCTCCAAGCAAGAGTCAAAGAGGCATAGATGTGGTTTCACCTCTTCTCACGTCCCAGTCAAACCGCGACAATGCCCGCGATATGCCTGGGACTAGCACTCTTGATTGGGTACAGGTTCGCCGAGACGTCAATCGTGCCTCCTCTCCCAGCCGAAATGAAAGAGTCGAAAGAGCCGAGCGTTGTCAAATGCATGATCACCCAGTGATCTACTCGGTTGAGGAATTGTATGATACTGCGGAAGGCGAGGAAAGTATTGATGGGCAGCCGATCACCGAGCCCACAAATTTCAATGCAGCCAATCTGACCCTGGTCGACAAGAGCGCGCGTTTCATAAGCAGTCTTCCGCCGTTGACCAACCCCATGAGCCTTGCCCAATCCTACATCTGCCGACCATACAAGAGCGATGTTCAGCGCCTGCGGGCTATCTTCACATGGGTTAGCGAGAAAATCTCGTGGGAGGAGCCAGTTGATGGTTTGGAAGTCGACATGAAAAGACTTCTGCAGGCCAAACGTGGAACTCCAGAAGAGATCGCGTTACTAGTTCATGAAATGTGTGCTGCTGTCGGCCTTCACACCGAGATCATTCGAGGGTTCCTGAAGGGTCCCGGGGATGTTCTAGATCTGGACAGCCTTTCCCGTCCAAACCACTGGTGGAACTCAGTTCTTGTCGACGGCGAATGGCGTTTTATGGATTGTGCACTTGCCAACCCCACAAACCCGACAAGGAGCAAGTTTGTCACCAACAATTCTTCTGTGGCAGAGAGCTGGTACTTCCTCGCACGTCCCCTTGAGTTTTGCTATACACACGTCCCGCAATACCCCGAAGAACAGCACATCTGCCCGCCAATCTCACCAGACGTTCTGCTCGCCTTGCCAACAGTGTGTCCGCCATTCTTCAAGCTGAACGTTCAAGTACCAGACTATGACACTAGCCTTCTCCGCATTGAAGGTTTAGAAGTCATGCAAATACGTATGGTGATGCCTCCGGACGTGGAATGCGCTGCAGAGGTCGAAGCGCCTGCCTTCGCCCGTGACGCTGACGGCGATGTCTTTGAAAGTGGAGATATCGTGCGCAAACGTGCATTGGTTCAGCCGGACTGGTTCCGAGGCCAAAAGCGCATCACTATCAAGGCTGTTCTTCCAGGCGACGAGGGTCAGGGTGTGCTCAAGATCTATGCTGGCAAAAAGGGTCTGATGCACACCAGCCGGGATATTCCACATCCTCTGGCACTGGCCTTGCCCATGATCCACACTGGCGAGAATCCCTCTTATGACTTTGTGCTTCGTCATCCCACTCCCCACGCGCAGAGACATGACTTATACATCATGCAACCTCAGTGCTCACGCCTGGCGGTAAACAATACTTTTGTTTTCGCTGTCAGACAGCACCCCGCTACCCCTGGTTCCGCGCAAGACGAGAAATCTTCAAATGGTCGTGGATCGCCAACCTCTGTCTTCAATCGTCCTTCCAGTGCCCTGAGTATGGTATCCAGCACTGCAGGCGGATCTACTGTCTCCGGGGCGTCGAATGAATTCTCCGCATCGACTTCAGCTATTTCATCGGGCAAATCCACCTCGGGACGAGATAAGGCAGCTAAGCTGGCTATCCAGTCTCCATCTGGGAAGATTCTTCGTCTCACTCGCAAGGCTGAGCATATGATCGGCGGCGACACAGGTGCTGAAACAGTTACCGATGCTGCTGCCGAAGGCAGTGTATGGGAAACCGTCATCAAGATTGGTGAGCGTGGTATGTGGCGCGGCCTGGTGCTCGCCGATCGAGCTGCCAGGTGGTGTGTATTTTGCGAATGGGAGTGCGTTTGATTCTTCCTTTACATTGTCTTGGAGTTTTGAAGTTTTGATGCAATTGATGCATTCGGTGGCTGTCTGTCTATTTTATCGCTTTTTCATTTGCATATTTGCGTTTTCTTTTCTTTTTTGTCAGTCATGTTTTTGCATAATAGCATTTGCATCAGGTTGGCTTGGAGCATTGCATATATTGCATTTCGTTTGTGTTCAGATTCAGAAATGTCTGGATATTCCAAGAACAATGTTCGAGAATATGGATTGATTAAAGCAGGTCAACATACATCGGTTTTATTCCTTCATCTTCAGCAATTGTAATACTCTCTTGGGTTTTTAATATAAGGTAGACAAGTTTACAATCTAGCCACGGCTGTCCGTAGCAACGGCGCAACTTGTTTCCTACTTCCAGCAGCATTCGTCTGCACCCACAATCTCCTCCAAAGTGGCGAGTCTGCATTCAACGCAGAAGTGCAATCTCCTGCGAGGTCAGGGATGTCCTCCGCATCCCGTGGAGACCAATCAATCAACCCAAGCTGAGAAGAGGCTTGCTCAAAAAATGCTTTTGCGCCTTCTAGGGCTGCCTCGTTTTCACGCGCTACCCCGATGAAGAGTTCTCTGCAGAACTGGCCATCTTTCGCAGTGAACGCAGTCATCACGACAAGTACATCCAAGTCCTTCTCGGCCGAAGCTGCGAAGGAGCGTGCCGCATGAAGGAATTGATCCGGCTTGCCTGCCTTGTGTACAATCCACCTGATTGGTTTGACAGACGAACAGAAGCCTATTTTGACACTTTGGCCAGAAGACTGTGATGTCTCGGTCCAATCTTTATAGTCACGGTCTAACACCTCCTCCACTGTAAGTAGGTCAAGGCTATTTTTCTTGGCGTTCAAGACGGCCTCGTATAATTCATCCATCTCCCACTTGAGCCCATTGGCTGAGACTTCATGTTGTCCTTCAACCTGTTTCCACAGGGATTGAACAGCGTCACGATCTACATCAGTCACCTTTCCTTCCGCAGTGAGGTTTGATGTATCGATCAAGATAGCAGAAAGAGCAAGCTTTGCGAGCTGGGCCATTTCCGCTGTGTCTTCTGCCCAAAGGTCTCGTCGTTGTAGCTCTCGGACGATGAGAGATGCACACGAGCCCGGTCCAGGCTGGATGATCAGTGGTTGATTTTTGGGGAGTGAATCTGCACTAGGCATATAGTTCTCATCGATATGATGATCAATGCATCCCAATGCCCGGAAAGAGACACCCGACAAACTGGTCAGAGACCCGAAACCCTTATCAATCTTTGAAGGGCATGGCAATGCGTTCCAGTCCACTAATGTTGCCTCAGCGATGATCTGTTTCAAGACTTTCTGGTCTTGTAGGAACTGTGTGAAATCCGCAACGGTCACAATATGATCGCGTAAGAGGTTCCCCGCTGAGTGCTGGGTATTCTCAAATTTCTCTTCATTCTTCAGAGCGGGGAAGTTTGTGGACGACCATAGTGCGGTGACAAACTCAGGTCGCAGGCGAGAAAGTTCTGAGCCTGCTGGTACATTGGGCAGATTCAATAATGGGATATGGGGTCTTGGAGACTGAACTGGGAGACGGTTGTTCGCGCAGTAGGAGTAGATGATTGCCGATACGATGGAGTCAAGGTCGGCAGATGAATTGCCGATCACGTAGATAGGGGAATCGGATAAGGCACCCGAGACGAACTGGTGGTGCACCAGACGAGCTTGTCGCAGGAACTGAAGGAGAGTCATTTTTGGTGTTTTCCTGGGCGTTTCGATATTCGATACGTCATTTTTTGGTTGCTGACGTGATGTGTTTGGTGCCAGATATGTCAGGCCACAACTTATTTACTGACCATTGGATCTTGATACTTCTAACAACACACCAAACCATGTCTCTTCCTCTTCAACTTCCAGAAACCTTTGCTCAGATCTCACGCTACAAAATTCTCTATCCGAGCCCATCCCCTATACACCCATTACCCTCAATTTCACCGGCAAGAGTCTCTCCGCACCACCCCCGCATCTCCGTCTACGCCAAACGAGAGGACCACTCCTCGCCACTGGCTTGCTCAGGCAATAAATACCGAAAGCTAGAATACATTGTTCCAGACATTCTCTCCCAAGCACCAATCTACCACTACCATGAGAACAATCCAAGTCCACCAGGCCCGCTCAATGGCCCTGCAACAACCCTCGTAACAGAGGGCGCAATCCAAAGCAATCATACCGTGCAAGTGGCCGCACTAGCACGTAAGCTTGGTTTAAATGCCTTGATTCTCCTACACCGTGGGACAGGCGGTGGCCTTCGTGCAGCAAGCGATAAAGAAGCCTTCCAGCGCAGCGGCAACGTGCAGATCAACCGTCTTCTCGGCGCGGAAGTACGCATCTGCGAACAGGGTGATCCACTAGCACATGATGCAACGCCCGTCCTTGATGAATTGAAGGCTCGTGGTCAAAATCCGTACTGGATTCCTGGTGGTGCAAGCTTACATCCGCTTGGTGGTTTAGGGTACGCAAGGGCAGCATTCGAGGTTGCTGGGCAAGAGAAGGAGATGGGTCTCGGTGGATCGGGTCGGTTTGACTATATTTTTGTCGCATGTGGAAGTGGAAGCACAGTCGGGGGCTTGGTAGCCGGGTTCAAACTAATGGAGAAGTTGGGTGAGAAACCGAGGAAAATCATTGGTATATTGAACTCGCCAACTCAACCACTTGCATATCATGAAGAGAGAGTCCTTAGGTTTGCAAAGAAGGCTGGAAGCTTGATTGGGCTTCATGGGGGAGATATTGGGGTTCAGGACGTGAAACTAGATGATCGATTTGTTGGGAGCGCATATGGCGTGCTTGATGACCAGGGTAAAGAGACTTTGGAGGTCATGGCACAGACCGAGGGCATGATCTTGGATCCAGTGTATACATCCAAGGTCGCTCGGGGTATGATGCATTGGGTAAAGGAAAGAGATGTTGCTGAGCCAGGCTCGGATGATATCAATGTGCTTTTCATCCATACAGGTGGGCAGGCTGCCCTCGGGGCTTATGTAGATAACGCTTGAGAAATTACAATTAGAGGGGTGATTCAATAAGAATGGCTGGATTCAACTAGTATTACAGGATTCAACAGCAAAGGAAAGCAGTCGTCAGTGACATAGCCTGGTGGTATGAAGAACAGAATAACAGAACACGAAACGCTGGAAAACTCCCCCGACTCGCCAGTTCCATCTCTTGTAGTACACCTTTTTGTTAGAAAATCGACCCGAGAAAAACAGACAGCGTACGTGAGAATAGAAACAACAAAAAGAAAAAAAGAGAGAAAAAAAAAAACATTCAAAGGGTCAAGGGTTTCAATTCAAGTGACCGGGGTTTCACGAAAGACAGAAGATTGATCGGATAAAGCAAAGGGGCATCATCAAAGTTCATCGTCATCAAGCTCTACGTCGGCGCTCTCGAGCTTAGGAGCATCTTGAGGTTCACTCATCTCAGTTGGTTCCTGTGGGATGGACCCAGCACGGCTGCTGCCGTTGCTCACAACGAGAGCCTCCAGGGCCTCGTTGGCATGAGTGTTCTCCATGGGCTGTGGCTCCGCGTCAGGGTCAATTTCTTGATTCGTCAGGTCCGCAAACACGTCATCCAGATTCTGGCGAGGGCTGCTGCTCGCAAATTGAGGATCGTGTCCAAATCGTGGAGGGCTGAACAAAGATGTCTCGATGTCTTGCTGTGGAGGAGGAGAGCGAGGCAGGAATGAGGGAGACTGGGAAGCGACGGCATGGGGGAGGAAAGCTGAGGATGAAAGAGGAGCAAACGCGGGTGTGGAATCGCTAGCAGGCAATGAATAATTGGCAGAAAATGGGTATGGCGCGATATTTGGATCTGACATCTGAGCCAGCGTTGGGCCCGTACTGGGAGGTGGGCCACTGCTAGAGGTTGTTGGCGCCGGCTGCAGAGAAGGAGGCGGGTTTTGAGGGGGCTGCTGGGAGACATCGACCGATTTGCGTTTCGTGACGCCAAGATGTTTGGGACGAAGATGTTCAGGGAGATCTTCGGGACGGTTCACTCCAAGCTGAGCCATCATTTTCTGTTGCTTGGTAGGGCGGGGCTTCCGAGTGGACAAGGACTGGTCCAAGATTGGGGGAGGCTCCGGGGCGACAGGTGCCCACTTGTGGATCTCCTGTCGGAAAAAGTTGGTCTCAGAGGTCAGAAGAACCTCGGCTCCCTCTATTTTGCGAAGGTAGAAGATCAAAGTGGGCACTTCCTCGGTTGTTGTACAAGCAGCATTGGTGAAGCCATGTAAGAAATCACGGAAAGCTGTTGCTTGGTTGATTATGCTCTCAAGGACTTCTTCCTCCTCTGGTTGGAATGGAAGGGTTGCGATTTCCGCATGCCAGTCCTGGAGATCCTCAAGTTTTGGTCGAGCAGCATCACGAGGAATCTTCTGTCGCCAGTCACAGATTGGACAGGTGTACTTGTCAAACTCTTTGACTTTGCCCCTGGCGATTTTCAAGCATTTGCCATGATACCTGCATGTGCACTGTTAATTTGATTCATCAGAGGGCCAGGCATTTGTTTCACTCACCATTCATGGCAGACCTCGCACTCAATCATCATCCCCGCCTCCGAGTGGCGGCAGATACAAAACACATCTCTCTTGCGTGACTTTGGACCCCAAGGATTAGGATTGCTCGAATTCTCAAGTAGACCATCTGGTGAGTTGTCTCGGGAAGAGGGCTCCACGGGCGGTCTGTAGCTGTCTTCGAGGTCGAAGCAGTACGAGTTTCGCTTTTCGACGTACTCCATGTGGGATCTGAGGATGTGAAGTGGAGCATTGGCCTTGCCGAAAAGCTTTTTGCCCTTCCTCATCCAATCTTCGTGGCGTTTTTGTTCTCGCTCCAAATCGATTGCTCCAATGGGTCGGGAAGTCAAGTGTTCGAGGGTTTCCATTAGGTCGCGAATATCCTTATACTTGGGGCGGTTCTTCATCTCAGGGTCCTTGCTCTTTTCGTACAGAGTCTGAATTCGCCTCTGCGCCTCACGTTGCTTGGTCAATATAGCCTCCACGGCCGCTAGTGTATCAGGTGACACGGGGAAACGAGCTGCCTGTGCAGAGAGGGCTTCTAGCTGTTGGTAATGCACAGCTTCAACTGACATCAATTCCTTGGCTTTCAATTCCCACGCATCGCCATGGCGAGCAAGTTCCTTGAAATGCACCAAGTGTTCGTCATTATCGGGAAGGCCTAGCTGCTCGGCACCGGCAACAAATTCATGACAATCCTTTAGGTTCATAAACTGATCCCGTTTCCGTGCAGCTTCGTCGGTCCATTTGATTTGGCGAGAGACCAGCTCCAGGCGTTCAAGTTCCGGAATTTCCACGTTGAAGTTTTTGCCAGCTTCGATTAGCTCTTCGACCTCCTGGATCGGTCGGGATTGTGGATTCATCAGGGCACCATTAATATCCTGGCGGAATTTCTCGATTTCGCGGGTTTTCTCTTCCAACGCCGCCATCTGTGGACAGTCGAACGAAAGTTTATCAGCCTCTGCCAGTAGGGCGTAGATATGTTCAACTCTGCGGACTTCACGATCGCGATCGTCCAGCTGCGCTGTCTTTGTACTAGCCCTGCGCCAAGCCTTCTCGTTTTTTCTCCGGTTTTGCTGCTTCCGGGTTATGTAGTTATTGGCTTCCTCAACCCATTTATCGCAACGCTGGACGAATGCCGCAAGATCTTGGAGGCCAGACAAGTGGTATGGGATTTTCTCACCTTCATTGAGCAAGTTATGAAGGGCCTTCAGCTGGGGCTTTGGTTCATCCTCCAGAGTTTTGTCGAGCTTTTCGGACCATGCTTCTGGAATCCTGGCCCGTTCCTGGATTTTCTGCACAAGCGCCTTGAGTGCATCGTCACTCATCCGGTAGCGCAGGCCATGATCACGATCAGAAAATTTCTGAGAAGGAGTCTCACCACAGCAGTCGTGGCTTTCCACATGTAACAGGCAGAAAGTTTTGCCTGTCTTGTAACAAAAGTACTGCGTGAGGTAAGCATAGGCCTTGCAGTGGTGGCACTGGGATTGATCCTCTGGGATATTGCTGTCATCAACAAAAATTTTGGGTTCGAAAGTATCTGACATAGACACAATGCCAGAACCAGGGGTGCGAACAGCTATCTCCTTCTGTCGGTAAAGGAAGGCAGCTCTTTCACCAATCTCTCGGGCACATGTTCTTGCTAGTGCAGGCGCCAACCACTTGGCTGTAGCAATTGAAGTATCCCGAGCAGCAGCTGTGAAAAGAAGTTCATCATGGGAGAAACACGGATGTCTGCGGAAGTTTTGAAGACGATCAACACCCGCAGCACCGTAAGGCTCCCAGTCCGTCGGGGCAAAGTTCACTGCTTCGTTGAAATTGAAGCCATGGTTGAAGCCCGCATGGTACGCCTGGGGAAACGTGAGCACAAACTGACCAGCCCGCTGATCCACTGCGTAGACGTTGACACCAGCCTTGCGAAGCTTGTCGGGCGGCATCAAAGTGACGAGTTGGAACAGCAGGTCAGGTTGTCCCTCAAAGAGCTCAGGAACTGCCTCGCGCATAGCGGTCTCGAATGCCTCTGCATCCGCACCTGGTATACCGTACCAGGTTTTGGTGGCGCCGAAGTGCTGATAGTTTGCTGAGTAGGCGTAATGGTCCTCGTTATGCCAGCAGAAAGTTGAGAAGCACATGCCGACATAGACCCAGGGGACGGTCATTCCAGAGATATCAGACTTGATATAACGGAAGAGAGAATCTCCATAGAATGGAAGTACGTTCAAATTCCAAGGATCAGATGAAAAGGGGTCTAGCGGGTTGCGTTCGACAGTCGGGAAACCACTTCCATGGGTAGTCGAATGGATATCTGCACCGTATTCAACCTCGACGGTTTCATGTAGATCGACGACAAGTTTCCAAAATTCGGCTTCGACATCATCTTCCGTCTCACGTCGATGCGTGTTGAGTACGGGATCAAACGGCATTTTGGAGGCGAAATACTTCTTCTTGAAATCATTGGCTCTTTCCTGAAATTGCTTGAGCGAGTAAACACCTCCGTCCTCGAAGCCGAATTCCCCGGTGCCAACCAAGCATTTTGGGCAATGCCAGTCATGTTCCGATGGCGTTGTAGTTGACGGGTCCAAGCATTCTGTGTGGTATCCAAGCTCACAGCCATCACAAACAAGAATAGATTCCTGATTGTCTGACTTGCCACAAGTTTCGCATTTCTCTCCCACTGGTTGAGATCCATCCTTGCGGGGCCTAGGTAGAGGCGGGCGAAGAAGGGACATGTGAGATCCTGCAACGGTAGGGAGCGAATCCCTTTTCAAACGCTTGCTACGACGCTCATTGTCACCATCTTCATCGCCGTTCTCTGTTTGGGAACCTTCATCGTGGCTGATGGAGCGCTTCAGAGGCTCGTCGGGTTGGCCATTCATGGGCACAGAAACATCACGTTCAACTTGCGGTGTGGACGTGCCATTCTCACCCTCCCGCTTGATCGGTGGGCCATTGCTGGTCGGGGTGAATGGTGAGCGGTTGACTGCAGTGAAACCACCGAGCCCGGTGTTGACAGGGGTAAAGCCCGTGGCAGCTGGACGAGGAGTGGATTCGACGGGAGGTGTAGGCTTTTCAGGGGACTTTTCCATCGGAGAATGTGCCACTGGTGTATGACCCATTGGGGTATTTCCCAATGGGGTGTGTGCCATCGGGGTATGTGAAGGAATCGCCCGAGGTATGTTGGGGGTCTCATCGCGGACTTTAGATGGTGTACCGTTGTCTTCCGTCGTGGGTCTTTGGGCCATGGCCATTGGAGATGGAAGAGGTGACGGAGTGTATGGTCCGCCATGTTCCAGTTCCAACTGTTGTTGGACCCCAGGTTTAGCGCGGGCCAAGTATTCTTCGTAAGGCTGAAGATAACGCTGATAGGAATTCTTGAGAGAGGTCGACAATGAAGACATAATCTTGCCGCTGTATCCGAGATCACGGCCTATTTCCGCCCATTTCTTCAACTTGCACACCGACTCAAAGCCCCCGCGGCTTTCGACGGCCTTCTTGAGCTTGTAAAGATCTAACGGTCGCTTATCGACACTTGGGAGTCGGCTGTAATTCGTTCCGTGCTGTTTGTGGAACATGGCGAGTCCATCGACGTAATTCATGTTCGCGCGATTTCCTGTGCCCTTGGAGTCAGAACCGCACTGCAATAAACACCACCTGGCGTGATGAAATGATCTGCTGAACGCGACTTCTTACCTCCTTCGACCGAATTGAGCTCTTGTCGACGGGTCTTGAAGTGAAATCGCTGTATTCGACTGTCAGCCATGGCCACGCGCGGGAGCCGAATACAAATGTATTCTTGCAAACTTGGTTCCTACCTCGGTATCGATAGCGAAAGTCGGTTGCCAGCCCTCTGGGGGGATCACCCGGCAGATTCCGTACTTCCTGCCTTCCGGTGCAATCTTCTGTATGTAGGCCACGGGGTCTTTAAATTCTTCCTCTGTCGGCCGGAAGGTCGGAGCTTCGGGAATTCCATGGGGACGAATGCGCTTGGATGGTTCCTTGGGGTTGTTCGGTTGTCCTCGTCGCTCCACAGTCGACAGATCGAGAGGCGCGGACCTCCGAGCGCTCAAAGGAACATTGTGGGAGTGAGAAGGGTGGGTGCTCGAGGATCGAGTCGGCTGCCCTGCCGCAGCCGTCGAGGTCGCCCCGGCAGAGGCCGGAGCTCCCATTGTTGGGAAGGAGAGAGGCTATTGGGGGGAAATATCGAGGTTTTGCGCGTCTGAACTAGGAACTTTGATCGTCAATGGCTGTTATGCGACAAACGCAGGGCGTGGGAGGTAGATATCAAGCAAGGCGGCTGCCGGCGTGCTGCGAAGTAAAAGAGGGTCGGTGACAAACCAAATAATATAAATGGGCGGCAATCTCGAAAAAGAAGGAACAAGAGAAAAAGATCGAAAGTCGCGATGAAAACAGAGGGAGAGATGCCCAAGTCGCAGGAAAGAAGGGTAGAGACGAACTTAGAGTGGAAACGAGATTATGTGCAGTACAGATCTACCGGGGTGGTACTCCAGAAGTACTGCCAGGTTCCTTTTGTGTGGGCTGCCAGTACTAAAAGAACCAATAGGTGACAAGGGGGAGACTATGTGTACTAGTGGTGGTACCGATCAGTACGGTATTTGAGATACAGTAATAATGAGCTAATCGGAGCTCAGGTACGGTGTAGAACCCGAGTTTCACCCGAAACTTTGGTAATCATACCGCAATCCTCTGCAAACGGACATCATACGGTCGATGGAGGGTATTACGATACAATAATCACGGTTGTGCCACACCCTTGACTTTCAGCTCATCTGGGGCTGATCTATAGACTTTGGTTGTAATTGTTCAACTAATTTTTCATGGGGTTTGTGGGATATATATATATATATACTGGCCCGAGAACTATTCCGTCCTCGGAAAGATGTGATTGCGGAGTACTAAGTGCTCGCTTCATATTGAACATTACTTAAGTACTTGTTTCCTGGTAATTATTGGATTACTGTTGACCTCGAGAATATTGAATTCCGACTCCCTGTTCTTTGGCCGTTCCTTCCAAGCACTTCGAGGGATCCGAGGTCGGATACAGTCGCGTCCCAAACACCGCATCATGTGATCCGATGTTTATCGCCGTTGAGACCCGCAGTGACTCGATAGGCGGAGCTAATTTCAAGGGCCAAGTCAATGAGTATCAGCCCTGAAGGGCAGTGGACATATCCTGAAGTCTTGAAAATTTGCAATCATGGATGGACCAGAACCCAAGCCAATACCGGCTTATTACTGCTGTTATCTCCTCCGGTCGACAGTCCGTCACGCCTCACTGTACATCGGCTCGACGCCTAACCCGATCAGACGACTCTCTCAGCACAACGGCGTCGCCAAAGGTGGGGCCAAGCGCACCGCCAGAGATAAATTACGCCCCTGGGAAATGTCCCTGGTGGTCGAGGGTTTTATGAGCAGAGTGAGCGCCCTTCAATTTGAGTAAGTTGGGTTTATCTTCATTTTCCATGCATTTCATATTCACACCTTCAGATGGGCCTGGCAGCACCCGGAAAAATCACGGCACCTCGAACCCGAAGACGAGTCCAAAGCCAAGGTCAATTTCGACCCGAAGACAGGGAAGCCCAAAGCCAAGCCACGCTCGCGAGCTAGAAGATCCCTGACGGCCCATTTGGAAGATTTGCATTCTCTGCTTCGGTCGACCTGCTTCTCTTCGGGGCCATTGCGGGTCCGGTTCTTCCGCGCCGATGTATATCGCGTATGGCGCGCTTGGAACGACCGTGTAGATTCCCGGTTGCCCCCCAATATCAAGATTATCCTAGATGGTGATAACCTGGCAACGGTGCCCAACGCCAAGCAAACCAGTGAGATTGAGCCTGCCGGATGCATAAACAACCTATCAGTCGATTACACCAGGTTGGAAGATTATCTCGAAAAGTCGATGTTTATGCTCGAGGACCCTGATGATCTACAGTGCACAGTCTGTAAGAAGCCGGTCATCCCAACTGCAGACCAGATAGTAGTATGCCCACATTCAAACTGTCGAGGTACGAGTCATCTATTATGCCTATCTAGCAAGTTACTAGATGCTACTGGCCAGCCAGACCTCTTGGTACCAACTCAGGGGACTTGCCCACTATGCAAGAACGATGTGCAGTGGCCGACGATAATGCGTGAATTGACCTTCCGCAATCGAGCAGAAAAGGAAGCATGTGCAATTCTGCGCAAGAAAGATAAACGTCTACGCAAGGAGTCCGCAGCCGAAATAAAACCGGCAGCTCAGGGGACTCGGGGAACTTCAATCGAGCCAAGGACACAGCTGGAAGAACCAGCCCAAGATGAGCTTAGCTCAAATTGGTTCGAGCAGCTTGACTTGGAGTCTGACTCTGACTTCGAGGGGCGACAGAAGCATCACTCAAATGATCCTCCATCGAAGCTCGAAGTCGTGATCGAAGACAGTGATTGGGATGATGCGGAGCTTGTGGAATGAAGCAGGATCAAATCGTTTCTAAGCAAGAGGTTCTAACTTCCTCAGAGGCGCGGTCGCGTCCATATGTTCAATGCAATCAGAAACAGTAGCCTGGATCTGCAATGCGACTTCAGTGATGGACCTTCCAGCATCGATGATCGAAACGTCCTCCTGCCTCTCAAACACCGTGCTGAAGAGCTGTCGCACTCGCGTTTGCATAGGCTCATTTTCATATCTCTCGACACCAAAGCCGCCTCGCTTCGCCGCCTCCTCGGGGGAGATACCGAGGAAAAGGCAAATGTCTGGGCGAGGGAGACCGATTTCTGGCTGCCAAGCCCATTCCAATGAGAGGGTGGGGTTCGCTTTTGCTGCAGAGTAGACGACGCCGGAATATGAGTAGCGGTCTACAATGACCGTGGTCCCGCTTGCAATCTCATCTTCGATGCTCTTTGCAACTTCCCAGCGGTTTGCGGAAAATAGGAGGTGGATAGAGTGATCGTCTTGGTGGGATGAGCCGCGTAAATAGCTATCAATCAATTTCCCGATGGGCGTAGTCCTGTCTTCGAGCCGTTAGACCAATAAACATGACGATAAAATCGGGTCCAGATACCTGGGAATCGAATATATTTGACAGGGCTTCCTTGTTGTGAAAGAGAGTCTCGTAGCATCTCACACTGGCTTGATTTACCGGCGCGGTCGAGACCCTCGACGACAATAAGAGCTCCACGTCGCGTCGACTGTGCTTGACTGGCCATTGCGAAGCTGCGATTGAACGTACAGATGGGGTAAATCGAGCTAGTGTACGGAGTAGGTCTTGTAAATTAGGAATATCTCTCAGTGATGCGGTGTAGTCCGAAGCGACGGGGGTGTTTATCGGGCAAAATGCGCTTTTCTGCCGATAAGGTCGAGATCTGCAACATCGCCTCAGTCACCACCAGCGCCATGGAAGCGACACCCCCAGCGATGAGCTTCAGCCTCCTGGGATCCGCCGCTCCAGTTCTTGCGCCGAGAGTAGGAAGACTATCTCTCCCAGGCCGCAAAACAATATCCACGCCGCATCACGTCCCACTCACGTCGCGGGGCACTGTGCCCCATATCGCACATGATGTGATACGTGACCACACCGCGATTAACAGTCTATACGTTGGGTTGGAAGACTGTAAGTGAATCCCAAATGTATCTCATATACCCTCAACCCAACACCGCTGACAGGGCATGCCTCTAGTCATCGAGAAGAAGAGTCCCGCTGTATATAAGACACCTGCCGCGGCACACGAGTCGCCATTGAAGAAATTCACCTGCGTGGCCGAGGATATGCCTTTGATCCTTGGACCACGGAGATTCCCCGCGATCCCATGCCCGCCTGCAAATACAACGAGCTCAATTGCACTACTGACATCCGTCGGATTCAGGCAACTCCCCTCGTCTGAATATCTAGAAGCAGTGCGAAATCTGAGGCCGGATATTATAGTTGGAATGGCCGATCTGGCCAACAAGGAGCCCGGAAACAAAAGGCGGGCGAAAATGGTCGACCGAACGCATGCTTGGACCACTGAAGCATTGGAGAAGCTCTACGGGGATTCTGTGCCAGAGGAAGCGAAGCCAAAGGCAGCATTCTTTGCACCAATTTTGCCACTCGATAATGCACAGCAATCACTCTATCTGGAGGACCTTGAGAGTGATTTCCAATGGGATATCTCCGGCCTGGCGTTGTATCACTCTGCTTCATTAGAATTCGTCCCAGAGTCACTATCAAATCTCCCCCGGCTACTTTTCAGCGAGCCTGAGACCCCGCATAATGTTTTGCGGGAAATCTCGCTTGGCGCAGACCTGCTGACCACACCTTTTGTCGGCGAATCTTCTGACGCCGGTATTGTGCTGGAATTTGCTTTCCCAGCTCCAGCCCCGAAAGAGGGTGATGTCGGGCTTCGACCTCTTGGTGTTGATATGTGGTCCTCTGAGCATGCTACTGACACATCGCCACCAACAGAGGGATGCCAGTGTTATTCCTGCAAGAATTACCACCGCGCTTATATACACCATCTACTGATGGCTAAAGAGATGACTGCGTGGGCACTTATTCAAATGCACAATTTCCACGTTATGGATCTTTTCTTTGCTGGCGTCCGAGAAAGCATACAGCGTGGGACCTATGAGGATGATGTGTATGTCTTTAACCGCACGTATTCCTCTTTAATGCCAGAAAGCACTGGACAAGGTCCCAGGTATGTTATTACTCACTGAATCTCCTCGGAATGCCAACTGCACCGGGAGAGGGTTGGAAGTATGCACGTTGCTAATTTTTGTGACAGATTGCGTGGATATCAACTCCCGGCCAACGGATCTAACCAACCCCCCCGCATGCCCAAGGCGTATGGCCAGCTCAACCAGGCCAAGCAGAAGTTTACTGAGTCCCAAATTGCGACGCCAGATACCGATGCGAGTGGGCTTGAAGAGCATGGCTTTGCCAAGAAGGTATAAGACTAAAACGGGGCCCGATAGAGATTAGATCTCAGCAGCACTTGCATGAGCGATGGTATTTGGGTTCAGAAGCATTCTTTTAACGATATATTATTCAAAAAGCATTATTTTAAGAATACTAAAGTGCCCGCATAATCGTAATATTCATTTCAATGGGACGATATCAAGAATAATATACAAAATTCCACATTTTGTGCCATTCATCTCATATGTCCAGTCAAGGTCAATGTTCATTAGACCGTGTAAGGTACTGGGAGGACAGTCAGACCACACCCTCATACCTCTTCGCCAGCCAAAACACGCCACATCCACTTGACTTCATCTTCCTCCTCCTTGGAGCCCTGCTTGGTACCAGCGCCGAATTGTTGACCAACAACGCACACCAACCAGGCATCATTCTTGGTGGTGTCGAGGTAGGTCTCAGTTGGTGAGCCACGGGGGTAGATGCGGCGCCACTCGTCCCAGATTCGGAAAGCCTCTTCACCCCAGGCACGGAAGCTGACCTCTTCAATGATGGTCGGGGTGACAATTTCCTTGCCACGGAAGACACCCCAGGTGACGGCGTTAACGCTCTCGGGATTGTCACCGAGATCGTCAAGCTCGACACCTGCCGGTTGAGTAGGGAGAGATGATTCAAATTCACCCTTGATATTCGTAGCGAACCAAGTCATCTTGTCGTGGCCATGCTTCTTGAACATCGGCTTGAGGATGTTGGTATAGTCGTTGTTAGAGCAGAAGAACTCAACGAAGGGCTTCTGGAACACAAAACCTTCGCGCTGGGGACCCCAGCCGAAGATGTGATGGTCACTGTGTACACCATTCACGGCGGGCTGCGAGGCAAGCGTCCACCAGCCACGTCCATCGATGAGTTTGAGCAGTTCCGGTCGAATGAGTTCAGTCTCTGCGTTCAGACCACTACCATCCTCCTCGGCTCCACCCTCTGACCAAGGAACCATGTGTAGCTCTCCAGAAACATGGCGGCGGAAAATTGTGCTCATGTCGGATGAGTCAACAGGGTGACCCCACAAGCGGCGTGCGGCATTGGAAGTGACGTGAAGCGAGGGACCGTATCCATCGATTTCACCGAAAGCAGGTGATCGAGCATCACCCCATCTTCCGTTCGGGAAGTCATCCCATGTAGCTTCTCTGCCGAGCGAACCCTGACCCTCCGAGATGAGAAGGGTAGTGCTACGGTTAGGTGGCATTGCCGGCATACCGGCACGGTCTGAGCGTGCTTCATGCACGGAGTTCTCTGATGACTCTTTTCCAGACAATCTGTCAACAATCACACGGTTATGGGGTTGCGAGTTGATGGAAGAAGCACGGCGCCTTCCAAGGGTACGTCCAGGGAAATCGAGAGGAATATGTGCGCCATCTTCGATGGCAGAATCATCAGCATGGTCTGGAATCAGCTTGCACTGCTCCAGGATGAAGGAAACAGTCTTCTCGAGGTTGAGGGTGTAGAAATGGAATCCGCGAGGTCCAGGGCAACGGATATTCTTGATACCGTCCACGATCTCACTGACAATATCGACACCGGCACGCTTGACAGCATCGTCGTCATGTTTCAGCTCTTCCATGCGGTTAGCAATGGGTGGGGGAATAGTGACATGGCTAAGCTTCGTCACCCGTGTGAGAATCTTGTAACTGTGGATGGGCATCAAGCCCGGAATGATGGGAATGGTCTTGAAAGCACCAGATTCATGATTGCGAAGCATATCCTCAAACTTCTGGTAGGCATCGATGTCATAGGTCAACTGGGTCATGATGAAATCCGCTCCGGCCTGGGTCTTCTCAACCAGGTAGGGAAGATCTCTGGCCGGGTCCTGTGTATCTTGGAACGAGTCCGCAGGGTGGCCCTCCGGGTACGCCGCAACACCGACACAGAAGTAGTCACCGTGGGTAGCACGAATGTAGCGCACCAGATCGACGGCAAAGGTGAAATCTTTGTTGCTGTCGTCTTCTCCGTGCATGTTGTATTCTTCGCTGCGGGGAGGGTCACCACGGAGCGCGAGGATGTTGCGAATTCCTAGCACCTTGGCCTCATCCAGTGCCATATCCACAAGCTTGCGGCTCATGTTCGTACATGTCAGGTGGAGAACGGTGGTCAACTGCAGTTGGCGCTGGCATACTTCAGCCAGCTCGAGGGATCGCGCAGCGGTGCTACCACCAGCACCCCAAGTGACTGTCACAAATAGCGGACGGAGAGCCTGAGCCATGCGCTCCAGTCTTGCAGACAGGTTGGCGAAGCCCTATAGAACCTGTTAGCAAATATCGATGCGTTCAGCGGGGTTACCCCACCATCCGAGTCTTTGGAGGGAAGAACTCCAAAGAGAAGTAATTGGCATCAGGCGGCAAAGCCGCGATCTTCTCTGTGATCTTCTTCTCCATTGTATCTGAGAAGAGGTCTACAGGAGGGGTTGGATGAAGAAGAAGAGAGGAGGATTCGGGCAAAAGTGGACCATGTCACCATCTCCGATCGCATCGGGAACTATGATGTCTTCAGCTGCCGAGTAACCATCTCGGAAATAACGTCTACAGATCTACTACATACATGCACTTACGGCTAAATTATCCTTCACGCAAGGGACAGCTTTACTCAAATTGGTGAAAAGCCCTGATTAAAAAAGGTTTGACCGAGCAGAAGATGAGTCAGCAGATAATCGCCCGGGCGATCGACGAGCTTAACATTCAAAGTTGACTTCGACTCGGGTTCAGCCGGTGGTCATTTGCCTGAACATACTCCAGTTTACTTTTCGTCGCCTCCAGGCTGGGTCAATTCCGCGGCATGTCATCCCGCGGGCCCAATGTTCTCCGCTACCTCCGCCGGGTTCGAGGTAAACCACATACGACCCGCGCCTTTTCCACTCCTCCATCCCCTACAAGTCCACCAAAGACTCCGTCGCAATCGAACCCCAATGGCTCCCATTCTCGCCTCCGCCGCTTCAACGACCGCCTCCCTCGCTTCCTCCGCGCATATACCACACCTTTATTCGGGGCACCGGTCACTCATATCACATCATTCCTGATACTTCATGAGATTACTGCTATACTTCCACTATTCGGACTCGTTAGTGCCTTTCACTATGGTGCTTGGATGCCGGACCTCACTTCAAAAACAGGCGAGTCTAATGCTTTCGACGAGGGAGCTGCACGGTTTGGCCGATGGTTGAAAAAGAAAGGATGGGTCGACGAGGCTGATGTAGATACTGTGACGGAACATGGGACCACCGGGGAGACAAGGATAGAGCGAGCAGGTGTACGACTAGTACTGGAGTTTGCAACAGCCTACGCCATTACGAAAGCTTTAATGCCCGCTCGGTTGGCGGCCAGCGTTTGGGCCACGCCGTGGTTTGCCAGAGCGGTCTTTACCCCAACAGCGAACCTTGCTCGGAGGCTGTTCAGACGAGGTTGAGATAACCTAAGATACCAAGATACCAGACCTTTCTCATGTCATACAAAAGGAGTAAATGGTTATATTGTTCAAGTCATCAAGACAGTTCCTCAAATTTGTTGCTTTATTCTATGCTGCAAATAGTCGAGGGGTGTCCTTCAAACTGTTCCACGTGGGAACGAGTAATTTACTCGTAAACCCAAGCGGACTGGGTGGACTTCCACTTGAGGACCTCGGAGGGGGTGAACCAGAGGGCGATCTCCTTCTTGGCGTTCTCGACGGAGTCGGAACCGTGGCAGACGTTGCGGCCGACATCCTGGTAAAGAAATGAGTATGGATCGTCACACTGGAATGTGGAGTTAAACTTACGATGGCGAAGTCACCACGGATGGTACCGGGGGCGGAAGCCAGGGGGTTGGTGGCACCGAGGAGGACACGGCCGGTCTTGACGGCGTCCTTACCCTCCCAGACCATAGCGCAGATGGGACCGCTCAGCATGTCTAAAGCTGCATTAGTGGAATGCCAGATGTGCAAGGGGGCGGGGCAACCGACAGGAGACAAGACCCTTGAAGAAGGGCTTGGTGGAGAGGTCAGCGTAGTGAGTCTCGAGGTGCTGCTGGCTGGGGGAGGTGAGCTTCATGGCGACGAGCTTGAAGCCACGGTTCTCGAAGCGAGAGATGATGGGGCCGATCAGGCCACGCTAATTGATTGTGAGTACAGCTCGTTCAATTGAGTCGTCGAGCTCGGATGCGAGGGGTCCATACCTGGACACCATCGGGCTTGATGGCGATGAAACTAAAGCGATTGGTGAGCTTCGGACCAAATGGTGAATTGAAGTAAAGAAGATAACATACGTTTGTTCCTCGTTGGCAGACATTTTGATGATTCCTTATTGAGTGGTATGAAGCAGAAAAAGAGGGCGGGAGGAGTGGAAGATTAAATAGAGCCTTTTTTTTCCCACTGCCACCGTCGCCCGTTGATTGGTGGCCACAAGGAGGGGTTTTCAATGTGCCTTAATTACCAGGCCAACATATATATTTCTCCGGTTGTAGCGAACTACTCTTAACTTCCAACCTCAACCCTGCATGGCTTTTACCTACCTAGGTACGCAGATGATCATTGACTTCAGGAATTCACAGAGAGAAAAATGGATCTTCTCGTGGACTATAAATCGAACAGTTCAATCAGGAGTCTGGAAACCTTCGGCTGGTCTGAGCGGGTGGCATGTCTCAGAGCGCTAAATCTCAACAGCAACATCTGGCATCAACTTCCAAAGGCAAGAACAGGTCGACGATCGCTTGGGAACCTTTACTGATAGCCGGATATATATATATATTTTTCTCATTGCCTTTAAGGATTTTCAAATTGAATCTGGGAGTAGCGAAAAGTAAGGTTCTAAGTTGTAATCTCCATTCGTCATCGATCAACATCTATATAGATAACCGTGCGGAGTGGATTGAAGTCTCGATTTTCAAAGTCATATACCTACCTAGGTACCTAGTTAGCTGCTTAAGTAGCCACAGCATTAATATTCTCGCCGTCCTCTTGCAGTACCTAAATTTGCTATGTACCCTCCTAGTAAAATTATGTACCTCTCCAGTAGTGTTGAACTACAATCCAGTTGGAATACTAATGCCCTCCCAAATGCATATTCCATCGCATATTCCTTGCCCAATACCCTGATTATGAAATCACTTCACCTTACAGACCCCATGGAATTGTCTGACGATGATCGAGTGCCAACACCAACCTTGATGGAGAAGCTGGCAGAATTGCTGACAGGAACATTGTAATCAGGCCAAAATCAGACATCAGGGTGTCAGATTATACAAGGGGGTGGTCGATATAACTATAAAAAAGCTCCCTTGGAAGTCTCCAAGCTATATAGACCAAAAAGACGATGCGAGTCTATAATTTAATGGCACTCAGAGGTGTCATACATTTATACTTCCAAGGTTCAATCTTGCGGTAGCACAGCCCTGGAACCTTGAAAAGTCCCTATGTACAAAACGGGTGATTAATAGGACAATTCCTTCGACAACGCGGATGAAAAGTCCACAATATGATGGTTATTTCCACAACTTTTGTGCAGGTCTGTTTCTTTTACCTTCATAAAGCTCCAAACTTGTTTGTCATCAATATATCTGCCCGGCTAGCTCAATGGTCAGAGCGTGTGACTTTTATCTGTTGGAAATCACAAGGCTCGGGGTTCGACCCCCCGGTCGGGCGATTATTTTTGCTTCTCATATTTTCTAGTTTGCTATGTTATATGACCTTGATGAGCGTGAAGTGATATTAGTCAGCCCGGCTAGCTCAATGGTCAGAGCGTGTGACTTTTACGTGACTCAATTCAGGTAATCACAAGGTTCGGGGTTCGACCCCCCGGTTGGGCGATTTCATTTTGCTCGCAGCCCATTGGAATCATTTTTTGTCTGCCATCCACATGCATTTGGTTCCTATACGAATTGCAGCGTCGTGAACCCGTCGTGGGAACTACCGGACCAAGGTATATGGAGCTTTTTAGATTTTAACTATGGAGTAGGGAATATGATCATAATCTATGTGGTATGGATAATGCATTCAATGACGTACTCCAATGTCAAAGATGACCACACTGTTCTCTTCAACTCCATTTACACAACCTTGGAAGGTACATAGGTGAGAATATCAGAGCCGAACGCCTATTCGCAGAAACATTTATGTCCGGAACAATGTGATTTGGTGCCTGAGTAGCTAACAAATGCAGCCTCAGGCATCAACGATACCCCAGCTCGAGGCCAGCTTGCGGGTAGCTTCCGGTTGTTGACAGTGATCTCCACCTCTAAATGCAGGTCTCCCATTGACAATCCACATTATTCTGTCGGAGGTCAAGGCTGTCTGATTGACTAAACGATTTAAACCATGGCTAGGAGCCCGCCAGCCCGATGGGCTCTTTTGCTCTCTCTGGCCATTCTTATCGGGTGCTTGGTTGTCCCCGGTTGTGAGTTTCGCCTTTGCCCGACGAGTCAGTCTGCTCTACCGGATATCTAACCCTGTTGCCACCCACAGTTGCCGTGAAGCGCAAAGACTTCAAAACCTGCGAGCAGTCCGGATTCTGCAAACGAAACCGAGCCTATGCCGACAACGCCTCGGCTCTGGGAACATCATGGAGCTCCCCCTACGAGCTTGACCCCGCCACCGTGCATTTCAAGGATGGTCTTCTGACAGGCATCATTATCAAAACTACAACCACCGATGAGAAGGTCCGGTTACCCCTCACGGTGTCCTTCCTGGAATCGGGAGCTGCCCGCATTTTGGTGGATGAAGAGAAACGACTACAGGGTGACATTGAGATGCGCCACGGTAGCCAAGCGAACAAGAAGCGATATGATGAGGCCGAGCAATGGGCCATCGTGGGTGGCTTGGATGTCAGCAAGTCGGCTACCTTGAACGCCCAGAGCGAAACTGGCTTTACCAACGTTCTGTATGGACCGGGCGACAAATTCCAAGCCATTGTCCGTCATGTGCCATTCGGAATCGACTTCCAAAGAGATGGAGAGACACATGTTCAATTGAACCACCAGGGTCTGTTGAACTTGGAGCACTGGCGACCCAAGGTGGAAGTCCCAGAAGGCGAAACTGCTGAGGACGAAAGCACCTGGTGGGAGGAGACATTCGGAGGAAACACAGACTCGAAGCCACGTGGCCCCGAAAGTATTGCTCTCGATGTCACCTTCCCCGGATATAGCCACGTCTTCGGTATTCCAGAGCACGCAGATTCGCTGTCGCTCAAAGAGACCCGAGGAGGAGCTGGTAACCATGAGGACCCTTACCGTCTTTACAACTCCGATGTCTTCGAGTATGAACTCGAAAGCCCGATGACTCTGTACGGAGCCATTCCTCTTATGCAAGCCCACCGCAAGAACTCAACTGTTGGTGTCTTCTGGCTCAATGCCGCAGAGACTTGGATCGATATCGTCAAGTCCACTGTCTCTGCCAATCCCCTTGCTTTAGGCCACAGCTCGAAGAAGAATACACACACTCATTGGTTCTCGGAATCTGGCCGCATCGACCTGTTTGTGTTCCTTGGTCCTTCGCCAAATGACATCAGCAAAACCTACGGTGAGCTCACTGGATACACGCAGCTACCTCAGCAGTTTGCTATTGGGTATCACCAGTGCCGCTGGAACTATGTCACGGACGAAGATGTGAAGGAAGTCAATGCAAAGTTTGACAAGTACCAGATCCCGTACGATGTGATCTGGCTCGATCTTGAATACACAGATGATCGTAAATATTTCACTTGGGATTCTCTCACCTTCCCCGACCCCAAGGGTATGCAGCAAAAGCTTGATGAAAGTGAGCGCAAGCTTGTGGTATTGATTGATCCTCACATCAAGAACACGGACAAGTACTTTGTTTCCGAGGAGCTCAGGAGCAAGAACCTTGCAGTGCTGAACAAGGATGGTGAGATTTACGACGGCTGGTGCTGGCCAGGTTCCTCGAACTGGGTCGATTGCTTTAGTCCCGCGGCACGCGCTTGGTGGGCTACCCTCCACAAGTTCGACAAGTTCAAGGGATCTCTTCAAAATCTTTTCATTTGGAATGATATGAATGAGCCCTCGGTCTTCAATGGGCCTGATATGACGATGCCCAAGGACAACCTCCACTACGGTAACTGGGAACACCGCGACATTCATAATGTCAACGGACTGACCCTTTTGAACGCCACCTACGAGGCAATGCTGGAGCGCAAGAAGGGTGAGGTTCGCCGGCCATTTATTCTTACGCGCTCCTACTACTCTGGCGCTCAGCGGGTGTCAGCGATGTGGACTGGAGATAATCAAGCTACCTGGGAGCACCTGGGGGCTACTATCCCCATGGTTTTGACCAATGGTATTGCTGGTTTCCCGTTCGCTGGTGCAGACGTTGGTGGTTTCTTCCATAATCCTGACAAAGAGCTTTTGAGCCGTTGGTACCAGACCGGTATCTGGTACCCCTTCTTCCGCGCACACGCTCACATTGATACTCGTCGACGAGAGCCTCATTTGATCAGTGAACCACACCGATCCTACATCGCCCAGTCTATTCGTTTGAGATACCAGCTCATGCCCGCTTGGTACACAGCTTTCCACGAGGCTTCCGTCAATGGAACCCCGATCGTGCGACCACAGTACTACGTCTTCCCGGAGGATGAGCAAGGCTTTGCCATTGACGACCAGCTGTATCTTGCCTCCACTGGTATTCTCGTGAAGCCAGTCGTGAAGGAAAACACAAACAGCGCCGATGTTTACATTTCCGACGACGAGAAGTACTACGACTACTTCGATTTCGCAGTCTATCAGGGTGCAGGTAAAAAGCACACAGTCCCTGCGCCAGAGGAGAAGGTTCCCGTCTTGATCCAGGGTGGTCACATCATTCCCCGCAAGGATCGCCCTCGTCGCAGTACCGGACTCATGCGCTGGGACCCTTACACATTGATCATTACCCTCGACAAAAACGGTGAGGCCGAAGGAACTCTGTATGTCGATGACGGCGAGACCTTTGATTACGAGCGTGGAGCGTACATTCACCGCCGCTTCAACTACCGCGAATCGGCCTTGTCCTCGGAGGACATCGGTACCAAGGGGGCCAAGACAACCGAATATCTCAAGACTATGTCTGGCGTCACCGTCGAGCGGGTCGTGGTCGTTGACCCACCTGCTGAATGGAAAGAGAAGCAGACTGTCACTGTGATTGAAGACGGCGCCAAGTCTGCGTCCACCGCCTCTCTAGAGTTCTACGAGCAGGAGGGCGGAAAGGCCCCCTACGCCGTGGTAAAGAAACCCAATGTCGGCATTGGCAAAACTTGGCGCATTGAGTTTTAGCCAGGCTGTATATTGCCATTTCATGCGTGTATTTAGGAAATACTTGAAACACATGTTACAAAGAATATTAGAATGAAGCTTATATCATTTATCTGAATTGTACAACTACTCTTTGGGCCTCCGATGAAGCCGAATTCCTCTACCTCACCACCTCGGGATGTGCGGCGAAAATTCGGGTCGGAATTTCTTCATGTACGTGGTATCGTCTCTTTTTGTCATCCCACAGTCAAGGTATTGCTGATAGAGTAGCGCCAGTTTTTTTCTATCGAGTTCGATTCCGAGGCCTGGGGCAGTTGGCACCACAACACCACCGTCGGCCCATTTGAGTGCACCATCAACAATCACATCTTCCTCGCGAAGCTTCCAAGGCCAGTGTGTGTCGCAAGCATAATCCAGGTTTGGCGTCGCAGATGCTAAATGAGTCATGGCGGCGAGAGATATACCCAGGTGGCTATTGGAATGCATGGACAACCGCATATTCCAAATTGCACAAATAGCTGCTAATGTTTGGGACTTGCGAAGACCCCCCCAGAAGTGATGATCAGACAGAATCACTTGTACCGCATCTTGCGCAACCGAAGGTGGGAGATGAGAGAATGCAACAACGGCCATGTTCGTTGCCAAAGGCATTGAAGCTGTTTTGGCAACCGCCGCCATGCCCTCAATCTCCGGGGCTGGATCCTCCAGATACTCAACAATACCGTCCAACTCCTGGGCTACCCAATTTGAGGTTTCCACGGTCCATGCTGCATTCGGATCAAGTCGCAAGGGCACACCGGGGAATGCAGCATGCAGCGCCTTGATCGCTTCGACCTCCTGCGCAGGCGGGTAGACACCACCCTTCAGCTTAATGGCCTTAAACCCATATTCATCGATGATCTTCTTTGCTTGTTTCACGATACCCTCTGGGTCCAGAGCTTCCCCATATTCGTCATCTGGCTGACCAGGGTGCCCGGCCCATTTGTAAAAGAGGTATGCAGAATACTGAACGGAGTCTCTCACCCGTCCACCAAGTAAGTCGCTCACTGGAAGTCCGGCAATCTTTCCTTGGATATCCAGGCAAGCAACCTCGAAAGGAGAGAAAACTTTGTCGACAACAGATGCGGTGGTGACCATGCCGGCCATTCCATCGCCACCTGTGGAAGTGTCGCCGATCAAAGAGTCGGTGCAGACTTGATAAATCGCATTTGTATCATACACGGAAAGACCCTTGATGCCCTCAGCTGCTTTCTCCAAGCGGGCTAGGTGAGCCGAGTCACCGTATGACTCGCCCAAGCCATAAGTGGAGTCGGTAATGATTTCGATAATGCTGCGCAAAGCAAATGGCTCATGTACACCAACACTATTCAGCAATGGCATATCATGAAATGCAACTGGTGTGATAACGATGTTCTTTATTATTCGAGACATGGCTGACGAGTAAGCAGGGCTTGAACCGTTAAGCGATACTAAGCGATAGGAAATACCCAATCGATATATAACATGTCACTATCAATCTTGACCCCCACGAGCAATGCTTTTCCCACATTTCCGACACCCCGGAGAACACTCGTCGGAGAAAGGTCCAGGGATCCTCCTGCCAAGGCTGATGGGAGAATCCTAGACCCCGCAAGGACAAATCCTGGGGCTGGTGGTTTATCCGCAGAGGAACAGCTGCTGACTGGGTGCTTATCCGTAACCTCAGACCACTCGCTAAGTATGGACGGACCTTCGGAAAAGAGGATGGTACCGGAATGGAGAGGTTTCCATTGACAGCTGGGTAGCCAAGAGTTCCCCCGCATTCTTAGCTTTACCAGAACCCACCTGTAATCACGGTTGCCAAGGCCGGGGTACTGGGGAAGCGGGAGCTTAGACCATTTCTTTTAAGCATATCCGACATGTGTATATATCCCTCGTTGTCAGCCGGGGTCTTGGGGATTTCGTGTCGAATCCTGTTCACTTTTTGACTGTCAAATCTCGCAGCCATGAATTCTGGGTCTATTGGCAAAGACGACGTCGAGATCGTCGATCAACCTTCTCACATCGAGAGTCTCCCCAAGCCTTCCCACGTTACCGAAATTGGAACGTTTCGTGTTGTTGGTTTGACGCCTGAAGATGCGGACTTCTATCTCAACTACTCGGAGGAGAAGCGGAAGAAGGTCTTTCACAAGGTAAGAGATTTTGACTATGGCTATGCATTATGATGCTAATACATTGAGTATCAGGTGGATATGCGCTTGATCCCAATGCTGGCAGTCTTATACTTGATCAGTCACATTGATCGAGCCAATATTGGAAACGCCAAGATTGAAGGAATGGTCCAAGATCTGAAGATGAGCGGGATTCAGTACAATACTGTGCTCTCTATCTGTGAGTATCGCCCCAATGAAAGGCCTGGTGTTCCATGACCGTGAGAAGCTAGAGACGGACTAGGCTAACTTGACATCTAGTCTTCATTCCATATGTTCTGCTTGAAGTTCCTAGCAACATTCTCTTGAAGAAGTTCAAGCGCCCTTCGGTATATCTAGGTCTCCTCGTTCTGAGTTGGGGTATTGTCATGACCTGCACAGGTCTGGTCCAGAACTTTGCGGGTCTCATGACCACAAGAGTTCTGCTTGGAATCTTCGAGTAAGTAGAACTTACTACAGCTTGTGCATTGTTGTCTAATGAGACCACCTAGGGCTGGCTTTTTCCCTGGTGCTATTTATCTCTGCTCCTACTGGTATATGCCAAAGGAGCTTGCACTTCGAATCTCATACTTCTACTGCGCAAGTGCATTGTCTGGTGCATTCTCTGGTCTTCTTGCCGCAGGAATTGCCAAGATGGACGGCACCGGTGGTCTAGAGGGCTGGCGGTGGATCTTCATTTTGGAAGGCCTTGCCAGTGTGGTACTAGGTGTTGCTTGCTTCTTCATGCTTATCGACACGCCCGCTTTATCCCACCGCTGGCTGACCGAAGAGGAAATTCGCTATCTGGAACTTTCAATGTTCATCAAGCAGGGTGGAACTAGCAGTGATGAATCCGAGGGCTTCAAGTGGAGAGACCTCATGATGGTTCTGACAAACTGGCGGGTTTATGTTCAAGCCTACTTTTTGCTCTGCCAGTCGGCTCTGTCATATGGTAGGAATCCCAAGGACCTTTTCCGACATGTCGACAAGAACTAACATATTTCCTACCAGGTACCAAGTTCACCCTCCCGACAATTACGAAGTCTATGGGCTTCAACTCGACAAATGCCCAACTCCTCTCCGCCCCTCCATACGTTGCCGCCGCTGTATCAGCAATCTGCTTTGCCCGAGTCTCTGATCACTTCTATTGGAGAATGCCGTTTGTGGCGATTCCCATGCTTATCGTCGTGACAGCCTACGCCATTATTTTCTCACTAGATGGGGCTCTTGAAGCAAAGAAAGGAGTGGCCTATTTCGCTGTCGTGTTGGCCGTGATTGGTATCTACCCAATTCAAGCTGCGGCCGCCTCATGGAACGCAAACAACATTGCTCCCTCATCACGACGTGCCATCGGTATCGCGCTGATGAACTGCGTCGGAAATATTGGTGGCATTCTCGGCAGTTTCATGTATCTGGAGAGGGAAAGCCCCCGATACGAGACCGGATTTGGTCTTAGTATGGCTCTTGGTGCATTCGGATTTTTCGTGGCCTTGTTCCTCGAGTGGAGCTACAAGACTGGCAACGCAAAGAAGGACAAGCGTGCAGATGAGGCGAGAGTCAAGTATACTGAGGACGAACTGTTTGACTTGGGAGATAGATCTCCGCTGTTCAAATACGTTCTGTAATTTGTTTCTTTGGAAGGCAGGCAATTTGAGAATATAGTATGGTTAGCGCGGGTTACCTTTTGTTTCAAACCACTTGAGCACTGGCTGTCCTTAGAGAGCAAAATATATGAAGTATGACCAAACGAATTGACCTGGCGTTTTTTGGCACTCAAATAAAAATGATTTGCAGCAGCCTCAAGGGTTTCAATTGGTAGGTCATATTATGGGTAGTACTATATTGCCACAAGGACTATTCATATCAGAGCCAGAAAGACGGCGTCCATCCATGGATGGATTTAGACTTCAGGAACTGTCAAATGATGTCAGGCCCAATTATACTAAAGCGATTTGACTACCATATAGCTACGCAAAGGAGCCATTGCCTGAATAGAGGGAGAGACAAAGTCTTCTTGAAATTAGCAGCGGATCAAGTCTAATTACAAAGCCGCTTCGATTTCCACCAAGCTTCTGAGACTCAGCGCTCTCCAGCGCACATAGATGCTGATCAAGATGACAGCCCCTTCTGGATTCCTTCCTGACACAGCAATGAGCTACTTCGTACTTTCCTTTTCTTTTTCTTCTTTCTCTCCTCTTTCCTCCACTGCTCCTCAATTTAAATCTTGTCTTGTCCATGATTCCATCTCTTGTTCTTCACTATATCAACCAACAATAAAAACTCCTCAAGCTCTTTGGAATCAACACAGGGTCAGAGTCACACCATACGTTCACCCATCACATCTCAGTCTTCTCAGAAGTCGGGAGAGGATCTATCTACAAATGGGCTTGGGACAACTCCCTGTACAAGAATTGGGACCTTTGATCATTGCTGTCATGGAAGAAGCAAAGACTCACTGCCAACTCTAGAAGGTTTGTGACTCTCCTTATACCCTACGATCTCTCACAAGGCAAATATGTTTTCGAAGACTAACTCTTAACTAGGAACTATCGAAAGTCCTGGAACTCGCGAGATCTCGTTCTTTGTCTGAAGATGCCGACGCGAGTTCACAACTCTGTGCAACGTTGGTGGATTAAATGCACTAGTGAATTGGAAGGGAATGGCATTATAACCCCAGACGAGAAGGACGAGATCGATGGTTTGGAACCACACTGCATCTTCCTTCGTCACCCTACTCACAAAGCATCAAAGAGCCAGATGTCCTTATTGATCCTTTCGACGACCTAGATTTACCATCTGTTGTGATCGAGCCCGAGTCTGATATCCCGACAGACTATGAGATGGATCATATCTTTCGCCCCACCTTTTTTGCAACGAGCCTCTAGTGGGTAGGACCCATCCACAAAGTGATCCAAATTGGGGAAGAAAGAGAGCTCGAAAGAGAGCTCGAGAGAGAGATGGGGATAGTCCCCAGGTATAGCTTGATTGTGGCTGGTCTGAAAGTGCAGACGAACTGGAGGCTGATGCAGAGATGTTGCTGAGAGGCAGCGCTGGTCAAATCAGGGTCGCTGTGCTTGTGAAATTCCACTTCAGCAAGGCCCATGCAAGGGTTTATGGCAAAGCCAGTGTATAGGAACTTGATGACTCAGATCAGCTTGTGAAACAGCAGACTGAGGTATATTAAAAGCTTCATCAATACTGTTCAACAAATCATATATTCTAACATCCTCTAGATCATCTTTCCGCCACCTGCTGCTCGCCTCCAGGGCGCCGGCCGCGCCCAACCCCTCCACGCTGTTGCTCGTGAAGTGCATCGTCGAGGGGTACCTGATCCGTGGGTCGCACGGCCCAATGCAGTGGATGTTGGACCTGTGGACCTACGGGCTCGCCGTACACATGAACACCAGGACCGAGGGCAACATCCAGTGGACGGGGGGCCAGCGGCTCGGCTACAAGGCGCTGACGTTCACCATGCCGGAGTTTAGCCACTGCGTCTTGCAGATCCACCTGGCCACGCGGCACATCCTCCTGCACGACCTCCTCCTGCAGCCCGACCTGCCCGCCGCGGACCTGCCGTGCATTCCCTGGGACAACCTGCACGACGACCCCTCTGCACCAAGCGCAGGCACTCCAAATAACATACGGGGAGCTATGGCGGGGGTCCTTGGGACCAACGCGAAACCCCTTCGAACCCTTAAACTTCAGCATTGACGTCCTGCGCAAGATGTCCACCAAAGAACTTGCAACAATGAGGCTGAGGCCGGCATAAAAAGCTCGCATGTTGTATTTTTTGTTCCTTGCCTGGTCCGCGTTGTTGCTTGCCCGCTTTTTTGCCTGTTATCCTGTATGACTATCAGGACTTTCCGTACATATTCGATGTATCAATGTTTATAGAATCAAGTCTGAACAAGTGGATATTATTCCAAGGTTTTACCTACACACTATACCCAAAGTCTATTTACATTCCCTATTTCTGCCGCACACAAGCTACGCAAAGGAGCAATTGCCTGAATAGAGGGAGAGACAAAGTCTTCGATATTGAAATTAACCATTTGCGAATCAAGTCTAATTACAAAGCCGCTTCGATTTCCACCAAGCTTTGAGTCTGAGACTCAATGGACTTCTTTTCCGAATCCGTGAGCTCCGTGTACGGCCTTCTTGGCTTCAGCTTTTCCAATGCCCCTTCAATACCAGCAGCCTTGGCCGTGTTCAATGAAGCAGCGTATTTCACCGCAGCAATGCCAGCCTTGCAAGGTTGTTCTGCGAGGGCTGCCTTCTTGTGCAACTCCATCGCCTCCTTGAAACGGCCCTCCTGGTACAGATTGTAAATCCGCACGATGGTCTTGGGGAAAACATTGGCAAATCCAGCCACAGTTCCTCCAGAGCCAGCAGCCAATCCACCGATCAAGAAATCGGATTGTCCACCGAAGACAACAAATCTCTCTGGCTCAAACTCGGCCGATAGCCGTGTGATCTTCGCAACAGCCCCGCACGTCAGTTTGACGCCAACAATATTGCTGTGCTTCTTCGCAAGACGAGCAATGGTAGCAGAGTCCAAGTCAATTCCATTGCACACCGTGGGGAAGTTGTAGATGACGATAGGAAGGGGACTGGCAGTTGCGACATCGTCAAAGAAATTGTCGATGACCGCTGGAGTCGTTTGTTTTCCAAAGTATGCCGGAGGTAGAAGGAGAACCGAGTCTGCGCCGGCATCTGCTGCATCGGAGATGAACTCCAACACCTGCTTCGTCGAGTGGCCACCCACGCCTGCCATGATTGGGTATGAGGGTCCAACTGCTTTCCGCGCGACTTCCAGGAGGGTCTTGCGCTCCTCGCGTGTTAAGAGGAAGGTCTCGGCATTGGTCCCCAGCACCACCAGTCCTGCAAGGCCGGTCTTGGATAGATATGCGTAGTATTTTGCTTGGGATTCAGTGTCCAGGGTGTCGTCGCCGTTGAAAAATGTAATGGTTGGAGCCCAGACTCCGCTGGGTGGGACTATAGAGGCAGTCATGATCGCAGATGAGGTATGAAACAGGCTGGTTGACTCGATGGCAATGGGATTGCAAGATACTTAAAAAGCTCCGCGCAATAATTTGGAGTTATCCGCAATACCAAGACCAAGACGCTCCACTTGCGCATCCATGTCGTGCTTTGTCCGGGGCCCCGCTGGGTCTCTCATTTGAGCTCTTTACTTTGCTTTTTCTTGTTTCTTGTTTCATTTTCTCTCTTTTAGGCAAGATGAAGATCACGCGCGACTAGATTCGGTGTATAGAGAAGCATATACTCGGGATAAGCTACCGATCCAACAAATGAAAAGAGAAAGCTGACTTCGGGATTCTCTCCGTCTGACTCGCTTGTTTTCTCCGCTCACGGAAGACGGAAGACGTTCAGAGCTAAGGCCCGGATATGCGCGACGGATAAGTAACCCCCCAACTGTCACGCGATGTAAGGTCGAGCTGAGGCAAGATGGCAGGAATCAGTGGTTAATAACACACTCAGCAATTATTCAACATTGGAACCCTTTGATTCTTCTGCATGTGGTGTGAGATCTACGTTCTACTTAGGCTCTAGGGTAAATTCCTGTATGGAACACAATTGCTTGAAGCCAAGCGCAGGACAATCTAATTTGCATTTAAATATTTGAGCTCATAAATAATGCAGTAATCTTGCCAACTATCTCTTTGGATCTATAGCTTCCGGTGCATAATAGTAGCACTTGCCTGGTGATTAGGGAAAAGTAGAGTATCGGCTACAATGACATTCTCCCTTCGCCCAGCCGCAAATACAATAGTCTCAGCAATATCATCAGGCGTCAAGGGCTCGCACCCGCTAATTCAGAGTAAGATACTTGACACATCTAGGGTTCAGGGCTCTGGGGATAACTTACGCATAGACAGCATCCGCCTTGCTCTTGTCACCATTGAATCGAACGACTGAGAATTCGGTTTCAACCTGACCGGGGTCAATGCCAATCACACGAATGCGCTTGGCAATCAGCTCTTTGCGCAAGCTCTCTGTGAATGATCGAACAGCAGCCTTAGTCGCGCAATAGATACTACCGCCAGGGTATGGCTCCCGACCGGCGATGGATCCTATGTTGATGATGTCTCCAGAGCCTTCGCCGTTGTTGCGCGCAAGCATAGAGGGTAAAACGGCCTGCGTCATGTTGATTAAACCTGTGACATTGGTCTTGAACATGATTTCCAGATCATCCTCCGCGATTTCGGGTGCTTTGGCGACACCTTTGACGAGACCACTATATAGAGGAAATCATTCAGTAACAGCAAGCTAATTGACTGGATTGAGACTCACGCATTGTTGACCAGCACATCAATCTCCTTGAACTCGGCAGGGAGCTTGCTCACGAACTCTCGCACTTCTTGTGCATTGCTCACATCGAGTTGCACTGGAAGGACTCTAACTCCTGCGCCAACTTCCTGCGCAATCTCGGCCGCGATTTGATTGAGGCTGTCGATTCGTCGCGCAGTCAAGATGAGGTTGAGATTTTGTGGTGATGTACGAGCAAATTCGAATGCAGTAGAGCGTCCAATACCGGATGATGCACCAGTAATAAGGATCGTCTTGCCATCAAGGCGCTTTGACATGACTGTAGGCATTTTGGAGATGGAATATGCAGAAATTCCCAATTATGGAGCGCTTGGAGTAAATTCAAAATGGGAGTTCTTGAAATATATTCAATGCCTAAATGCATTGGGGGAACCATTTCTGAAATATTGCTAGGTGCATTCGAATCGAATGCACGTCAAGCTCGGCCATTTGCCGCAGACAGTCCCGCAACCCCCACACGGAAAACGAGGGCTTGGCTCCGCTTCTCCGCATTTCGGCTTCTACCCGCAATGTCTCTTCCGTTGACACTTGGATCCGTTAGCTTTTCCGCTTCTGCGTCATACATTATGGCATCGGATCAAGATACACTAGAGCTCGCAGCGAGCAAGCCATATGGGCCAAAGAAGCGGAGCCGAAAGGAAAGAGTACGAGTCACTCGAGCCTGCGATAGATGCAGAAAGTGAGAGACCTCTCTACGCAGACTTCTAGGAACCTCTGTCTAACCTGCATCCAGGAGAAAAATCAAATGCAATGGCACGCAGCCATGTGGCTTTTGTCTTCGGGCAAAAGCCAACTGCACGTTTGCTCAAGCATATGCAAGGGGGCGGATCCCTGCTATCCCAGCCTCCAGGGAAGACAGAACCTCCCTCGGGGTTGGTGACGATTCTGTAGCAGGTCATTCATTCGAATGCCAGCAGTACTCTGCGATACTACCCAAAGTGGCGTCCGGGGTACCAGAGCCCCATAGCGCACACGTCTCACCGCTGGATGGCACATCCAGCTTTGAATATGAAGACTCGCAACCCTCTCCAGTCCTTAGCCAGAGTGAGCTGCCAGGCAACTATATCGGACCTGCATCGGGGGTCTCGTTTCTGCTGAGGATTCAGAAACGTCTCCACAAAGCCATTTCATCATCTCAAGCCAACAGCATCTTTGCATTCGGTGATGCACCAATGCAGCGACCCGAATTCGATCCATCATTCTGCATGATGCTTCCCAAGGCAGATGCTCAGCGTTTGGTAGATCGATATTTTGATTTTGCCATGCCTACCTATCGATTCCTCCATCGACATACTCTTCAGCGATGGTTTGATGAATTCTATGATACCCTCGGGGCAATGCATGATAAGCAGAACGCATCAGCCAGGAGTGCTCTGCTGTTCATGGCCTTTGCGCATGCAAGGGTATACATGCCTGAAGGTGATCGACCAGGGCCATCGGATCTGAGGTGTGTATTTATTGCTACGTACGACATCTAAGGCTTGCTGACGTAGTTATTCTATTTCAGTAATCGCTACTTTATGGCAGCCGATCACCAGCTCACCAAAGAGAAAGGCTCAATACAATTGACTAGTGTACAGGCTCGTCTGCTCCAGTGCTACTACCTTCTCACTCAATCTCGCATCAACCATTGCTGGAGCTTGTTCGGAACGGTGTCTCATTTGGCTCTGGCCATTGGGCTTAACAGAAAGGACCCCCCGGAGTTTGCAAGTGGACTAAGCCTTGTGGAAGCCGAGTGTCGCCGTCGAACATTTTGGTGCGCATACACATTGGATGCCTACCTTAGTGCTGCCTTGGGGAGGCCTCGGACTTTTCATGATGATGACATTGATACAGAGCTACCTGCATGTGTTGAGGATGAAGATTTGGTTGCGGGCCAGATAACGGTTCCCACAACGCCGGGCAGAGGCCAAGGCAGGAAACCATCGACCATGCTAGCTGCAATTGCACATATGAAGTAAGATACAGAACACTTGCTCTCTGTTTAAGACAGCTAGCTGACAGTATAGGCTTGCTCAAATAACCAGCAAGATATTAAGCAATCTTTACTCCATCAAACCTGTCCCAGCTACACGACAGGCGGCTGCTGTTCGAGAGATCTCCCAAGAGCTAAGTGATTGGCGAGCGGAGCTGTCACGGTTCCTAGATGTCGATACAGTCAGCACATCACTTTTTCTTCCCATCTTTCAGCGACAACGGAATGTTCTGAATATGACTTACTGGCATGCGATTATTCTGACCCATCGGCCATATGTACTAAGCAACTTCGCCCGCCTTTCGAAGCGAGATAGTCTAGATATACAGGATGTCTTGCACGATGAAAGCTTGCAGAAATGCTTAGACGCAGCAATGATGACAGCAAACACAATCAGCGAGATCACCGAAAGCCGACAATTGTTCCGCGCGTTTTGGGTGGGTCCACACAATCCTTTCGAACGCCCTGCTAACCCGTCCTAGAACACTGCCTATTTTGCCTTTGGGGCAACAATCATGCTTTACATTTACGTGATTCAAGAGTGCGCGTCCCCTCCAGAGGTATACGGTCCCTACTTGACTGCCGCATCCCGATGTCAGGCCCACATCTCAGCTATCGCCGAGAAGGGTTCATTATCAGAACGGTATAGTCTGGTACTCGAAGAATTGCGCGTGGAAGCACTTCGTCAAACAAAGCGCATGCATCCGTGCAAGACCAGACCGGGAATCTCATTCGACCCACAAGTGAACGGGGCCGAGCCTATGTTCATGCAAATGAACGAAAGCCCCATTACCGTTGCCACTACGAGCCCTACCGACCATGTCATAGACTTTAATGGCCCTATTCCGGGGCTATATGCTGATTATCCGGGGTGGGGGCAGTTTACTTCGATGGTTTCATCTGGATTGGGTAATATGGATATGTTCATGAATTGTGACTCTTTCAATTTTTAGATATTGAACTTGACTCGATCAATTCTACTCCATAACGTCTCTCATATTTATTCGTGACACTGAATGTATCAAAGTGAACAACTACAATTAAAGACCCTGAACCCTTGACCCTGACCAATTTGCCTGATTAGGAAGAAGATCAACAGATCGGCAGCTGACATAACCCTCCAAGTCGGGAAAAAAGCCGCATGCGTGTCCGGTACCTTTTTCTCTCCTCCAAGCCGATTATCGCCTTGGCTTGACTTCTTTTTTTTCTCTCTCTCTTTCGGGCCGGGCAGAACATTCAATTAAGTTGAGATTGACTTAAGTCCCGTCGCCATGTCGCTCTTCCAGGTCATCTTCGATTATGCCGCGCCGGTGTTGTAAGTGGGCTAATGCGCCCCCAAATCACAGCAGTGTGCTAATGAAGCTTGTCCACAGCCTTGTCACGTCGCCTGTCACCTCCTATGCGGACCAGATCCTAAGCATTCACCGCACAAGAAGCTCGGCCGGTTTTTCCTTGGACATCCCCCTGATCATGCTTGTTTCCTCGGTCTTGAAGTAAGCTCATGCTTGGCATGCCCGAACCACCCGCCTGGGTCCGAAATTGACACGATTAGGGTTTACTACTGGTTTGGAGAGTACTACTCGTATACCCTGCTTACGCAAGCGATTGTGATGATTGTGGTTCAATCGCTGTTACTCAAGGTTGCGCTGGATAATCGCCCGTCCTCTGGCGGAAGACATGGAATTGAGCATGCGCCCTTCAGCGATGCAGGCTCAAATGCGCCTACACGGCCTTATGAGTTCTGGCAGTGGAAGAACGACAAGCCGTAAGTTTCAGCGACACTTTTATGCATATGCGACTGCGCTAATCCTCGGACGTCTCATAGATACTGGATGTTCCTCGCTTACTTCGTTGGTGTCCTCGGTGTGATTCACTTGACTCCCATGGGTCAAATCGACTACTATATCAGCTTCCTTGGCTACGTCGGACTCGCAGTGGAAGCAACCCTTCCTATCCCTCAGATTATCGCCAACCACCAATCCGGATCCTGCAAGGGCTTCCGAGTTTCAGTTATCGCGGCTTGGATTCTCGGTGATACCATGAAGATGAGTTACTTCTTCAACAGCTCGGAGACTATTCCGTGGGCGTTCAAGCTCTGCGGTATGTTCCAGTGCGTTTGCGACTTCTACCTTGGCTTCCAGTTCTACATGTTCTCCCGGAAAGCTTCCCCAACTCATTCGCGACATGTGTCTACCCATGCGCCTACCCACTCTCGACACACGTCGCAGACTGCGGGCAGTTCGGAACAAAACAACCGTTGGGGCCATGAGCCCAAGGACATTCGCATGAATTGAGATGGTCAAGATAGACATGTATATAGAGGGTGAACTACATAGACATGTAATTTGAATGAAATTATGCTACTTCTATCAATTTCTCCAAGGAAAAAAAAAGTTGGAGTATGAAGTTAGAGTTGCGCTATCTCCGATTGTGTCCGCTTCGGGAGGGGCTTGCCCCGCGGAGATGGAATGTCATCTTCCCCCGCGGCATCCCGACCATCGTCCTGCTTGCATCAGACATACACAATGGCCGAACAAACCATCCGCATTGGCTACGTGCCCGGTATGTTCACCCCTCGAATCCTCTTGAAGCAAAGTAGGCGAGCTTTGAATCTGCCTGTCGAAACCACTTCTATCCACAGATGAGCTCGAAAGCTAATCGCAAGCTTTGCACCTCTACTAGAGCACTACCTGGCGCCTCTCCATCTCACACTGCGCTCCCCAGCTGTCTCCTCTCTCCCTTTTAAGATCGCTCTCACACCATTCCCATCCGGGACTGGGCACATGATCACATCGCTACGCGGCAATGAGATTGATATCGCTATTGGCCTGACAGAAGGATGGGTCGCTGGTCTCGCGGGCAAGCAGCAATCCAGCCAAAGTTCGGGAGATGGTGGTTACAAAGTTGTTGGACACTGGGTGGACAACCCATTGCGCTGGGCTATTGTCACCGGCCGCAATCGCGACGAGGTGAATGGAGTGTCCGACTTGAAGGACTCACGGGTTGGAATCAGCCGACCGGGAAGGTAAGTCAATGAAAGGTATCAAATCAAGAACTTCTACTAATACATCTCAAAGTGGCTCCCATATCATGTCTTTCGTCCTTGCACAACAGCAAGGCTGGAAGGCTGATTCGTTAAGCGCCGTCCCTCTCGGTCCTTTCGGTCCCCTCCGGGAGGGAGTCTCTGGCCTCAGTGAATCAAAGCCCAATGAAGCAGCGAACCCAACAGCAGAGTTTTTCATGTGGGAGGAATTCACCACAAAGCCATACTTCCACCCTACTGCCGAGAAGCCCAGCCCACCACTCAAAAAGATTGGCGAGATCTTTACTCCCTGGCCTTCTTGGATGGTCGTCGCTTCTACCAGACTATTCCCTGATCCCGAAACTGATGAGCGACTCACAAGCCTCTTCCAGGCCTTTGACCAGGGCATCAAGGACTTTGAGGCCGATACGGCACAAATTGTGAAGCTTCTAGGGACTGGGGAATTAGGCTGTAATTACATCGAGGAAGATGCAAAGGAGTGGCTCAAGGATGTGAAGTTCACTAACCGTACCCGCGGCGTTGATGACAAGATTATTAGAGACGTGGTGGATGTGCTGAAGGTTGCTGGCGTCATTGATGCCACTCTGAGCAGTGACGAGGCTGTTCAAAGAGTCATTGGCATTGAAAGGTAGATTATATCACCTATAGAGCAGTGACCCTTGTGTGCGGCAGAAATAGGGAATGTAAATAGACTTTGGGTATAGTGTGTACGTAAAAACCTTGGAATGATATCAACTTGTTCAGACTTGATTCTATAAATATTAAAAGCAGGCAAACAACAACGCAGACCGGGCTGAAAGTCTTGATAGTCATATAGGATGGCAGGCTAGAAACGAGGCAAGCAACAACCAGACTAGGCAAGGAACAACAAAGACAATATGCGAGCTTTTGTTGTGTGGGGCGTTCGTCCCAACCCCCATGTAGAAGGGAGATCCTCCCCCGACTTCTCTCTCTCTCTCTCTCTCTCCCCAGTCGATTTATCGGTTCTGTCCGCCCCCTCTTTTGCCCTGTAGCCTTAACAGCTTTTCATGACGCTGGCCTTAGCCTCATTGTTGCAAGGTCTTTGGTCTCCCCATGTGTTATTTGGAGTGTCTGCACCTGATGTAGAGCAGGTTGTGGGAATATGGTCTAGAAAATGTTAGAGTATATGATTCGTTGAATAGTATTGACGAAGGTTTTCACATACCTCAGTCTGTCGTTTGACGAGCTGATCTGAGACATCAAGCTTCCATACACTGGCTTCGCTGTAGACTCTTGTGTGGGCCTTGCTCAAGCGAAATTTCACAAGCACGGCGACTTTGGTTTGATCCGCGCTGTCTCTCAGCAATATCTCTGTATCGGTTTCTAGTTCGTCTGCACTCTCAGATCAGCCGCACTTGAGGACAGTAGATGGTAACTGAGGGTCGTCAAGAGGATTAATCAGGATGTCTGGCTTTTTGACGTTTTGTGAGTATGGCGACGAAGGGAGATGCAGTGTGGTCCCAAAATCTCCTTCAATTTCGTCTTTCTCGTCTGGGGTCATGATGCCACTTCGTTAGGAAAGAGCGTTTTGTGAGATTCGGAGGGTTGGGTGCCCCTAAATTCTCTCAGTCGACCTTTTGTTCTTTTCTTCTTCTTTTTCTTCTTCTTACCTAGGTAGCTTAGTTCTCTTGGTTGAATGGATTGTTTTTCTGCGCCCGCCGCCTCACACATTCGGGGAAGGAACAAAACGAAAGGAAAGGAAAGTACGAAGTAGTTTATTGCTGTCAGGAAGGAACTTATAAGGGGGTGCCATCATCTTGATTAGCATCTATGGAGAGTCTCAGACTCAAAGCTTGGTGGAAATCAAAGCGGCTTTGTAATTAGATTTGATCTGCAAATTGCTAATTTCAATATCGAAGATTTTGTCTCTCCTCTATTCAGGCAATGGCTTCTTTGCGTAGCCATGTGATCTTCAATGGCCAGCGAGCAAACTCCATCTCAAAAGGTTCTCGGCAATCACAATTTACCTTGAGAGAACTTGGTCTTTAAGGTTAAAATACAAAGCTCCTGAAGTCACGCCCGGGCGGGATTCAATTAGAGGAGTGAGAAGCTGGAAGTTGAGGAGATACTGTGAAAAAACGCCATCTAGAATCACCTGGGCAGGCATCGAGATGGTGATTCTCAAGAAACGAAAAATAAGAACAATTGGAAATACATTGCACAGCAATGCAAGATGCATTGGACTTGCGGATTTTATGCAATGGTAATGCAACAAAAAACCTCGAAGTTGATTTCTACTCCATTCTCGACAAGTTCAAAACGGCAAATTGGGTTTATTTCCCCAAAATACTAGCTCGCGTGTCCATACGTGATTAAATGAGATGAGACGTCTTACCTGAGGAATGGATATTGCCTAGCCAACTGATCGCTGCAGGCTGCAGCGTGTGTAAGCCAGTGCTGTCATGCTTAAAGCCCCGGAGAGCCTTGGAAGTGATGCAGATTCCTGTTTGACCATGTAGGCTAGCTCCCGGCTATCGAAAGAAAAAGGAAAAAACCCTCTTTTAATCAATCTTTTTCCAAGATTTCTTCTTCGCATCGGGATTTTCAAGGCTAAGGAGGGAGGGACACGGCCTGCATTCCAACACACGAGTTCCCCCTTGCACCGTGGATATTGCGACAAATGTCAGAGTGCGGTCTGGTATGTGTTCCCCTGAACACAATTCTAATTTTCTGGGGAAATTGGCTTCTGGGACTGGTCTTGTGTTCACGTTGCAGCTGGAAATATATTCACATCTATGGATGTTGGGTGTATACTTTGGGAATCGATGGCTCCCTTGAAAACTGTACTAAGAAGTTTTCCATTCACCTTCCCCTTTTATCTATTTACAAGTAGATCTGATGTGAATCATAATCACCTAATTACTGAATATAGAGTAAGATCAGAGTTAATGTACAAGCTGTTTTCCTCATTGCCGGGTTGAAGTTGATTCTTGTGCCCACTGAGGTGCTGCAGAGTGGCTGACGTGGAAAGCTTTATTCAGTATATTCTATATATGAAGTACCTGCATGTAGCTACTCTATTGAGCAGTCTGGAATATTATAGCCTTCGTGATCGGAATTTGAATAATTTACGTGTGGTGAAGTGCAGAAAGAGGATACATGCAGTTGCAATCCGCGCGAGGCTATGATATATCCGAGCCTCAAGGATCCAATTCACTTAAGAGAATAAGTGGTGCAGCCCCAGGACTCCCAATCAACATTAAATTTAGAAATACTTGATAGCATAATTTCTTGTCTCAAAGCTAGAGAGCCAGGAAGTCCTAAAAATTCACTCGAAGTGATTCGCTGAAAGCCCACGATTCCGAAGATAGTTCTATCAACGGATGGGTGCAGCCGACAAGAAATCAAGGGATCGCACTTTGGGGTTCAATACGAGTAGACTAAGGACCGCCGAGACAGCTTAAACAGGATCCTGGCTGCCAGAATTAGTCAAATAAACTTGGCCTAGAACTCCAATCTATCCTGCTTGTCTCCAGGTGCATTCTCGGATCTGCCCTTTCCCCTGACAACAATGATGGAATGCAGACCAGGGCGCGCACAACACCCAAGCACCCAATGATATGATCGCTCTGTAGTGCTAAATTTAATTATTCAGGGTCCATGAAGGAGCTCAAGCCCAGACTATACTCTATACTAGCATGCTGGCGTGGACATTGTGGGTCATACCACGCGCTCAGAGCCCCAAGTGACGCATTCCCATGGCGGAACGACAGGCATTGTTATTGCAAACTATATCCCGAAAAATAACTCAGCTTATGTCCAAGGTTTATTTAATAGCCCTTGAGGTCCAGTCCATCAGAAGTCCGGTGTTCTGACCCGTCCCTGTCGCTTTCGACCCGATACTTCACATAATTATTCTATAATTAATTAATACCTAATCACGACCAGGGAGAAAGCGGCAAATAACCTCACAATGCGCGGATATCAGGGTGTCCTCTCTTGGTCCGTCCTGTTGGCTGCCATAGGGGGAGCACAGGCAAAGCTTGACTTAGACTCAACTACGAATTTAGTTGTCTACTGGGGTACGTTGGGATCATAGTCACCCGAGATTGGGAGATACATCGATGCTAACACCATTATCCAGGCCAGAACTCATTCAATGGCAAAGGTGATAAGCTTCAGCAGCCCTTGTCACACTACTGCGATGGTAAGTGAAGTATGTTCGAATCTCGTTGAACGACACTGACCAATATTTACCAGACAAGGATATCGATGTATGAAAGACAAAGACATGAGTTGCAAAACAAGAAGCTAACAAGCATAGGTAATCCCCATGGCTTTCAACATGATGGTAAATGGCCCTGGAGGCGCACCAGAGATCGACTTTGCTGTGACCAGTAAAGATTGTGATGTGTTCCCAGGCACAAAGTTGAAAAACTGCCCTAGCATTGGGTAAGTCATATAATTTTCTGCAGCAAAGCATACACCTGACCTCTCCTCTCAGTAAGGACATCGCAGAATGCCAGAAGAAGGGCAAAACGATCCTGCTCTCCATTGGCGGTGCCACATATAGCGAAGGTGGTTTCAAAGACGAGGAAGCGGCCAAAGAGGGAGCAAACCTCATGTGGGAAACCTTTGGTCCGAAGCAAAAAGGATCCAAGGCACTTCGTCCCTTTGGTGACACTGCTCTCGATGGCTTCGACTTTGACTTCGAGGCCAGCGTGGAGCACATGGCCCCTTTTGCCAACGAGCTACGCTCTCTGATGGATGCCGATAAGAGCAAGCAGCGATTCTACCTGACTGCGGCGCCCCAGTGCCCTTACCCAGACCAGGCTGACAAGGACATCCTCAACGGTCCTGTTTACATCGATGCTATTTGGGTGCAGTTCTATAACAACTTCTGTGGCGTCGACAACTTTAACACCGATATGTCAAGCAACAAGTACAACTTCGAAGAATGGGACAACTGGGCCAAGACAGTCTCCAAGAACAAGAATGTCAAGGTCATTCTTGGTGTTCCTGCCGACACCACCGCCGCCAGCACGGGATACATCCCTTCGTCCAAGCTGGATAATGTGATTGAGTACTCGAAGAAGTTCGAGAGCTTTGGAGGAGTTATGATGTGGGATGCCACGCAGGCGTACGGCAATGATGGGTTCATTAGGGACGTACGGAAAAGCCTGGGAGGCGCTGATGATTCCGATTCCGGTTCGTCGCCCGACTCGGCGTCAGCATCGGCGCCATCTCCTTCTCCGTCCACGTCCACTGACTCTACGAAGACATCGTCATCTTCCAATGCACCCGATTCCTCACTCTCGTCTTCCTCCTCCTCATCTGCTTCTGCTTCGCCCAAGGCACCTGAGAACACCGCCGAAGTCAAACCTACCGCTATGGCTACCAGTCCCACCACCACCGCTAAGCCAGACACCACCACGGCTCCCGCGCCTACTGCCACAAACGACTCGGATAACGACGATGAGGACGAAGAACCCGCTCAGCCTCCAAGCGACGATGATGACGACGACTCCCCGCTCGACAACATTCTCGGAAACGACCTTATGGGTCTTCTGGGTGGCCTGCGCAGCGCAAATGATGTTACCCACGGCGTCACCAGTGGGCTGAGCAAAGTCCTTCGTCGTGGGCAGCGTAATCGTGTCTAAGATTGAGCTGTTGCATGCATAGCCCAAATGGCCCTCGATGGGTCTGGTGATATTTTGGATATATACTACTAGCTTGGCTGACCAGAGGGATATAAGGGGATATTAGGGCAAAGATCACGTTATGAACGATATTTTTCATAAACCTCTTTAGTTGAATCCTCTCTATCATACCAAAATTCTCCTTCACTTTACCTCCAATGTCCTCAATTCATGAACGATATCCATAATATCTAATATTCGATATGCTATTCCGATTTTTTATACATCGTACCCAATCCTTGAGGCCAGAGCCTTACTGTATTTGACTTATTACACGTAGTTGAACAATAGCACAACGCGATTCAACCACACTAACGGCGACTACCGCATGTTCATCAGAACCTCGGGATGCCTGTTTACCTGCTACCAGTATAGATGCGTACTGCTGTCTAAGCGGCTAGGAATAAGACTGTACAACACAGTTCTAAAGCTTGTCTGAATCTAAATTGATTTGTGATACAAGATGTCAAACACAGTCACCCTAATCAAAACATAAACATTTAGCCGTGGAAGACAAGTTGCCCATTGTCGTTGCCAATGCACTCTGCCAAATTGATATCCGCGTCATGCTCTTCTCCCTCAACATCCTTGAGCTTGGCTCGCAGCACAGGGACATTATCGTCTCCTTCAAGTTCAAAGCTGATGTCGTCCGCGCTGTCCAGGAAGCCGCCTCCTCCCCATGCAAATTGACCTAAAGCATCGAGTTAGAATCCCTGCAAGCGATTCTAAGAGACTTTTGTGTGGACCACGAGTATTTACCATCGTTGTTGCCAATAATTTCATTCAGATTCAATTCTGACTCGTGTTCCTCGCCGTCCCCATCGCGGAGGGTCGCCTTGAGGATGTGGTCATCGTCAAGCTCGATATCGGTAGAAGATTCGTGGAAGCTCATGATGTGAATTTGAGAAAGAAGGATACAAAGTAGAGAGTGAAGACTATTGATCATAGATCTACCGAGCAAACGCAACCTGGGACATGAGCCTCTTTATATACCCCATTCAGTAGGACCGATAAGCGCCAAATCACCAGCTGATTGCGTTCTAGGAATCATGCAGCAGCCCCCGGTTCTTGTCCGACACTTGGCTAGGATTCATTTGCTCAGATGTGCTAGATGATGCCATTGCAGCGGGGCAAGGGTAGGGGGGTACGAAAATGGGTATTGGCAGAGCGGGGATGTTGTATAGAGCGTTCTCAGACACATTGCGATTTCGTTTTGTCCACGCTGTACAACAGTGGAGAGACAAAGCCCCTGCTAGAGTGGAGCATAGTGTTCCAGAGAGCAATGTGAGAGTACTCCGTAGAGGCCGGGCGAATATCCGAGGCTGAAACGATGCCCAGATGTCCGGCGCGAAAGGCCAGCGCGTGATCGTTCTGATATCCAGTCATCGTGGCGCATGAGAGCATCTCCCACCCAGCCACACCGGATTGTGAACAACGTCTGATGTTGCACTCATGCAAGCCAAGCATCCGAGTGCCCGCAGCCCCGCGGAACAGCCACAGCAGTGGCAGAAGATGGGCCACGCATGGCCCCAATTGGCATTCAGTGGAGAGAGGGGGAATCGGAAATTAGAAGTGAAATACTGGTGCCTAGACGGAATATTGCAGGCAGTGGATTGGCCCCAGCGCCAAGGCTGTTGGATTGTGTTCGGGGGATGCAGCCGCATGTTGCGAGTGCTTGGCAGCCCATTTGATGAGTGACAGCCACCGGGGGATACTGTGGCTGGACAAGGCTAGCCTTACAGGATGGAGGGGTAAACAATACTTGGTGGGGAATTTAGAATCTCGTGCCCCACGAGGCAGGAATAAAAGGTCATAAAACGTAGATAAATTAAAAAGACAAGTATGCATTTGGTAGAGAATATACCCTTGAACCTGATATCAAACACGCCCAACACCGCTGACAAACTCCCACAGCTACCTCCAGGGCTTTGGGGAGGTAGAATATGCACAGAGACAACCCCATCAATAGCGTACCTGGTGTATCAAGAGAAACACGTTAGATTCATAATACGTCGCAGATCAAACTCCATTTCGGTAAATCTGAGATCCACCTGAGCGGATCTGGATGGTGTCACGTTTTTGCAGCACCAGCAGCGCCCGATTGAGAGCCTGTTCAGTGTAATTCTTGGCATCGACAAAGTCCCGGCGAAGGGTGGCCAGACTTGTGCTCCAGCCAATGGGAAGACGACGCTTAAGCTCATCTTCGATCTTGCTGGCCGACTCCATGAGTTCTTTGCTGCCTTGACCTTCGCCCTGAGTGATCGCGTCCATGGTGGATGCGAGGAAAAGACGGATGGCCTCGTCCACGTGCGCCTCGGTGGCAATCGGGGACAGAGACAACTTAGCGAGCGACTCGGAGATACGGACAATAGCCTCCAATTGACGCACGGTAATGGGGATGGATGATCGGCTGTTCGACTCCATCTCGGCACGGTGCACTTGCTTACGGATCGACACGAAGTGGGAAGACAGCTTCTCCGCAGCCTCGGGGGAAAGACGAGGGGCACATCGGCTGCGGCAGTAGCTGATGTATCGCTTCATCTGCTCCACTGGAATCTCGGCCTCGACTTGCTCTTCAACACCGCGACCACCCATGTGGACTCCCATGACGTGGCGGGCAATCTTCTCGTCGCGACCACGCTCGTGGTCATCACGGACGATGAAGATCATATCGAAACGAGACAAGATAGTGGTCTGGAAATCGATGTTCTCACCAGGGGTTTTGAGATCGTCGTAACGACCGAAGATGGGGTTAGCCGCAGCCAGGACAGACGTCCTGGAGTTGAGGATCGTTGTGATACCCGCCTTGGCAATGGAGATAGTCTGCTGCTCCATGGCTTCGTGAATGGCGACACGGTCCTCATCACGCATTTTATCAAACTCATCAATACAGACAACACCACCGTCAGCAAGCACCATGGCACCACCCTCGAGGTAAAACTCGCGAGTGGTAGCATCCCGCTGCACTGACGCAGTCAAACCGGCGGCAGAGGAACCCTTTCCAGACGTGTAAATGGCAATGGGAGCGGCCTTTTCGACGAACTTCAAGAGCTGCGACTTGGCAGTACCGGGGTCACCCAGCATGAGCACGTTGATGTCACCACGAAGCTTCATCCCATCGGGAAGAATCTTCTTTGAGCCACCCATAAGCAGACACACGATGGCCTTCTTCATATCGACATTTCCATAGATGGAGGGGGCGATGCTTCGAGCAAGCGCGTCGTACAGGTCAGGCCTGCGGCTAAGTTCCAAGAACTGTTGCTCCTCCTCCTCGGAGAACACACCACTTCCCTTGGCAGTTTGATCAATGTCCGAGGTGATACCGACCGCACGGAGGTAGGGGTTACGGATAGCCACCGCAGCCTCCTTCTTGCCACCCTTCTGTTGGTAGATAGAGAAAATTCCCATCACTGTACAACGTGAGCCAGGGACGACTCGGTTGGCAAGATAGCGGTCTGCAGAGATCAGAACATGTCGTGGCAGCTCACCCACAGGCACCTGGTCAGGGGCTTCTTGGAGCTTGAGGACCTGCTGATCGACGAATTGACACTTTTCGTGGTGGACAACATAAGGATCGAGGGGACATTGTTCGCCGGGCTGGTCACCGGGCTGCTTTGGGCGTCCGCATTTTCGAGGCAGCGTCACTCCAGCGAAACCGCCCTCAACGGTAATGTTTTCACTGAAATCGCAGCCCTTGCAACGGACATGAATTATAGTCGATTTGGAAGATATCGTAGAAGCGCCGATTACAATTCCAGGAATACGAACAAGGTGGGAGATATTGGTGGCGTTGAGGTCACGAATTGAGATGTGCGATGCCGAGGAGTGAAGAAGAAGTTGGTGCGAGGGGAGTGTTTGGATAGCGTCGCGCTGGCCGGGGAAGACGATTCGTGCCGTACATTCCTTCAGCGCTTGTTCGAACTGTTTATCGTAAGTAAACGCAAGCAGTGTCACAGGGGTAATGTTAATCCTACGGTAGGGATGATCTCGGCGGGCTCGGTGGTGAGCTTGTGGGCCAATTCTTCATTGTAAGAAATCAGATGGGCAATGTCAATATCGCAATAATATTGTTTCACAAGGGCATTTTGCCGTAATTGGTCGCTATATAATCAATCAGTACTTTGTATTCGTCGCAAGCTCATCAGATGTGGTATGCGTACCGGTACACAAAAGCATTATCCAGCTGAAATTCGAGCACAAACTGCCTCAGACGGCCTTGGATTACAGATTTAGACTCATCGGGGCCGTCTGTACTCGGCGCAAGGACGCTCAATGAATAGGGGGTGCGTCTGTCCATGATGTGCAGATTTGGCAGGTTTGGGGTGAGGTGGGTTTGGCGGAAGGGAGAGGCTTCAAGAACTTTTGGCTTAGTGTGGCACCGACGCGTCGCGTCAAACGTTCCGTTCTTTCACTTCGTGGACGCGTTAAGTGGTTTCTGACTCAGCTGATGCCTTGATGCCTGTAAGCCAAGGCGGCGACCCGTGTCAAATCTCAGGCGCCAAGTATGATGACTGACACCTGAGGCTGCAATGCTGTGTCAGCAGGGGAAAGCCGGGGCCGCTGTGTTGGCGCATGCGCCGATTGGGGAAAGCAGCTGGATGGAGACGAAGCCACATCACAGGTACATTCTGCCAGACCGGACTCGCTGGAATCGCGAGGCGCAGATCTCACAGGGTCGGAACATTGCGATCTTCTCATAGACCTTCGACAGCTCTACAGCTAGCATTACCCACTGTCATGATCAGATAACAAACAGTATCTCTACGATCGACCCTCCACCCGGTGGCTGTCCGATCCGGCTCGTGACCGCCATGTCGACGAACAGCCCACGAAAGTCAATTGACAGCCTAGCCTCTGGGGTCTCGTCACCTTCACTTTCCTATTCAACCAGCCAGTTGGAATCTCCTCGCGTGCCACCTCAGCGATTTCCCCTGAGGAGGGGATCAACCGCGAGCTCGATAGCCAGCATTGGAGGCGTTTTGGACTCTTCCCATCATCATAACTCAATCGCGGAGTCCGACCAGAATGGTAGGTGGCTTCGTGGGTCCCAATCGCTGATCTGATTGACTAATACCTCTACAGCCATTTCAACCCTCCTCCAGCCTCCGATCATTCGCACCGGTCTGACAGCCCAGAGTGCCACATCGGCCACCGGCTTCAAACCCCCATCCTCCCGCGACATCCCACCGGTTACTCTGACGAACATAACCCGTGTCGATCCAAAAGTCTTCCAACCGTATCTTTCGCAGGTAGGGACTCTGTACGATGTATTCCAACGGCCAAAAGAGGGCGGGGAAGATCCCCAACCGGCGCAGATGGCCAAGTCCCCGAAACCAGATTCCGAACGAGATTCATTAATGCCATGGTCCCCCGAACGGAGGTCTTCGGTCATGTCTATCAATTCGAGGTCATCTTCGCCATATGACACCCGGGGACGACGTCCTTCCACCGGCCGTGGACGCGCTCCCGCAGTGACACCTCTGTCTACAATACCCCCCGTTTATTTTGAAGAAGGATTTCATCTCGAGAATCCCCGCACATTTGACGTGATATCGGAGAAATCTGATGTGGTTAGGCCACCACGACCACCGACAAAGGATGACAATCATACCAATGGTCTGGTCCCCGAGCCAGCACAGACAGGAAGGAAGGCATTGGCGACAAATGCTATTCTTCAAGAGAAGTTGTCTTGGTACATGGATACTGTTGAAATCCATCTCATCTCCTCCATCTCCACAGCCTCCAAATCGTTTTTCACGGCCCTAGGGTCACTCCGGGAGTTGCATGCAGAAGCAGCTGATTCCGTCAACCGGATTCAAGTCTTGAGACGAGATCTGCAAAAGATTGACAAAGAAATGGCTCTCGGTGGTCTGAAGATCGTCAACTTGAGACGACGACGAGAAAACGTCCGAATGTTGGCAGCTGCGGTAGCGCAACTCCGTGACGTGGTCGAGTCGGTATCTCGTTGTGAGGAGCTTGTGGAGCAAGGCGACATTGAAGAAGCTGCTGAAGGCCTCGAAGAGGTCGAGAAACTGATGGCTGGCGACAAGGTCTCAGATCGCGCCCCTGCAGAGGAAGAGGACGGCTCACCCAGGCGTCTCATTGACCTCAGGGGAATCAAAGCACTGGAAGGGGCATCTGATGATCTCGCGCAATTGCGTCAGCGTATTGGTATGGGCTATGAAACTCGTTTCTTGAACGATCTTTTGGGAGACTTGCGCCAGCACGTCCAGAATGTGCCGTCTGATAATACTCTGCAGCGCTGGGGAACTTCATTCCAGCGGCAAAGGGGCGTCAGACCAGTATCAATCTCGCCCGCCTATATGAGCTTCAATAGTGAGTTGCGGTCGCAGTTGGACACCCAACTCAATGGGCTTGCACGTGCTCGCTATACTATGCCAGCGGCGACTTCGTTCAAGACCGCGGTTCTACGAGAAATGAAGGGCCTGATTCGCAAGCATCTTCCTAGCTCTAGTGATGACGATAATGAATCTATGGTGTCGCTGTCAACGCACGGCGGACACCAGCTAAGCCAGCAAGAAAAGTCTTCGATTCTAGCCCGCAATCTCCGCGTTCTTGAACCCGAGGATGCCTATACGATGCTTATGAATGTTTACACCGGGATCAGCGAGTCACTTCGACGCTTGAGCGTTCAAGTCAAAATCCTCCTGGATATTGCGAGTGGTCTGGGCGATTCCCCAACTTCTGGTGTTCGGTCCCCACCCCGAAGCCCCAACCCGCAAAGCATGGATCAAGCCTTGAGATCTCCACAGGCTGGACCAACAGCCGAGGACTTGGCTCAAGATGAGATCCTACAGGTTTTGGACATGTCCAGTCTACTTGGTCAAGCGGTTGATATTGCCCAGGCTCAGATCACCAAGGTGTTGAAGGTTCGATCCGAACAGACGACACAGCTTTCGAAAGAAGATTTCCTCAACTACTTCACACTCAATCGACTTTTTGCCGACGAGTGCGAGGCTATATCGGGGCGCGGTGGTACCGCACTCAAGACCATCGTCGGCAATCAAATCCGCGATTTCATTACCCGCTTTGGCGATGGCCAGCGCCATCAAATTGTCAAGGTCATGGACGCTGATCGATGGGACGCACAAGACTTTGGGGATGCTGAGACCACTATATTGTCACGAATCTTGGATGCCAGCACCAAGGACATTGATGCTTGGCTGGATGCATCTAAAATATGGAACCATGTCGAGAAGAACGAACCAGGTGAAACCGGCGACACTGATGAGGCCGCCAACGGGACCGACAAGTCCAAGGTGCGCAGTGCCATTGTCGACGAGCAAAAATACATCCTGCCAGATTCTGCTGTGGCGATGATGCGCAGTATTGAGGAGTTCGAGTTCCTCATGTCGAACTTCCCCACCATGATTCAAGATATTGCGCCTCACCTACTCGACATCCTTAAATTGTTCAATTCTCGCTCATCCCAGTTGATTCTCGGAGCTGGTGCAACACGCAGTGCAGGCTTGAAGAATATCACCACGAAGCACTTGGCATTGTCTTCGCAGGCACTGAGTTTTGTCATTGCGCTGGTGCCCTACGTGCGTGAATTTGTTCGTCGCTCGGGCCAAGCCAACTCCCTGATGGCCGAGTTCGACAAAGTCAAACGTTTGTGCCAGGAACACCAAAGTGGGATCCACGAGAAACTGGTGGATATTATGAGCGGACGCTCTTCCATCCATGTCAACGCGATGAAAAAGATCGACTGGGATGCCAAGGGCTCATCCCCAGCGGTCAACCCGTACATGGAGACCTTGGCTAAAGAGACGGGTACTCTGCACCGTGTTTTGAGCAAGCATCTCCCCGACATGACGCTCGGTATGATTATGGTTCCTGTATTCAACAGCTATAGTGATCAGTGGACCAAGGCCTTCGAGGAGGCCAACGTGGAGACGGACACCGGAAAAAAGAGGTAAGCCAGCACATATCAATCCTCTTAACTACTAATACTGACGGTATAACAGGATGCTGGCAGATGTTGAACACTTCCGAACCAAGCTAAGCAAGATTGACGGCGCCAGTAATGTGGGCGACAAGCTTCTTGAAGTGGTGCAAGCTAAGCCCGTTGCCAACGAATCGGAGAAACCCGAACCGGCAAGTGAGACGGCGGCACAGGAAAGCTCTGAATCGAGCCAATCTTGAGCTGCTTGTCTCTTTCCACCCTATACATAATGTCTTTTCTGTGTGTTTCTTCTGTATGCGCATTTCGATGTACACTTGTCATTTGTTTCTTACCACATAACTGTTTACCAGTTGCATTATAGAGCTAGCCCGGCGTTTGTGGGTATGAATAAGATTTCATTCTAATCTGAATGATGGCGAGTAGTCGAATGCCCAGGTGAGCGAGTAAGATCAAAGGATGTCTAACCATGAATAACTCTAGGCTCAGAACTACATTCATACTCAAAGACTACATGTTCAATCGATAATTCAAAAATCAAGAGGGATATCGTGTCTCATTCAAGTATATGCAATGGTCGTCCAATCAACCCATTCACAAAACTCCAGGTATTATACATAAAAGCACTTATTGACCGGGCAGAGCACCGTGGCCCTTCTGTTCACCGGTGGACTTGGGCTCATGGCCACCCTTTCCTGAACCAGAGGTGTTTTCATAGCCACCGCTAGCCTGGCCGGGGAAGACGTCACGGCCAGAGCCAGTTTCTTCGGGCATGGGGGCAGCCTTGTGGGAGCGGCTGAGGTCGGCGGGCTTTAAAAGTCAGTAAGATGGTCTGGAAGTGATCGAAATTGACATTGAACATACAGCGTCGCCGGTTCCGTGGGCCTTGTTGGGACCGTTCTCAATGGGGTTGTCGCTCTGGGGGACACCGTTGTCGAAGTCTGCGCCGCGAACCATTTTGAAGATAGAGAAGGTAGGGAGGATAGAGAGGATAGAGAGGTTTGAATAAAGGAGTTGTATAGTTCTTCTTGTCCTTCAAAGAGCAAACTTATATAGTTGGACCGGATCGATCGCTGGTGACAGCATCATGAAATCATAGTGGAGATCATGACTTCATGCGCTTCTCACCATCACGATTGTAGGAACTGCCTTGGAACTGGCTTACTATGAAGGCAATGGAAGGTACCAGATCTAATGGAACTGAATGTTCCAATTACGCAGTTTTGAGTGGGCAAACGGATTGGGTATTGTCCGTTTCTTTTACAGGCACAAAACCGGGAACACAACGGGTTCCCAAGACACATCACGGAACGCCCAACGGGCTTGAAAAATTTCAAGAATTAAAAAAACAAAAAACAAAAAAAAACAAAAAAGACTCCCACAATGCGTACAACATTTTCATGGCTCTCTGGCCATTTCAAATAAAGCCCCGCTGGAGGTAGCGGTGGCAGCGGGCAGAGGCACCGGCATTCACACACTGGTCCAAATCTGATAGGACCGCGTTACAGAAGTAACGCTGCTCAACCCTCATTGCCTCTGGTGGGCCCAAGAGGCCAAGCAATTCACGGGCGCCCTTTGGGGCTGCCCCAGGGAGGGCCTTGCCCAGAACGAACCCGGATCCCCAGGCAGACTCTTTGATGTGAGTCTCAAGTGACGGGTTGGCCACTTGCTTTGCTGCCTCTGAAGCCTCAGTTGGGATTGGAGGGAGCTCACCCTCCCGCATCTTGGCGAGGAGGCTGTATGGCGCCTTTGGCGCAGTTTTTGGAGGAGAATTGGGAGGTGGAGGAAGGAAGCGAGGTTGGAGAGAGACGGTGGCCGTCTGCGCCTGTTGCCCGGCGTTGGCTTTGCGGATGGTAAGTGAGCGTGGGAGGAGGTGCTCAGTGTTTGCCTCCCGGAGGTAAAAGGAGGATGGCCCATGACGTGGGCGGCAGGTGACGATTGATGCCATGTCGTGGACGATGGTCTTGACGGGTGATTTTGGGGTGGAAGCAGACATTGGATCGCTGTACCCGCTTGGAGAGATGCAGATGCTGTGATCTTGTAGGAGGGATGGGTTGTTTACGTTAATGGAAGACGTGATGAGGCAGCATAATGGGGGACCTCGCCGTCGACTAATGGAATACAGAACGGGAAGGTGAGGAACCTCATCGCCGGGACGATTCAGGCAGGGCCGTGTGACGGGGATGTCAACGGACCATTGAGGTCTAGTGGCTTCAAGAATTAGCTCATCGATCAGCCTGTTCAAACGACTCAGCGAGACCGGGTCCTCAATCTGGTCTATAGAGCCCAAGTCCCAGTTCGAGTAATTGGACCCTTGATCTTCACGGCCCGAGATTAGGGCACGGCGTGAACCCTTAGCCGGTTGCTGAACCGTCGGGGAATCTGGATTAAAGTATGAGTGGGCCACTGAAAGAGCCTCTGATTTACTATCACTGCTCACGTCAGTACACTCATCCGGGTTCAGCACCTTCAGCGATTCATTCCCAGCCCGCCAGTCCCCACGGGGATCATCCTGGGAGTAAATGGGCTTGCTCACGACGGCGAGAGTAATACTTCTCGAGGAGCACAGGTTATCTATACACCTATCATAGGCACATCGCCAGAGCGAATCCTTTGCCGGGCCCACGTCCACTACTGACACATTGTAGGGCAAATATGTTCCCACAGCGGGGCGGTGGTCACTGCGCAGTCGATAATAAGCCTCCGGATAGCGCGCCGCCAAGGCCCGCTGTACTATCTGCTCCAGTTCTTGCTGGGGTAGCCGTCGGCGTAGCCTGGCATCGACCCGACCGAGGATCTTTTGGGTTGTCCTAATGACCTGAGCTGATAGGCCCCGCCCGGCAGCGATCGTCCTTGCCATTACTCTGTGGCTGGTCATATTGCGTTGCCTTGCTCTGTGCTCCGCTTTTGCCATGTTGCCATCTATTCCAAGGTTTCCCATTGATTCATCGCTCTCTACTTTTGTGCATTTGCTTGCGTACTTGGGATGTAGTGGTATATTGTATTTGTGGATCTTTCAACTTATGTGTTCATGTAGGCTGCGATGATCTTCACTCTCCATGTAATTGCCCAGGGTGCCTTTTATACATACATCGCATGACTCATGACGGAATTGACCTCTCGCACTGGGTGCCTGGAAGGACTGAGGAACAAAAGAAAACCATAGGCTTTGTGAGTGAAATGATCTCAGATTTGTCAGGTGCGACCATTTTCGAGCCGTGAACATTGATCTTTGGGGACAAGGGGATTTAACCGGGCGAAACCTCCAAGGACATTTAGACCAAGTAGAGGTACATACATACTACTCGTATAGTACCAAGTCCTCCATCACGAACTACCCCGCGGATCAGCAAAAAGTGCAGTTGGTGAATGATGTGGAGACCAATGATGTCACCGACAGCTTTCCCCAGAAAGTCTCTCAGGTACTCTCTCTCTCTCTCGTACACATACCTTCACTCCATAACCCTACTCCTAGGTCCATATTTTCTTAAAAACATAAATAGTTTCAGAAAAGATTTCGTAAAAATGCCCAGACCTTCGGAGAAACCGAGGGATCCGAGCCCCTCAAGCCGTGGTCGGGCCGATCATACTGTGCAATCTAGAGTTACATGCCCGTCAGGTACCGTTGTAGGGAGCTCTTCCGTGAACATATTCCCCCTTTTTTTTTTTCCTCTAATCCTTACCCTTGTGTCCCCATTTCATTCTCCTTTTTTTTCTTGTCAATTGGGTCCTTTTCCACTTTTCGTCTCAACAGAAAATTTCGGGCGGCAGTTCCTTGGAAGTTGACCCGTCCAGGCTAAGGGGAAAAGGTAACACCCTCGCTGTACTCCCTAGTCCGGAAAAGAACTCACACCGGGACAAGGAACGGGAGAGGTGCATTTTCTAGCTTCGTTTGGCATTGAGTTTCGAGCTCTTCGCCTCCTTTGACCTTTTTCTCTCAGACCTTTTGACCTAAATAATCCCCAGATCCCGACCCCAACCAGCCACCCCAGGACAAGTCAAACTCACGGCCCACTTCTCCCCGCACAGACCGAGAGCTTCCAAGGTCGTGCTTTGCCCCCCTCCCTGTGCTGCTCTTTTTTATTTTCTTCTTCTTTTCTTCACTTTGCCTAATTATCTTCGTTGGAAAGAAGACAGCTTCACAGAATGGCCGAGGAGACAGAACCCATCAAGCGGGATGTCCGCAACCATATGCTCTTCGAGGTGGCCACCGAAGTGGCCAACCGGGTGGGTGGTATTTACTCCGTCCTCAAGTCGAAAGCGCCCGTCACCACCGCCGAGTATGGTGAGCGGTATACACTGATCGGTCCTCTGAACAAGGCCTCAGCTGCAGTGGAGGTCGAGGAGCTGACTCCCGCCAACCCGGCCATGCGGGAAACTATCCAGTCCATGAAGGAGCGTGGCATTGAGATCGTCTACGGTCGCTGGCTCATTGAGGGGGCCCCGCGCGTGCTCCTGATCAACACCGGGACAGGCTACAGGTGGCTGGATGAGTGGAAGGGTGACTTGTGGACGAACTCCGCCATCCCATCCCCCGATGCGGATCATGAGACTAATGAGGCCATTGTTTTTGGATACTTGGTCGCTTGGTTCTTGGGAGAGGTAAGTGAAATGTGCTGATGCTTGAAACAAATGGAACTGACCGGGTGTTTTGCTTTAGTACATTGCCCATGACCGTCGCCGGGCGGTCATTGCCCATTTCCATGAATGGCTGGCGGGTGTTGCGCTGCCGCTGACCAAGAAGCGACACATGGACCTGACCACGGTCTTCACCACGCACGCTACCTTGCTGGGTCGGTATCTCTGCGCGGGTTCAGTAGACTTCTACAACAACCTCCAGTACTTCGATGTCGACGCCGAGGCTGGAAAGCGCGGAATCTACCACCGGTACTGCATTGAGCGTGCCGCAACCCATGCTTGTGATGTGTTTACCACAGTGTCGCACATCACTGCGTTTGAGAGCGAGCATCTGCTCAAGCGCAAGCCGGACGGTGTACTGCCGAATGGATTGAATGTCAAGAAGTTCTCCGCCATGCACGAGTTCCAGAACCTGCACTCACAGGCCAAGGAGAAGATCAACGATTTCGTTCGCGGGCATTTCTACGGACACAATGACTTTGATCTGGATAACACACTTTACCTCTTCACTGCAGGACGCTATGAATTCCGCAACAAGGGTGTCGATATGTTCATTGAGGGGCTGGCCCGTCTGAACCACCGACTCAAGTCGGCTGGATCGACCATGACCGTGGTTGCGTTCATCATCATGCCCGCGCAGACTTCATCGCTGACCGTCGAGTCGCTGAAGGGACAGGCAGTCGTCAAGTCTCTGCGTGACACCATTGAGAATATCGAGAAGGGTATTGGTAAGCGCATGTATGAGCGCTGCTTATCCTGGAAGGAAGGCGACAACATGCCTGACGAGAAGGACCTCATCACCAGTCAAGACCGCGTGATGCTGCGTCGCCGTCTGTTCGGCATGAAGCGTCACGGCCTTCCCCCGATTGTTACCCACAACATGCACAATGACCACGAGGACCCGATCCTGAACCAGATCCGTCGGGTGCAATTGTTCAACCACTCTTCCGACCGCGTGAAGGTCGTCTTCCACCCAGAATTCCTCAACTCCGCCAACCCGGTGCTACCTCTAGACTACGATGACTTTGTCCGTGGTACCCACCTGGGTGTTTTCCCATCCTACTATGAGCCCTGGGGTTACACCCCAGCGGAATGTACGGTGATGGGAGTCCCCAGCATCACGACCAATCTCTCTGGATTCGGTTGCTACATGGAGGAGCTGATTGAGAACTCCTCAGACTATGGAATCTACATTGTGGACCGACGTTCCAAGGGTGTCGACGACTCCGTCAACCAACTGACGGACTTCATGTTCAACTTCACAGAGAAGAGTCGTCGTCAGCGAATCAACCAGCGCAACCGCACAGAACGACTGAGCGACCTACTCGACTGGAAGCGAATGGGAATGGAATACGTCAAGGCGCGCCAGCTGGCACTAAGAAGAGGTATGTTTGCTTTTTTCTTTCATCTATTGTTGCAGTCATAGCTTTGCGCACGGGCTAACGATCCTAGCGTATCCCTCCTCATTTGAGGGTCAGGAAGATTACTTCGATATTATTGGAGGAACGGATCAGAAGATCTCCCGCCCGCTTTCTGTTCCGGGATCCCCTCGGGATCGCTCCGGAATGATGACCCCCGGCGATTTTGCCTCCCTGCAGGAGGGTCATGAGGGGTTGAGCACAGAGGATTATATTGCTTGGAAGCTTCCGTGAGTGCTTTGTTGAATTGGTTTTTCTTCTGCTTGCTAATTCCCCCATAGTGAAGAGGAAGAACCCGAGGAACACTTCCCGCTTACCCTGCGCACTCGCAAATCCACCGACCGGGCTGCGTCGCCGCTGGACAGCATATCGATCAATGGCAGTCGTGCTCAGAGTCCGAAATAGGAGGATATCTTGGCGTTGGTCATACATAACCGAGGGTATTGGGAATCGTTCCTGACGTCATGTGTACTTTAACTTGTCTGCTTTTCTTTTCTGTTTGTTTTCTTTTGTTTCTGTTTTTTTTTCATTTGGTTTTGCAGTGCATTTGAAGCCCGTTTCTTAATGTTGAGATCAGTTTGAGAGAGAAAAAAATCTATACGATCATAAGGTGCAGCACTCGGAGCTATGGTCTCCGGTCACGGCGCTTTGGAGCTTAGAGTTGCCAATCTCTCCACCGTAGTACTCAACAGGCAATCATAGGCTTGCTCCGGTGTACTTTCGGGGCCATTGGCCCATGAATATCACGGCGGGGTATTGCTGGACTATTTCTACCCCTCCTCCCACTTCGTTTCTTCCTTCTCGACACATTCTTCTACACTCTCACCACTCAACGGTACGATACTCCTATGGAGTCGCGGACCTCTGCCCTGCGGGGCTGCAGGACAATGTCCTCGCTTGAGAAGGATCAAGGTATTTGCTCTTGTATAATCGTTGCACCGCATGACAGGTGTTCGGCCCAGCCCAGGGTGATTGAGTGATTGAGTCACTTCAACTACCTGGGCTGGCCGTTCTGAGATTATACTGTCAAAACTTGATCTAGACAATACTAGCGAAAGGACATGCGTGACTCTGATTCCCCTGCTTTTGTATCTGGCTCATGACTCTGTCTCGGTACTCTTGTACGCACAGTGATCATGAGCCAGATACCCAAATTGGACATACTGACTCCATTGAAGCACCAGAAATACCAGCTTGAAGAAATTCATCATGTCTACCGACAAGATCACTTTCCTGACCAACTGGTACGCTGACAAGATCATAGTGCACATTAGTAGATCAATTGGCTAAGTGTTTGCAGGCACGCAACCCCGTACCACGCCCCCCTCTACCTCGCCCAGAGCAGAGGCTACTTCAAGGATGAAGGTCTGAAGGTGGCTCTGCTCGAGCCCAATGACCCCTCCGATGTTACCGAGATCATCGGTAGCGGAAAGGTCGACATGGGCTTCAAGGCCATGATCCACACCCTGGCGGTGCGTTGTCCTCTCTTTACACTTTAAACCTGAACATGACTGATGCCCTCTATAGGCCAAGGCTCGTGACTTCCCCGTCACCTCCATCGGCTCACTCCTCGATGAGCCTTTCACCGGTGTCGTGTACCTCAAGTCCAGTGGTATCACCGAGGACTTCCGCTCGCTCAAGGGCAAGAAGATTGGATACGTTGGCGAGTTCGGCAAGGTAAGCTTCATACTCCACCCCGACCCATCCGAGTAAATGTATCTAACATCTCCAGATTCAAATCGACGAGCTTACCAAATACTACGGCATGACCACAGACGACTACACCGCGGTCCGCTGCGGCATGAACGTCACCAAGGCGATCATCCAAGGTGACATCGACGCAGGTATTGGTCTTGAGAATGTCCAGATGGTCGAGCTCGAAGAGTGGCTCGCCGAGCAGAACCGACCCCGCAGCGACGTCCAAATGCTCCGCATTGACCAGCTCGCCGAACTCGGCTGCTGCTGCTTCTGCTCCATCCTATACATTGCCAACGATGCCTTCATCACCGCCAACCCGGAGAAGGTGAAGGCATTCATGCGCGCCGTCAAGCGCGGTACTGATGCTGTCCTTGCCGATCCCGCTGCCGCTTACAAGGAGTACATTGACGTGAAGCCCATCATGGCCACACCTGTCAACCGCAAGATCTTTGAGCGTTCTTTCGCTTACTTCTCCCGGGACTTGAAGAACGTGCAGCGTGACTGGACTAAGGTTACCAACTATGGAAAGCGTCTGGGTATTCTTGACGAGTCTTTCGTCTCGAACTACACCAATGACTTCTTGGGTTGGACTCTTGATGCTGACTCCACCGACCCCACTGGTGACCAGAAGCGCATGGCTGCTTTGCAGAAGGAGGTTGCCGCTGACGGTGGTTACAAGCGTCTTGAGGTCGCTGCTGAGGTTAAGGCCTCTGCTTAGGTTGGAATATACCTGAGATGTCAAGGGTCCATTCTTTAGCCCTTATTTAGCACCAGTTGAAGCTGTGAATACAACATCACAACCGTCTTGGTTAAGCTTATTTTTCCGTGATGTTTTTAAGCTATATCCATAGAGTCAACTGGTATTCCAGACCAAAGAGAAAAAGAAAGTAAATTGTAACAAGATACAAGGTGAAAAGATTGTCCAGGATCGTCGAACAGGTGGGCATTAAGATCATGTTTCATTCAGACCATGCCATCAATCATGTAGCAGCCAAGCTTGGGTCCCTAGTATCCGCCCTCAGCGTAGCCCTCAGGCGTTCCTCGGCCGATTGTAAAGACGGCGCCGAGTCAGGCCCAGCAACTCTTGCAGTAAAATTCAACCATCCAAGCAATTGCTGAACAACCTCTGGTCCATTTTGAACAACAGCAGGCCCATCAACCATAAGAGCAGGTTTAGGAAGATGGTCAGTTTCCCCTTCATCAGCACTAGCATCCAAATGAACCTCCGAAACCACAGCAGCAGTAACCATATTCGAATCGCGAGTCGCCGCATTCTTCGCCAAAAGCTGCGAGCCTGTATGATTCGGCCTGGAGGCGAATTCTCGCACCAAAGGCGTCGATGATACAGGATCTGGGCCTATCGCGAATACCGTCTCGGCATCGGAGTTCATCCCAGGTGAGCGAGGCGAGGCCGGTCGATGACTTGAGCCTTCTAACATTGAAGCGGTATGTCTGAGATTCTCGAGATATCGATGGAATGAAAATGGGTGCATATCAGGTGCAGTGTCGATGTCATCTTCTATCTCGACGCGTTCATGTTCCTGTTCATGCGTCTCTTCGACAGGCATCAGGCCAGGGGTGGCGGTTATCTCTCCCAGGGGTGCGATATGACTTCCGTACTCATTCGCCAGACTGAGTTTGCTGCGGCCACAGATCTCAGCTATTGAGTCTAGAGTTCCCCGGATATCAGGCTCGATGGCTTGGAGTATACTCTCGATACTAAAGTCTTTGTCGGAGGGGAGAGGAATCTCCGGCTGTGGATTGGGTGCTATGGGTGTAGATGTTGATCTGGAGTTGGAGAATTGGAAGAATCGACGAGAGGACATTGTAGTGTCGACATTTCCCGAGTATGCTCTTACCAGCACGGGCTGCGTAGGCCTTTCAGGTTGGGAGGGAGTTGGGTTGCGCGCAGAATCGTGGCGCTGATTGTCTGGGCCGGCAAGCGCGCTGGAGGTCGTAGACGCAGATGCAGACGCTCGGGGCCATGGTAACGTGGATGATTTCATCACGAAGGGTGAGAGGACAGCACAGAAGATCCCCGCTCTGGGGGGGGTGGTTTTTGGGTTTGGTGGGCTTAGCGTGTGCGTGCACGTATACGTATATTCTCCGTGAAATGACAGCTGGAGAGTTGTAGAGTCATCATGTTGGAATCAAGGTGCAGCAGGGATTAAGGATTCTCGGTTGAATACGGTGTAGACCTTAACAGAGTCCGTTGTATACTCTTGAATGCCAAGACCCACACGGTTCCCCCGATCTGCGACGACGTAGACTCGTGTTGACCTTCCACACATTTTGCCCACCATGAATCAATTCCAGGTATGGAAGATCTACATTGCATGTTGGCGTGTCATGTCTAATATGTTCTAGTTTGGCGACTCCGACGGGTCTGCCTCCGACCTCGACGAAGACCCCTCCGGCCTCCCCTTCCCCGAACCGCTGTCCCGCCTCTCGTTCCTGGCCCCTGGCTTTGATCCGGCCACTTTTCTCTCGTCTTTGACGAATCGCCACCAGAGCCTCGAGGATTTGCGCCAGGAGCTTCGGAGCTTAGAGCAAGCTTTGAATAAAGAGCTGTTGGATTTGGTGAATGAGAATTACCAGGACTTCCTGTCACTTGGCACGGCGCTTCGCGGGGGTGAGGAGAAGGTTGAAGGAGTCAAGGTCGGTGTGCTTTCTTTCCAGCGCGATGTCAAAGCAATTCGAGACAAAGTCGAAGCGCGCCGACAGGAAGTCGACGAGCTGCTGAATGAGAAGCGTCGATTGCGAACCACAGCCGACATTGGCAAGGACCTGCTGGATTATGCGGAGCGGGTCGAGGAGCTCGAACACCGATTGATGATTGGCGACAAAGCCTCGAAAGAGAATGCCAACTCAGACGAATCGGATTCAGAGTCCGATCTATACAGCGAGGAGGACGAGGAGAGCGACGATGAAGAGCTGGCAGATGGCACACCCCCAATGTCGCTGGCGAGACTTGAACGGCATGCCCAGAAATTCGTCTACCTGACCTCTATAGCGTCCCGGGTGGGCGACACACATCCATTCCTACTTGCGCAACAACCCCGAGTCGCCAAGATTAAGTCGACGGTGCTCCTGGATCTTAAAACTGCTCTGGAGCAGGCGACTGCGAGTGGAAAAGGCGGCAAACGGGACGCCCGCACCATGGCTGTCTTGCGGCTCTATGACTTGATGGGCGAGGATGTCAGTGCCGTCGCTGCATTGAAGAATCTCAAGCTGTAAGAATATGCTCTGTACTCAAACTGGAATATGCACGGTTGCATACATAGCGTCGGCGTTTTGTTTTTTATGAAGTCTCTAATTCAACAATGATACACCAAGTTCTCCTAGTAAAACAATAGATTTGTACACGCCAAAGGATATAAAAGAAACAGAGTATGTTACATGCCCCTCAGCAGAGAGGGATCGGGGGAGGCGTCGGAGGCGAACTCGCCGTTCAATGAGAAACCAGGTCCATTTGTGGAGCTCAGTACCTGGGAGTAGTGTTAGTCAAAAATCCAATTAACCAAATATCAAAATCACTCACCACTTCGTAGATCTCCTTGTTTACACGGTCAGCGAGACCGCTAGCGTCCTTCCGGATCTGAGCCAGAGTTACGCGCAAGTTGTCGCGCAATTGCTCCGGAGAGAAACCGAGTTGGCCAATCGGCAGACGAATCACAGCATCACGCTCACGGTACACGGTACCTCCGCGGAGCATCTCCACACGGGCAGCCACATCTTCCACGACGGTACCTGTCTTCGCACTGGGCATCAAGCCACGAGGACCGAGGACACGGCCGAGCGCGGCCTTGTTAAGGGCAGGCACACTGTCCGGGTGAGCGAGACAGCGATCGAACTCGATCTTGCCGGCCTTGACAGCCTCAAAGACTTCTTCTTCACCGACAAGAACGGCACCCGCGGCGAGAGCTTCCTTCGCCGCCTTGGAGTTGGGGGGACAGATAACACAGATGCGGGATTCGGTCTGAACGGCGTGTGGGAAACGGAGCATATTACGGATGACGGGACCGTCTCGCTTTGTGCGCAGGCGAACGTGCACCTCGTATTTCTGGAGGGTGGGCTCGCGGCCGACTTCGGTGGCTCGGATGTATCTGCCCAAACAGTCAGTTGATGAACCGATGATTAGCTCGTAGACACCGGCGTCAAAACGTACCGCATAGCATCACAGAGAGCCCATTGTGGCATATCCTTCAAGTTCTTCTGCACGAATTCTGCGGGACCTCTGCTCTTCTTCGCAGGCTGGGATGATTTCCCCTTGCCCTTTGTCTTGACCTTGAGGCCTCGGACTTGCTGGAAAGTCGAAAAGGTAGGTGCCATTGAGGTCTCCGTGAGAGGAGCCCGGCATGATGAAAGAATTCCGCGCGCCGCGGTGGGCAATACCGAGCCGTAAGACGACATGACTGGCGATATTTTGATTGATGTTACCGCGGCGAGCTGACCTGCCTGGATGAATTTCTGCCGGGTCCGGAGAAACAGGGGTCCGCGGTGGGTCTGGAGATAGTGACTTGAACCCCTCCAGGAAAGAATTCATTCTTTACTTCGGTTTTCCGCAACCATGTCTCAATCATTCGATCTGAACGTGGCCACTCGCGCTAACCACGCGGCTCTTCTGCCCGTGGTTCTCATCGCTACCTCAATCAACGAGGCCCGCCCCACCCCAGTGATCAACATCTCCTACCAGGACACTGCTCTGCTCCAGGATGGTGACAAGGCCATTGTGCAGCTTGTCGCTGGCAGCAAGTCTGTCTTTGGCACCTCCGATGTTATCCAGGAGCTCACTGTTCACTTCCCCTTCTTGACCGGCAAGGATGCTAAGGTGGTGAGTCATTACCCCGCGAAATTCACCAGATATAGATTGATTCTGACAATGCCTATAGGAAGCGGAATGGCTCTCTCAGTTGGACACCTTGACGACCCTCGACTTCAAGGCCCTTGACCCTATCCTCCAGCGCATTGACACCCACCTCCTTCTGCGCTCGTTCATCGTCGGATACTCTCTGTCCACCCCCGACATTGCTATCTGGGGTGCTCTCCGTGGTAACCGTGTTGCAGTTGCTGCCCTGAAGAAGGGATCTCTGGTCAACTTCACCCGGTGGTACCGCTTCTTGGAGGAGCTTTGCCCCTGGACCAATGGCGTCGTTGAGTCCATGAGCGCAGCTGCTAAGGAGAAGAAGAACGCCAAGGCCAAGGAGGGTGCCAACTACGACATTGCCCTGAAGGGAACTGAGAACGGTGTCGTCACTCGTTTCCCCCCTGAGCCCTCGTAAGTTCTGAAAATCTACTCACTCGCTGCTCGGCCTTGCATACAGAGACTAATACTGTACTATAGTGGATATCTCCACATTGGTCACGCTAAGGCTGCCCTCCTCAACGACTACTTTGCGCACGAGAAGTACAACGGTACCCTGCTCCTCCGGTAAGCCAACCCCAGATACCTTGAAATCATTCCAAGCTGACATGGCCTAGTTTCGATGACACCAACCCCTCCAACGAGAAGCAGGAGTTCCAGGATGCTATCATTGAGGACCTTTCTCTCATGGGTATCAAGCCCAACAAGATGACCTACACGAGTGACTACTTCGATGAACTTTTCGATTACTGTGTCAAGATTATCAAGCAGGGAGATGCCTATGCGGATGACACTGACAAGGAAACCATGCAAAAGCAGCGATTCGATGGCTTCCCCAGCGCACGCCGTGACATGGCCCCCGAGGAGAGCTTGGCTCACCTCGAAGAGATGAAGAAGGGTACCCCGGAGGGCCTCCGCTGGTGTATCCGTGCCAAGATCTCCTTCGACTGCCTCAACAAGGCTATGCGTGATCCTGTTATCTACCGCTGCAACCCGGCTACCCACCACCGCACCGGTGACAAGTGGAAGATCTACCCCACCTACGACTTTGCTTGTCCCATCGTCGACTCGATGGAAGGCGTCACCCACGCTCTGCGTACTATCGAGTACCGCGACCGTAACCCCCAGTACCAGTGGATGTTGGATACCATGAAGCTTCGCAACGTGCAGGTCTGGGACTTCGCCCGCATGAACTTCATCAAGACCCTCCTCTCCAAGCGCAAGCTGACCAAGCTTGTTGAGACTGGCGCCGTCTGGGGCTGGGATGACCCCCGCTTCCCCACCATCCGTGGTATCCGTCGCCGCGGTATGACTATTCCTGCTCTTCGTGAGTTCATCTTGAAGCAGGGTCCCTCTAAGAACGTTACCAACTTCGATTGGGCTCTCATCTGGGCCACTAACAAGAAGTACATCGACCCCGTCGCCGGTCGTCACACCACGATCTTCTCTAAGGATGCCGTTAAGACCACTGTTACCGGAGGTCCTTCCACGCCCTACACCGAGGAGAAGCCCAAGCACGCCAAGAACGCCGCGGTGGGTAACAAGAAGGTCATTTACAGCAGTGACATTCTTCTCGAGCAGGAGGATGTCAAGCTGTTCAAGCCCGATGAGGAGATTACCCTTATGAACTGGGGTAACGCCTTTGTCCGTAAGATCAGCACCAACGCCGAGACTGGTATTATTACCAACCTCGAGGTTGAGCTTAACCCCACTGGTGATGTCAAGAAGACCGAGAAGAAGGTCACCTGGCTCGCTGAGGCGGGTCAAGATCTCATCCCCGTTGAGTTGGTTGACTTCGACCACCTCCTCAACAAGGACTCTCTGGCCGAGGATGATGTCCTGGAAGACTGCTTGAACAAGCACACCGAGTTCCGTGAGGCCGGTGTCGCCGACTGCAACGTGGCCGACCTTAAGGAGAACGACATCATCCAGTTCGACCGCAAGGGCTACTACCGTGTCGACCGGGCTTACAGCCCTGGCTCGCCTGCTGTCTTCTTCAACATTCCTTCCGGCAAGACCAAATAAGCTCGCAATCTGCGACTTGATATGATCTGTGTGACGTATACGTATGGTTTATGAGTGATCTGAGAAGCTAAAAACGTGCACGATTCAATGAACTAGCTGTATACATACTGTTTTTGCTTCCCGTGAATAGTCCGTAGTGATTATAGCCTTTGCTTCTCTTTCTTGACATCGCTCTCCGCCATTGAAAATCCCTCAGAGAGTCATACCGCAGGATTGGAAAGGATGTAAAGTCCGCTCGCCGGCTGTTGGCGGAACGAAGCTAATATGACGTCGAATGCTGACCCCATTCTGGGACAATCTTGACAGGAACACATACTTGTTCTTTGGCCGTACAAAGAGATGTAAAATTGTCACCCAAAGGCCCTGTTTGTGATGATTGCTGTCCCCAGCCCTCAGCTCTAGTGATAGTCTAGTGAAAGCTCTCGTCTATAGCCCTGCCGAAGGAGGTGGTCCAGACAGGGCCATAGCTCTGCGGCGAAATGAGGACTGTCTCTTCACAAGACGTTGCCGATGGAACCGATCTTGACATCCACGGGCGAGTTTCGTTAGCTCAGGGCCAAAACATGTGACTGTTTGAACGAACATCGTATTTCGAAACGTTTAGCGAATTGGAAGGCCGTGCCTATGAAAGGTGAAGGATGGTAGGATGAGCCGGTCCTTTAGACACCGAGTTCCCTCGGGAGGGTGTCGGGTCGTCCGCGGCTCATCTCATCACATACTTGGTCTGCGCCAATTGCTACAAACAGTGACCAAAACAATCAAGTCCCGATGTTCAAAGTCGAGAGTCTTCGGTCGAGGACTTCCTACCCCGACGTCAGCATGATTGTCCTTGGTGGGTGAAAGTTCGAGGCAGTGGTCTCCTCTCTTTCTCTCTCGCACAGATTGACTCAGATATCATACAAAAGCTTGCTCTTGAGTTTCTCACAGCCATCTTCTGTTCATTTTGGACCCACGATCTTCAAAAAGAGACATAGACTCGAATTGCTTGCAGATCGTGTGCCTGTCGCTTCGTCAATTAACACGATTCATTGCAATTCAATATTCTCTCGACGGGTGGGTTTCTATCAAACTGATTGTTGAGTCCTGCATTCTGATGTAGTGTGATATCAGCTATCTGTCATGGCCGAAACGACCGAAAGGACCGAAAAAGTCGGCAGCGAGCGTACTGATGCTCGCCGCCGTAGCTCACGAATCTCCCGAGCTTCCTTGAGTGGTGACTGGTCCAATCTAGACGAATATGGCAAGCTTGTCAAATATGTCTCTACCTTCAAGGACCCAAATGCCAGCGATGGAGAGCAAGGGGAAGTGGTTGAGAAACGAGTTTGGTATGCTCCGTGGAAGAAACGCAAGGTCCGAGTGAGGAAGCTCGAAGGTGAAACTGGCAATTTTCCCGATGAATGGAAGATCACCGATATCCGTGAAGGCCTTGCAAGCGCAGAAGTCCCGTTGCGTCGTCGCCGAGCTGGGTGGAATGAGTTGACGTCCGAGAAGGAGAATCCTATTGCGAAGATTCTCTCTTACTTCCAGGGTCCAATTCTTTATGGTGAGTGGCTATTGTGAGTTCTTGAAACTCGTGTCTGACCTGTCCACAGTTATGGAGTTGGCTGTTTTGCTTGCCGCTGGTCTGGAAGACTGGGTCGATTTTGGTGTGATCATTGGTATTCTTTGCTTGAACGCAGCAGTGGGTTGGTATCAAGAGAAGCAAGCTGCAGATGTAGTTGCGAGCCTCAAAGGAGACATCGCTCTGCGAGCTCAGGTCATTCGTGACAGTGTTCAACAAGAGTGTCTTGCACGAGAGTTGGTCCCTGGCGATGTGGCAAGTCATCTCTTGATAAAGACCATGTCAAATGCTAACCACGCAAGCAGGTCATTGTCGGAGAAGGTCAGGTGGTACCTGCTGATTCTCGCGTCATCTGTGATTTCAAGGATTCCCATGGCTGGGAAGAGTTCAACCAGCTTGAGGAGCAAGGCATGCTTGGCGGAGGCTCAGATTCTGACGATGAAAATGATCCTACCAAAGGTGAGAAAGACGACACTGGTGACGGGAAGGCCAAAGAAGCAGACGGTCATGACGAAGATGGCGGAGAAAAGCCGGCAGCCCAGCCTCGCCGGCGCGGCTATCCAATCTTGGCGTGTGATCACTCTGCCATTACAGGCGAATCCCTTGCTGTGGATCGATATATGGGAGATATGATCTTCTATACTACCGGGTGCAAGCGCGGAAAAGCCTACGCAGTCGTTCAAACTGGGGCGAGAACTTCCTTCGTTGGCCGCACTGCCACTATGGTGCAATCGGCCAAGGGTGCAGGCCACTTTGAACTTGTGATGGATAATATAGGCACAAGCTTGTTGGTACTTGTCATGGCCTGGATCCTCGCGGCGTGGATTGGTGGCTTTTGGCGACACATCCCAATTGCATCACCTGGCCAGCAGACATTGCTTCACTATACCCTGTCCTTGCTCATTATTGGAGTCCCTGTTGGTCTGCCGGTTGTGACAACCACTACAATGGCTGTGGGTGCTGCGTACCTGGCGAAAAAGAAAGCCATCGTGCAAAAGTTGACGGCGATAGAATCGCTAGCTGTAAGTTTCCCCAGGCACAATGTGCGTCAAAATCTCACAGAGGAATAGGGCGTCGATATCCTGTGTTCGGATAAAACTGGTACCCTGACAGCGAACAAATTGAGCATTCGGGATCCGTATGTGGCGGAAGGTGTCGATGTCGACTGGATGTTTGCTGTTGCAGCACTTGCTTCCTCCCATAATATCGAGTCGTTGGATCCAATCGACAAAATCACCGTTCTGACACTGCGCCAATATCCAAGGGCTCGAGAAATTATGCGTCGGGGTTGGAAGACCGAGAAGTTTACACCATTTGATCCTGTCTCCAAAAGAATTGTGACTGTGGCAACGTGCGATGGAATTCGGTATACTTGCACAAAGGGCGCTCCGAAAGCGGTACTGCAATTAACCAGCTGTTCACAAGAGACAGCTGACTTATACAAAGCGAAAGCGCAAGAATTTGCGCATCGAGGCTTCCGCTCTCTCGGCGTCGCCGTTCAAAAGGAAGGCGAGGAGTGGGCTTTGCTTGGGATGCTGCCCATGTTTGATCCACCCCGTGAAGACACTGCTCAAACGATCAGCGAAGCACAGAACCTCGGTATCAGTGTGAAGATGTTGACGGGTGATGCTATTGCCATTGCCAAAGAGACCTGCAAGATGCTAGCTCTGGGCACCAAGGTATATAACTCGGACAAGTTGATCCATGGTGGATTGAGCGGGGCTATGGCGAGCGACCTTGTCGAAAAGGCAGATGGCTTTGCAGAGGTCTTTCCAGAGCATAAATACCAAGTCGTGCAAATGTTGCAGGAGCGAGGTCATCTCACTGCGATGACAGGCGACGGCGTGAACGACGCACCTTCCCTCAAAAAGGCTGATTGCGGAATCGCCGTTGAAGGCGCTTCGGAAGCTGCTCAATCTGCATCAGACATTGTCTTTCTCGAGCCTGGATTGTCAACGATCATTGACTCGATCAAGGTTGCACGCCAGATCTTCCACCGCATGAAGGCCTATATCCAATACCGCATTGCGCTCTGCTTGCACTTGGAGATATATCTTGTGACCTCGATGATCATTTTGAACGAGAGTATCCGAGTTGAGCTGATTGTTTTCTTGGCCTTGTTTGCAGATCTCGCTACAGTTGCTGTTGCTTATGACCATGCCTCATTTGAGCTTCGGCCCGTCGAATGGCAACTCCCAAAGATCTGGTTCATTTCCAGCTTGTTGGGTGTTCTACTCGCATTAGGTACCTGGGTGGTGCGAGGCACTATGTTCCTAAAATCCGGGGGTATCATTCAGAACTGGGGTGCCATCCAGGAAGTTTTGTTCTTGGAAGTGGCGCTGACGGAGAACTGGTTGATCTTTGTCACTCGTGGTGCTGACACCTGGCCATCCATTCACCTGGTGACTGCAATCCTAGGTGTGGACGTCTTGGCAACGATATTCTGTCTGTTTGGTTGGTTCTCTAACGAGAACATGAAGACCAAGCCCGCCGATCAGTTCGTTGAGACCAAAAATGGCTGGACCGACATTGTGACTGTTGTACGCATCTGGGGCTATTCTCTCGGAGTGGAGATCGTCATCGCTCTGGTTTACTTCATTTTGAACAAAATACAATGGCTGGACAACTTGGGCCGAGTTCAGCGTGACAAGGGGGAGATCAAGATCGAGAATTTCCTTGCTCATTTGTCTCGCCTGACGGTTGAATATGAGGAATCCGGCGAGCCGAAAGGCCGGTTCTGTTTGGCTGCAAGCAAGGAGGAGGAAGAAGCTGAGTAAAGAAGCCGAGAAAGAATTGCAGCAAAGACCGTGCCCGATGCGTTTATTTAGTTTGCCTTTACATCTTAATTTGCGAATGAATGGTATCTCATTAAGTAGCTCTATAAAATAATCTATTACTTCTGCTTATTTGCGACCAAATCTCCCAAAAATGTGTCCCGGTTTGCTTCAATCTCTTTTAAATCGAGGTGTGATACCCAATCGTCGACTTTGTCCTTGACAGATTCGACTTGACGAGAGCTGAAGTCAAACTTGTGCTTTTCCATATCTCCCAGCCACCCCTGCAACGCCGGTCCCAGGTGGTCCATGAAATGCGTGAAACTTCCACCTCCTCCAAGAGTATTGGTCATAATTGGACCAGTCAATGCCCATCGAAGACCGAGACCAGATGTCATAGTTTTATCTACTCGAGTCAGTTGAATATTACACTAGGACCTCGAACAAACTCACCAAGATCTTCAGCAGAAACCACCCCTCTCGATATGAGGCTGTAGGCTTCAGCACATACAGCGGCTTGCAAGCGATTGGCGATAAAGCCTGGTGTTTCTTGTTTGACAAGCACCGGCTCCTTGCCTAGACCTCGGTAGAATTCGTATGCAGCGTCCACGTATTCACTACCCGTTGCCGGGTGAGGAACCACCTCTACCAGTGGCACCAGGTGTGGTGGATTAAAAGGATGTCCGATCAAGATGCGCGCAGGGTTTTTATTGCAATCTGTGACGAACTCGGATGAGGGAAGACCCGATGAAGAGGATGCAATCAGGACGTGCTCTGGGGTATTTTCGTCCAAGTGAGCAAAGAGTCGACGCTTGAAATCTAATCGCTCTGGTCCATTCTGCTTGCTCATTAGTCCCTGAAATAATTCCCTTGAAAGGGTGGACTCACCTCTTGTATAAGGTCTACCTTGCCAAGAAGAGCATCAAGTTCTTTCACAAATGTAAGATTGCTCAAGCAATCTTTAAGTGATACTTGGGCGTTGGGTACCTCAGAGCAGTGACTTTGCAAATATTCGCGGAGTCTGTCTTCGGCGCCTGGCGCTGGATCAGTTACTATGACCTTCAAGCCTTTGGCCAGGAACAGTGCTGTCCAACTGGCGCCGATGACACCTGTGCCAATAATGCCGACAGTTTGTATGGAGACGGGAGACATCTTTGTGTAGTTTGGTTGTACTTGGTGGTGTGTGTAGTTGGTTGAAACCGTGCAATAAGCAAAGAAGTGCTCTACGGGCCTTTATGAAGGTGCCCGGCATAAGCCATCCGCAGGGATAAACGGCAAGATTTCCAGAATTTTCGGTCGACATACTGAGACAAGCTTGTAGACTTCGGCCCGATTCCTTCACTCAACATTCGATCACTCGGCCCGCTTGTGTCGCACATCAGGGGAACTAGAAGCCGTTGGTGAAAGCAAATTACCGCTTTGGGCGATTCCGATGCCCTTCCGAGGGTTCGGCACACCGACCGGGACTCCGGAGCTCCGAAGGTGGATGTTTCCACGCCACTCGAGGTTATAATGACTATCTTGTTTCATCCTGCTTTTGAAGACATATAAAGCTTTCGGCAGAAAGTCGGACTGTTGAGATCATCTGACTTGGCGATCTGCACATATCTCACGTTACATCTGAACATTCTACTTCAGTCTTCCATCCCTCTGGTCCCCAATAGATCATCAACACTCACACTTGATCTCACGATGTCTGCGCAGCATGAAACCATACCAAGCGATGCCATTTACGGCCCTGGAACTTTTATGGACAAAGACTTCATTCCAGCTCCCCGGGATGCCGCTCGCATCCTTCAATATATTGCCAAGCGCACTCCTGGATTCACAAAAAACCCAGAACTTTTGAACACAGTCAAGTTCGAGGGCACAGAACTCCCCGTCATTCCAGGTCCATTCAAGGCTCCGCTCGTTGCAGCCGCTGTGCATGCTATGTGCGGCTTAGTCGCACACGAGATTGTTGAAGATCGCGACGGAACGCCAGCCGTCAGCCAACAGGTCTCAGTCAACACCGATCACGCCGCTATCTGGCTGGGGACTATTTACGCTGGTTCAGTGGAGGGAAAGAGCATCGATGAGCTAGGCCGAGCAGGCCAGCTATCCGCGCTTTTCAAGAAAGATTTCCAACAGGGCTGGATGGGTACAGCCGTCAACAATCGATCTACCGCCATCTACAAAACCAAGACCCCAGGCGTCTGGTACCAACTTCATGGCTCTCTTGACGCCAGCCCAGTCCTACGCTCAATGGGCATGGACCCTGATTACCCGGCCAAGGACTTGGACGATGCCTACCAGTACATTAGCCGCCATGTGGAGCAATGGACGGCAGATGAGTTGGAAATGCACAACGTCAAGAATGGTTTCTGCGGCAGCATCTGCTTTACACCCAAGGGTTGGTCGGAGACTTTGATGGGAAAGAGATTGGCAGAGCACCCCCTGGTCGGTTATTCTCGGCAATCCCACGCTATTCCTACCCCTCCTGTGCCATCACCTAAGTTTGCCGATGATCGACGCCCCTTGGCTGGCGTGAAGGTAGTGGAGCTCGTTCGAATTATCGCCGGCCCTGTGATTGGATGTACTTTGGCTGCTCTCGGTGCCGACGTCATTCGCGTGAACTGCAGTCGATTGGTGGATCTCAATGTATGTCTCCACTTTGCCTGCATATTATTCTGCATGATCTAAGCTAACTTGAACTTCACAGGCTCTGCAGTTGACTTTGAACACAGGCAAGCGCACAATTGACATTGATCTGACTAAGGAGGCAGACAAGTCACGCTTGCGCGAACTCATTCAGGGCGCTGATGTCTTCGTCCAAGGTTTCCGTCCCAACGCCATTGCGAGAAAGGGATTCGGAGTCAATGACCTTCTTGAGATGGCCGGAAACCGTGGCAAGGGAATAATCTACGCCGAGGAGAACTGCTATGGCCCCGATGGGCCATACCATGAAAGACCTGGCTGGCAGCAGATTGGAGACGCCGCTTCAGGTTCATCACACGTGATGGGTCGATCTCTGGGCTTCAATGACGGCACCAGTGTGCTTCCTCCGCTTCCCATCTCCGATATGACAACCGGCTTAGTGGGTGCTTTGGGTATACTTCTGGCCCTCCGTGACCGCGCTCGCCACGGTGGCTCATACCGCGTGACCAGCTCCTTGGTGAAGGCCGATGCCATTGCACTGGAACCCGAGATCGGTCTGTACTCCCCCGAGGTCGTCGAAAAGAGCAAACAGCTGTTCAAGTGGGGTCATATCGGCCCTGAGCAGTTCGTGCTGGAGATTCTCACGGTTGTCATGGATGGATGGAAAAGGGGCTTCCCACAATACTTCGAGTCTGGTCCCCAGTCGCTCATGACAAAGTTCCAGGAAAGTCCTTTCGGGCAGATGGAAAACCTTAAGCCTGTCGTTCAATTGAGTGATTCCAGTGTGACGCCTCGCTGGTTGACCTCATCGGTTCCATTCTGTCACCATCCCCAGGATATAGAATGGCTTTAGACTCAGATCTCTATCGAGAATTTTCGCATTATACTACAGCCAAAAAAAATAATACAACTTGAGCAAACACACATCTCTTCTACATATTTGGTGTAATGCGGGCTAGGTACTCGTACATACGAAGGGGAAGAGCGGCCAGGTCAGCAAGACCGGGTTGGGTGGGGCGGTGGATCTTGGCAGTAGCGAGTATTGGTTGGATATGTGACAAGATCCACTTGTATTAAATATACAAAGCCTGGTTGGCCTAGTGGTTTAAGGCACTGCGGGGATGTACCAACTCGGGCGTGTGCACCCATAAGCGAGTGCCCCGAAGGTGTTGGCGCGTCCTCCAGAGACCCCTGGTTCGAATCCAGGACCGGGTACTTCTTTTTTGCATTTCTTTTTTCCGAAGAATTCATGGCACTTAGGCAAGAATCAGGCAGAAACCTAGCATATTGGGACATCATCCGACCTGGCCGCTCTGCCGCTTCGTAGCCGATCTTGAGATAGCTAGTCGAGCTGGGCAAAGAACATAGGCCACTCATTCCAGTCAAATGTGTAATTATCAACCCACGCCAAGTCCAGCGAGTGCTTCCGATGATCTTCTCGTTCCCAAGGTTCCTTTGGCAAGGAGGCTTCGTCACGATGTGGCTCATCCGGGACTTCAACTCCAGCTCCCAATCCAGAGTCATGGATATCAACGTTGTCTTCGATTAAGCGCAGAACAGAGCCACACCTCGATGCTAGAGTTGTATGGCTTTCGTATGCTTTCAGAATATCACGGGCACTATATAGAAGACCTTTCAAACGAGCAGCAGAGAAGTGTTCTACTATTTGTTTCGACGTTTGAACTGCGAGGAGAATGGTCACGGCCATATACACGTCTTCCGAGCATTAGCAACGAAACAGATCTCTTGCTATCTTTAAAGCGACTCACATGAGACAGTGTACCAGTTTGAAGGTAGAATGTATGCTTCTGTCTGCCCGGGTAGGTTCCTGGTGATGAATTCAATAATTTCCGCTGCGGCCTGCGTGCACTGGATCTGACAATGTGAGACTACGTGCTGCATGATTTGGTCATCTGAATACAGACTGCGCTCCGATATGACATTCGAGTTTTGGTGGTTCATCTGTAGCAGAAAAGATCTGAATAGAAGGAGTCGAACGGAAAGATATCTGGTCATGGAGAGAAAAGTTAGTCCACGTTCAAGAATTCTGCAAGCCTTGCCACGAACCGGGCGCGTAAAACATTTGCTTCACGGGTGATATGTTTCGTTGGCGTTTGGTCTTCAAAGTCTGATGGCATTTTGAAGAAAGGATGGAGGTTTCCAGCCCAATGTTTCAGATCAGACTCGATCCTAAACAAGCTTGCAAACTTCTCAAAGGGAATTGAATTTGAGTCCAGCCCGGTGACGCCTTCGCTTGAATCAGGCATCGACGCTTCCTTGGAGATGTAGAAAGTTTCCAAGACTTCCCCGATAATATGATGCAGTCGGCAGAACGATATATAGAAGTTCACTTTCGAGGGTAGAGCCGCAGTGCCAATGTTCGCAGCAGTCGTATTAAGCACAAGTGAGTTCAATCCTTGTTTTGCCACAGATTGTGGTACTTTGAGGTCACAGCCAAATGTCATGGACGCGATTCTGTACACCTTTTAGTATTCGCGAGCTGTGTTATAGATTCCGGTTGCCATACCTATCCATTATGACACATCCATTCCAAACTTGGCGGGCAAGATCGCGCTCGCGCGGATCTTCAATGACTTCAATATTCTCTGGGATATGCAAGCCAAGCTCCTGAGCAATATGGATTGCCGTGCTGATATTGCGGAAACACTTTTGAGGCATCTTGTCATGCTGGAGGTACACTGCCGTAAGCAACAGGATTTGAATAATCTCGAAATTGTAGACATCCATAAGCTCATATGACATCAATTCTTGAGCTCTCTCAAAGAATTCAACTGAAGATTGATACCGAGAGAGAGGCGGTTGGCCCTGAGAAGCCACACAAGATGTCGCAAACATGAGATTTAGGATGCAATGCAACGCTTTCTCGTTCATAGACAGTTTGCCGTTCTTGGTCCACAGTGTTTCATATGCGATTTCAATTGAGGGTCTGTCAAGCCAGGGATACGCACTATCGACGAAATCCCAATACAGATTCAACAGATGGTCGGCCACTTTTCGGGTGGGAATCGCGAATTGCATTTCAGAAGGCTGTCTTTGACACTCTTTGGTCTGCAGCTTTGGCAACATCTTGAGTTGCGGGGCCACATTATGACTCAACTTTTGTCTCTTGTTTGCAACCATGCTGTCTGGACCTGTCATACTACCGACCCCGCGTAAGATGTGAGCTCCACTGGATGCGCCAAAGAGACTGCCAGTAGGGATGACTTCGCTGTACAGACTGGCATGATCTTCTTTGTCGATTGAGGGAAATCTTGACGGATATTCTTCATCCCTCTCTCGCTCACTTATGACTGTGGAAGTATCGTGAACAGCACTCAAACTAAGATGGGTTTCAAAGGTAAGCGGTGTTATCCACTATGCAAAGCAAGCATCCACCGATGGCTTGCTCAATCACTCACTGGCCGGCAGGTGAAGGAGAGGATTTGTCAGCCTCGCGATATACACATGGCTGTGAACGTTGCTTTCTCTTCGAGCATGGTCCGCATACTAACAAGGTAATGATCAGCGCGATTCAAGTGCTTTCTTAGCGTGCATACCTGGCCTAGCGCCATCGCACTTTGTTTTCCTTGCTTTGCAGACGTTACAAGCAATGCTGACTTTGGAACGCTGAGGCTCTTGCCGGGAAGCATCCGATTGAAACGAGAACATCATGGTGGGCGATTTGGGCGAAGGAAAGACTTCCGACGTCCGAGATTTCCTTCCTGGGCGGCTTCCGGCCCCGGGGTATCCACCGGCTTATGTCATCAACATCCCGGGTATCGGAATGCCTAATCGGGTAATGTGAGATCTATTCCGTGAGGAAATTCGTGAAAGCTTCAGATGTTGAATTTGAGTGGTAGCAGGACGGATTTAACTCGGATGATTATCTCGGACCACAGGTGCCGAAGAACATTCGATGATGTCGATCGCAAACAAATTATTTGGTAGCACGCAAAAGTTTGAAGATACTATTTATGGTGTATTCATCCCGGCAACATGACATTTCGACTTCCCTTTTTTCCTAGTTCGATATCTCTTCTGTTTCATCCAAGCTCTCATGTTCAATAGAAATGACTCGCCATACAGCTCCCTCATCCTCGGCTGCAGCTGCTACCGGCCGAGTCTATTTCCTTGACATCGGTCTCTCGACATACCCTAACCCCAATGGTCGCATCATCACCTGCAAGCCAGATGGTTCCGATATCCGCGAGCTTGTCACCCAGATAAAGACCTTGCCCGATGGAATTGCCGTCGACTCGGATCGTCAACATATTTACTGGACAAATATGGGCGTACCATCTGCCAACGATGGGTCCATTCAGCGGTGCGATCTTTCCGGAAACAATATTGTGACCATCGTTCCTCAAGGTCAAACACATACGCCAAAACAAATGACGATTGCACCCAAATCACAAAAGCTCTACTGGTCCGACCGGGAAGGCATGTGTGTCATGCGAGCGAATATGGATGGCAGTGACATCGAAGTGCTATACCGATCCGCTCCACCTGGTTCCGACATGCAGTGCACTCTCAACTGGTGTGTTGGCATTGCCGTTGACGAGGAGACCGGATCGGTCTTTTGGTCTCAGAAAGGACCCCCAAGGGCAGGCCAAGGACGAATCTTCCGAATGAACATTGAAATGATAGCCGGAGAATCGGCGGAGCGAAGAACAGATGTCCAATGTATTTTGGAGAACCTTCCGGAACCCATCGATTTGGAACTGGACACTTCCTCTCAAACACTCTACTGGACTGATCGTGGTGACCCCCCCAACGGAAACACCGTAAACTCAGTCGTACTAGACGCGAGCGTCAAGCTGCAACCCAAGATTTTGGTTCGCAAGCTCCACGAAGGAATTGGAATTTCTCTGGACCTCAGAAACGGCCGCATGTTCTTCGGTGATCTTGGAGGTGGTCTCTACAGTTCCAGCTTGGATGGGTCCTGTAAAAACACCCTCATCTCCGAAATTGGGGGTGTGACCACTGGCATTTTCTATGTGGAATAAAAAGGTACATAAGTATGTATATTTTGCTCCTAGTTCATTGGCCTGCCAGCTTTCTCCTATAGTAGACTGGGCTGCGACAGATACTTCAAAAGAGGTCCTTAAGAGAAATCAAAGAGAGCGATCTCGTTTATACTCGTAATTCTATCGCACCCCCACGCCGGAATTTCAGAGCACATGGCATTCTAGCCCCCAAGATAGCATTGAAAGAACGCAAAATATACCCGAGGGTCTTTCAATCGGATATTTCTTGAATTCGTAGGTCCCAAATATCCAAAGGTTCTGTGAGCAAAGGAATTGGAATAACTAGAACAAGTGACTTAGAATGTATTCTCATGTTGTTATTTGCCAGCATAACGGATGCACACCCCAATCACAGTGCCAATGACGCCCCCGATGAAGAGTCCTGTCCCTAAGTACAAAACGTAATACTTGAAGACTCGAGATTAAGGTAACTGGGGTAACTAGCTAGTAATACGAGTAATTGCGGAGCAAAGCGAAGCAGTTATTTCATGGAGAACCCTGGTCACGTGACTTGGGTATGTATTGGGTCCACTTACAAGGATTTCAGCTTTTGAAAAGTAGCCGGTAAGAAGGGGCAGAATAATGCTACTGCCTCACTAGTATGTACTCGTAGTCCCGTTTCGGCCACAATCCACGTTCTGACCAACCATATGTCCCAAAACGCTGAGAGAGAAAGAAATAAGGAAGGAAAAAGAAGCTGCACTACGCGCTACGCTCTGCAAATGCTATCTGGGGACAAACCCATGATCCCTAGTAATAATCTGTGTGGGTTTCTCCTTGATCACATTGTCTGCTGACTAATTTCCACCACTGCCATTTTCGTCGCCACATCAGTGTGGGGGATAAAAAAAGAAATACCCGGTCCTGGATTCGAACCAGGGGTCTCTGGAGGACGCGCCAACACCTTCGGGGCACTCGCTTATGGGTGCACACGCCCAGGTTGGTACATCCCCGCAGTGCCTTAAACCACTCGGCCAACCAGGCTTTTTATATTTATTACAGGTGGATCCTATTACGTGACCCACATGAAGAGTACAATAATAAAGGGAAAAAAAGAAATGCCCGATCCTGGATTCGAACCAGGGGTCTCTGGAGGACGCGCCAACACCTTCGGGGCACTCGCTTATGGGTGCGCACGCCCGAGTTGGTACATCCCCGCAGTGCCTTAAACCACTCGGCCAACCAGGCTTTTTATATTTCTTACAAGTGGATCTTGTCACATATCCAACCAATCCTCGCCACTGCCAAGGCCCATTGCCCCACTCCACCAGGTGTTGCCGACCTGGACAGCCCTGGAGAGATACTATGTATGTACCTCAATTTCTACGAGTAGGTACAGTCAACTCCCGAAGCAGATCGAGTCTACAGCTCAGATGTTGTAAATCGATTCGTTTGAGTACCAACATCAGAGATCTAGAATCGATTGACCCAAAAAAGCAAACTAGCCAAGACCTGTGCCAAGCTTGGTGGCAGATGGCGGGCTTGGCTCGGAGGCCTTTGATGTGCCAATTAAGTCTGAAAGTGAAATCGTAAGTGCTCGTTCAGCCTTGTCTGCCCTGCAGAATCGCTACTAAATGTTAGTAGTGCTGACCACAGGCCCAAGCCCGCGCCAGACATATTAAATCTGCTCCAGGGCTGCAAGTTAATGGGTTTGTACTCCGTATGCCAAGTCCAATTCCTAATTCCTCGAAGAGCACCCCCACATACTCGTACTCGTAGGCATGACTTCATCTGGGTCTGCTTTTTCATGAAATAAACATCACGAGTACGACGAAATACCTTCAATCGTTTACCCAGAAAAGCCCCACTTGGTGCATCTTCACCTTACTCGTCCAAGCCATCTCGTCACACCTTCCTCTCTTGAAGTCCGAGTTATGTCCACTGATTCACATCTGAGCTCTCTCATACCTCCCCTCTTCCTTCAAGATACCATACTGTAGCACTGCCTGATTTCTTTCCAGGTCCTACTCCACACAGCTCTCGCAAGGTAAGAGTTCAAAGCCGTTCCAAGGCGCCCAAACCCAAGTTCGTCTAGTCGGCAATCATCTTACTCCTCTGGTCACACAATTTGTGATAAACCTGCCGCAAGATCGATCTTCAGGGCTCATGATTCGGCCCGCTGTTCGAGTTGTCTCCACAACGGTATCCGCCATCTACTCTCATTGACCCCCACCAATCACTCCCCACATCGATCGTCGCTGTCTACGACCTATAAACCACAACCTTTGACGTTCAAAACTCTCATCCACCATGGGCTGGCTCAAGGACATACTATATGGAAGCTCTGGGTCATCCCAGGTGAAAGTGGAAGAGCAGGCGAAGAAGCGCCGCAGCAAGGAGCACAGCAAGAAGGTCCGCCAGCGGGAGAAGGAGCTGAGAGGTGGATCTAATTCGAAGTTTTTCTGGGATCTACTGCCGTTGATGGAACACAGAGAATGGCTCGCAAAGAGTTGCATTGTTCACAGTCGTGATCTTTCGGTCCCAGCCTCGCGGGCGGCCGGACTCGGGGGAAAAGGACTCCCCTCGATATGAAGTACGTATTTTGGTTCACCGCAATCTGTCTTGTAGCTATACAGGGAAGAAAATGACCAGTCATCTCAGTTTTGGGGGAGAGAGGAATGAGAGTGAACCAAGCAAGCAACTAGGGAAGAAGTCTCCAGGTCTGAGACGGTAGGCTACAACAATCCCAATCATCTCATCTGCTAGGTGCTTCAACATATTTTGAATCTCTTCATCTGAATTCATCGAATTTTTTTGCCTTTTCCGTTCCTACTGGCTTCTTTTCTTTCTTTTGTTTCTGTTTCTGTTTTTTTGTTTTGTTTTTGCTCTTGAAAAATGAATTGATAGCGCTCAAGCCAATCAGACCTCGGCATAAAAGATGCAGCTCAGTGCGCACCAAGGGCCTTTCTAAACATTGGAAGCTCTACATCAATCACCACAAGAATATATGGGGTACGGAGGAGAGGGGGAATTCATTGCAATTGAGTCCAGAAGTGTTTGCTATCATCTCACTGCCCAGACGCAGACACCCGCTTTATCGCTTTCGAGGTACTCTCGGGGTCACCATAAGTCAGAGTTTCTCCGGCAAGGGTTGCTGGAGGGCATCTCAAGATGAAGATGTTGGGATAGTATATAAGGCTACCATCGCAGCAGCGGGCGATAGTACCAAGAGCGTGCGATCAGGATCCATTGAGAACATACTAGAAGGAGATTTCTAAGCCATCACCGGGTCCTGCAGTGTCCATTCCCACCCCCCGAATAGCAGGTGATTGAGGGATAGCCACAACAGCGGCGGTAGCGAAGCATGAAAACAATAACAAAATAGTCGGTCGCATTTTTGGCTTTCTCGGTGTTTAGTCACCTTTTTTTTATAGCACAATTCTAAAAATGGAGAGGCATTCAAGCGGGGATCACTCCCTTTATACATACTGAAGGAAAGGCGTCGTTGCAGCCAAGGAAAAGTGTGCATATAGCAATTTACATATTGACTGACCCTCCGTACATAAATCATGGAGAATGCATGGATGCCGGTTCTGAAGCCACTACCTGACGCAAGGGAGGCAGCGAATTAAACAACTCCAGAAGTGGGTGTACAACATCAAGGCCTGATCGGACTGGCGATGCCTCAGCTTAAGAGATATCTCCATCTCAGCATGGTCAAAGTCTTGGAGTATGTCTCAAACACACGGCTTCCCGATTACAGCTTCACCGTAATATTCCTGTCCCACCCCCCCCCCCCCCCCCCCCCCCCCCCCCCCCCCCCCCCCCCCCCCCCTCTCCCCCCCCCCCCCCCCCCCAACCCCCCCCCTCCCCAACCTCC